AACAATTTTCATATTTTTCATCGATTGACAGCACTATAAATCATTCATGGTGTACCCTGCCTCTTTGCAAACAATGTTATGGTGCATTATCACCACCAACTGGAATGGATTTTGGATTGGGAAATGCAAATGTGTGGAATGTGGGCCCTCAATTGTAGTATTAACAGAATCGCCTGCACATCTATGCAACTGGAACAAGTCCATGAGTGTCCGTGGATGCAGAATCCACATAGTATGTCTGAGCCTTAATGGGAAGCAAGGAACCTGTGAAAAAGTACTGTCCTGTTGAATAAAAAGTGAATTGAGACAGAACTGTGTTCGCTGACCAAAGCAAAGACTTCCAGCAAATTAAAATCTTTGTCCAAGAAGGCTTTGCAGCCGCCTTAGCTGGCTGCTCTGTTCATTCAGCTCCTAAAAACAGAAACTCCAGGTACAAACAAGCAGGGAGACCCGACATTCATCAGCTGGGATGTACAGCTGCTTCAAGAGTCAACAAACCTCTGAGGAATCACTTCACTTAGACGTGTTTGTGTGTCTTAATGCAGAAGTCATACATTTATAGTAATTATATTTGTTTGTGTCATACTTTTCAGGTGTTGGGATCTGGCCATGTGCTTAAACAAATAAATGGTCAATACTACAATGAGGCCCTTATGTAAGCAATAAAGCCTGCTCGTAGTGACTGAAGAAAGAGAAAAGGGCCCGCCAGATCACAGACCCCTCAGCGGGGGGCCAAGACCCGCCGCACGACAAAGGATTATAGCACGGCACAAGAGCCTGCTTTTTCCTGCGATGGTCAGTGCACCGCTAACAGGAGTCAACACTGCAACTTTAAACAGAAAGTCTGACTTTACCAGAGCAACACAACATTAACGCCGAGTCGTAAACTCTGCAGGGCAACGAGTGAAACGCCTTTCCCCTTGCTACCTGCACCAGTGGACATCGCACAGCAGAGGCTGTTTGGACTTCAGAACCACAACTCTATTCTGGGCTCACAGAACCGCCAGCTGACCCACGCAACTCTTCTTCATCTCCATTGGACTGTCGGTAACATTCTGGGCATAGACAGATAACTTAACAGAGTTAACGGCTAAACAAGGACTGTTTAATTACTGTTAATGTTACTGATGTGTTCAGTTGATGGGGGTTACTGTATTGTGATGTTGATTTGATTAACTCAGGTTACTATAGTAACTGTAGTCTCTGAGACAGTGCTAAGGTGATGTTAGTTTAATGTTCTGCTTCACACAGACACCGTTTTAACGGCACCGTTAATCTAAGATCACACACATACATATTCGGCTTAAACCTTAGCACACACACGAGGAGAGGGAACTCAAACCCTCCCACTCCTCCATAATCTTTGTCTCTCACTAACACATGTTTCATACTCTGAAACATCTGGTCAGAGGACAATGGACACACACCTTTCCCTCTAATTTAATTCCTTTAAGTTAGATTGTATATAGTGTATTTTCCTCTGTTTGCCTTTATTATTCCTTTAATATATGCTTGTGTTAATATATACTGGCCTATTTAATTTTGTTTAAGAGTGGATGATACCAACCTCTTCTCTTCTAACTCCAAAGCTCCCACTGTAGCTATTAATAAGGATTTTGGTTGTAGTTATTCATTTAATTATTAATCTGACTTTTGAATTTATAGTTTAGTGTAATTTTAGGACCTTTAATAATAATTAAAGTCATTTTCTATTATCATAAATTAATTAAACTAATACAGTTAAACCACTGTAACACCCTAAAACGTGGAGCCCGACACAGGATAAAGTCAAATGTTTCATAATTGAGGAGAAACACTGAACAAATGTCAGACTGAACAGAGACTGAAAACAAACTGTCACTGACAACGACTGAGACATGAAAGCTGTCAACAGGAGTTTCTTTTCAGTCGTCATGGATACCACATCCCAACGGACAGCTGGGGTCACGGTGCATCAGAAAGCTCCTAAATACAGATCTGAAGCCCTTATAGTTTTATCCTTAAAGCCTCTGTTGGTCTTTATTTGTTGTTAATTTGAGTTTCAGGTGAGAGACAAAGATCTTTTCTTCACATCTGAGATTATTTTTGTATGACACAGACACGAGAAGTTGTGAAGTTTGTCTCTGACGCGCAGAGATTTATGAGCAAACGCTGACACATTGATCGGGTCACCATGTCTAAATCTGGCAGCGGAGGAGAGACGTGGTGAGGAGGGGTGAGGAGGAGGGGTGAGACCTGTCAGATGGTGAAAGGGCAGAGATGACGACTCCGAACACCGACTCACCATCTGTTTTCTGACAACACAAAGACTCGTTGGCTCTTTCTGTGCATCGTCCTTCAGCAGTGTAATGGAGACAGAGAGCTCTGCTGACTCAGTGCCCTTGAGCAACACGCTGTAGCTCAACCTGCTCTGTCAAAGTTTGTCTCTTCACCTTCATCCTCCTCAACATCCCAGTGAGAGTAAAGAGCAACATGAAGAGGGCTGCCCCTGACTAAAGATTTTCCTGGTCAACCAGTTGTCTAACAGTTATAATATTAATTTCATTATTTAAATCAGTATAGTTGAACAGCTGCCAGTTAAATGCTAAAAGAAAACATAGTACTGATTCTGAATGTGTCCCAACAACCAGCAAAGAGACGTTTAGTTCGTTTATTTCAACACACACGTTTTGTTCAAAGCGCGGAATAAATATTGGTTTGGTCGGGCAGTCTGTCACGTCTGTCGTCCGAGGTAACGGCGGGAATTAAAAGTGACAGGATGACAGCATGTTTCTGCAGGTTTACAGGAGGACCAGGACCTGAGAAATCCTTCACCTCCTCCATGTTCATCACGTCTTTGACTTCTCACCTCAGAGGACGAATGAACACATGAATATGAGAGAGAGAGAGAGAGAGAGAGAGAGAGAGAGAGAGGAAAGCCTTCTGTCATTTCTAAATGAGCTTCAGTAAATCCTGCTGTCGACTCCCATCCAGAGTCAGACAGCCGAAACAGTGTGTGTGTGTGTGTGTGTGTGTGTGTGTTTCTGTGTCTGTGTGTGTGTGTCTCTGTGTCTGTGTGTGTGTGTGTGTGTGTGTGTGTGTGTGTGTGTGTGTGTGTGTGTGTCTGTGTGTGTGTGTGTGTGTGTGTGTGTGTGTGTGTGTGTGTGTGTGTGTGTCTCTGTGTCTGTGTGTGTGCTGTGTGTGTGTCTCTCTCTCTGTGTCTGTGTGTGTGCTGTGTGTGTGTGTGTGTGTGTCTCTCTCTCTCTGTGTGTGTCTGTGTGTGTTCTGTGTGTGTCTCTGTGTGTGTGTGTGTGTGTGTGTGTGTGGGATGGTGAGGAAGCGACAGAGCATGACAGAGAGACACTGTGAGAAAGGAGGAGAGAGAGATTTTCAGGGAGAAAAATAAACCTGAGTTCTGCCGTCTTGCAGCTCTGACGGATCTTACCTGGTCGACCTGGGCAGGTGGAATGAGGAACAACCCCCAATCACACACCATCACTGCATCAATGCAACCTTCTGCACCTGTAAATTCTGCTTCCAACAGCCAATGAGAATGTCTCTCTTTCCCTGGAGACTGATTTCACTGTGCTTTGTTACTGAACTCTACTGTGTTTCTTTACTAATCGATATTATATTTAGTCACTTCAGCCTGTTTGTGCTGCAGCTCTACGTTACAGTACTTCACTGCGTATGAGAGTGAAAATTAGAGTGGGAATGTGAAAATAATTTGGTCGTACAATGATTGACTCTTCAAGCTGCTTCTAATTATCATTATCAAAGCTGAGTGTAGAAAACAGCAGCGTCTCATGTTCAGCTGGCAATGAGCGGCACTTTCACAGGTTAAAATGACAGCGTCTGCAGCTGCAGGTCAGCAGATGTTAATTCAGTGAGTAGACTGATGTAAAATAAAACTCCTCTGTTGTCTGGTTGAGGGTCTCTCTGCAGCCTTCAGTATTTGGATCAAGTAGTTCATCAAATATCAGGCGTGATTTAAAAAGATTTGATATATTAAAGTTTAATGTGTAAGGTACTTAATCAAAATGTTGATAAATATAAAGTATGAGACGGGACAGATCCTCAACATTAACTCCCCTAGTTTAATACAATAATGTCATCCCTTTGTAATACCACCTCTTCAAGTCCAAATCTGGGCTAAAAAAAAATAAAAAATTAAGAATTAGGAACATTTTCTCAACTCTTAAAGGCGTAATCCTTCAGTTGATCACAAACATTCAAATTCAACATGAATAAAGATACATGTTTTTTTACTGTAAAGGTACAGTACTGGAGGACTTACATTCCCCCAGTGGTGTCAGGGGTTGTGTACAGCATACAGCATGTCATAATATAATAATTCTCTGTTTCAGCTTTTTAGTTGACAGAGTGTTAATCTGAATCTGACTGAACTCAGATCAGCTGGAAGACGTGTCACAAACACACAGCAACAGGAACACACACACTGAATGGTCAGTACAGGAATGTGTGTGTGAGAGTGATTTCACAGGTTGATGCTGCCCTCTAGTGACCCCATGCAGAACTGCTGTTACTGTAAATGCTGCTCATTCTCACATTTATAAAACTTTTGAACCACCATCACAAGACAACAGTCGGCGCCAGGTAACTGACATGAAACCTGGAATACCAGAGAGAAACAGCAGCTGTAGCAGTGATAGATAATGAGAGACAAATATTGTACTTTTTACTCCACTACATTTATCTGATGTTGAATGTTTGTGATGAACCGAAGGATAAAATGCTCCTTTATGTGTTAAGAAAATTCTCTTACTTCCTAATCTCAATAAACTCTTTAAAACCCCTCTTGGGTTAGCTGGAAAATGCTTCTAAAAACAGGGTGTACAGAGTCTAAAAGCAGGAGATCACATGTGAAAAGATGTTATCAGTATGTTTATAGAGTTTGGATCGACAAAAGTTAGAAGTTGTTCTTGTCTCACAAACAAACAGCAAATCAACCAGCAGCATCAAAACAAGATAAAAAAAAGTAATGAAGTAAATCTACTCACAGCTCTTCTCCGTCTGTAGCTTTGTTGTCCTGAACCAGATAAACGGAGCCAAAACTTCCTCGGCCCAGACTCTGCAGGATGCTGTATCGCTTAGCAACCAGACTGCCTCGGCCAGGGGGCGGAGCCTGGCCTGACCCCACCTCCTGAAACTTGTACATCCTGTCAGCTCACCTGTGGACCGAGGACACGTTCACTGTAAACTCAGACTGAACCCAAGATAGAGATGGTGGCTCTACTACTACTTATAATAAAAATAATTACAATGATGATAAGAGTATTTCATTTTATCATTATTATCATTATTATTAAAAGTTATAAATATAAAAAAAAGCACAATATTCTGAAAGTATTTCCATTACCAACATCATACTTTAACAGCAGTTTCATACATTTTTATATATTCTTGTTGTTTGGAGCCAAACATCAAACTACAATATTTGTATTTCCTGAACAAAATTGTTGTGATTGCTGCATCTGCTGCTGTCGCCACTACTGCTGCCTGCTGGCACAGCTTCTGAAGGGATCCCAGCAAGAAGTGTTTGTGATTCATGTCTGCAATGACCATCCAAAACAAGATTATGGACAGGTGTCAAGACAGGTATATTGTTACTTTAGTCCCTGTCTGTAGAATTGCATGAAATGGTACACACATGTACAATGTGGCTTCATGTATGCATCTATAGAATTTGCGATTTCGGTATATGTATATCAGACTCCCATTGGGGGGCCATTCAAAACAAATAATGTATTATTAAATATTCATATCTCAACAGATCAATATTCACCAGAATTACACTAATATACTTTATATGTGAACATTTGAATGATGTAGATGCATGCAACAAACCAACAATTACTGTCAAATTATTGGACAAGAAGTTAAGTAATAAAGTTAATCATCATATTCTATATAATTATTATCACATGAACCTAATAGACAGTATAGACATCTACCCAGTATCTACAGCACTGACATATGCCCTGTATCAACAACACTAGCATCTGTCCTGTATCTAAGGCACTGACATCTGCCCTGTATCTAGAGCACTGACCTCTGTCCTGTATCCTTCTTGTCCTTTGTAACTTAGTATTATTGTTTTTGTTTTGATGAGGGCGTGGATGAGTCACAACTTCCTCCAGCTGAACAGCTCTAAAACTGAAGCCATACAAATTGGCACCCCTCATCAGGTCCAGTCATCACCCATAACCACCATCTCCTTCTCCGGTCAAGACATCCCCCTCTCAACCACAGTTACCAACCTCGGTGTGAAGCTGGACCCACAACCCGCAAATACGACCACATCACCCCCATTCTTAAGAATCTCCACTGGCTCCCCATAACCTCAAGAATTCAATACAAGATTGCCCTCATCACCCACCTTTGCGTCTACAGCAACGCCCCCAATACCTCAAAGACCTCCTTACCCCTCACTCATCCACCCGTAACCTCCGGTCCCAAAGCCCAAACCTCCTCCATCAGCCCCGCTCAAGACTCCGCACCATGGGAGGCCGAACCTTCTGCTCCGCTGCCCCTCACATCTGGAACTCCCTCCCTGAACATCTGCGAAAACCCCAGTCTGTGGACACTTTTAAAAAAGGGCTTAAAACTTTTTCGTTCAGGCAGGCGTTCTTAAGTTGTCCTTAGATTTTTCTAATTTCACTCTGCACTTCAACTCCTCTTTTAGCTGTTTTTCCTAATGTATTTTATCACTTGTATTTTTATTTGTTGCTGATTTTAATGTGTTATTGCCCTTAGTGTTTTTGTTATTTTGTTTTCTTGGTTTCTGTAGCACTTTGAGATTCTTTTATGAAAAGTGCTTTACAAGTAAAATGTATTATTATTATTATTATTATTATTATTATTATTATTATTATTTGTCAAATCTTTATTAACTCTCTCTGAAAATTAGCTGAGCTTTACAAAAACTTGAAAGTGAAATAAAGTTTATATTAATAATATTATTGTTACTATTATATTAATCAAATAGACTGTACAGACCCCATTCCTGTATCTACAGCCCTTACCTGTATTACAATTTCATTATTGTTACTATTACTTAAATAAAATAAACAGTACAGACCTCTGACCTGTATCTATAGTGCTGACCTGTGTCATGTATCTGCCCTGTCCTCTGTAACTTAGTATTACTGTGGAGCAAAAATAAAAGTAATAGCTGGAATTACAGTAATAGGCTTTACATGTGAAAAAAATAATTATGTTTTCTATGTGGAAAAATTTGTATTAATGTATATTTATAATTTATATTATATTTTTTTGAAATCATGTTGCCGGATTGAAGGGCCAGAATTGGCCCCCGAGCCAACAGTTTCAGACCCCACTTTAAAGTAACTTCATAATATTTTATAGTATTTAGGATTTTTTTACTTAGTGTCTAATGCAGCACAATGTCATCCTATTTAATCCATATTTTTTGTGTTACATGTTTTAAATACTATCTGACAATGTAGCATTATGACTTCCTGAATGATTTTTTAAAACTAAAATTAATATTTTGTTTTTATTATTCTGATTTCTGAAGGTACAAAGGGTACCAACACCAACCCTTTCATTTCAGCTTTTTCCTGGACGGAGCTTTATAGTCCCAACGTGTAGAACAAGTTGTAGCAACAGGGCACAGATCCTCCCTGTATTTGTAACTATTTTTGTGGTTTTATTGTCTGTTTTTTGTTTATTAATGTGTTTATGTCTCTTTTAAATAAATCCAGTCAAGATGGCTGAGAACTACTGCTTCAATCTTTAAAAAAAAGTTGTATTTTATACAGAAGCAAAAGTGCAATACTCTCTCTCTCTCTCTCTCTCTCTCTCTCTTTCTAGATGTAGTGAAGTAGAAGTATAAAGCTGCATTAAATGAAAATAGTCAACTACAAATACTCAGGATGTAATGTATTTATCAAGGCAGATTAATTATCGTCCAATAAAAGGAAATGTATTAAGTATTATTTTGATAATTATATCCCTGCTGATTGATTATCAGTCCATTATAGTAATAATAATAATAATTAAGTTGAGGGGGGGGTTGGGGGCCCCCCCCCCCCCCCCCCCCGGGGGGGGGGGGGGGGGGGGGTGGGGTGTCCCCGGGAGGAGGGGGGAAAAAAAAAAAAATTAAATTAAAAAAAAAAAAAAAAAAAAGGGGGGGGGCGTTTTTTTTTGGGTGGGGGGAGGTTTTTTTTTTATTTTTTTTTTTTTTTTTTAATTAATTTTTATGGAGGGTTTTTTTTAAAAATTTTTTTTTTTTTAAGAAAAAAATTTTTTTTTTTTTAAGGGGTGGACCCTGTAGGGTTAAGTTTTGGGGGGGTTTTAAGGGAAAATTTTTTTAAAAATTATGTAGTTTTTTGGGGATTGGACATTGCACACTGAAGTTATGAGCACTATTTTATGGTGAATCTGCTGAAATGGACAAGTCATCACTGGCAGGCGGTTTAATGTACAGTCACAGCTCAACTTTTCTATCAGTTTGTATGACGAAAGAATTCAAAGTGGCCAACTTTGACCTCAAGCTACAGACAAGCCGTTCAACGTACAGTCTCAAATTGCACAACTTTTAATCAGCACAATTTTGTGACTGTACTTACCAATTCTGAAGCAGATCCGATAAATTCCCTAGGAGGAGTTCGTTCAAATACAAGGCGAAAAAATCACCGAAAATGCGCACTGAATTCACTAATGGCCAACTTTGAGGGCACGCCACGGACACGCCCTTTAATGTGCATGCACAAATAGCACAACGTTTAATTAGGACCATTTTTTTGACTGTACTGACCAATTTTGAAGCAGATCCGATAAATTGCCTAGGAGGAGTTCGTTCAAATACAAGGCGAAAAATCACCGAAAATGCCCAAGGAATCTCTAATATGGCCGACTTTGAGGGCCGCCACGGACACGCCCTTCAACGTACATGCACAAATAGCACAACTTTTAATCAGGACCATTTTTTGAGTGTACTCACAAATTTTGAAGCATATCCGATAAATTCCCTAGGAGGAGTTTGTTCAAATACAACGCGAAAAGTTCACCGAAAGTGAAACTTTAAATCAAAATGGCCGACTTCCTGTGGGGTTTGGGGTATGGGTCCAAGAGGCTTTTTTGTACGTCCCGAGCATTCTAAACGGGCCTACCAAGTTTCGTACATATCGGTGAAACGTGGCGCCGGGGCTGCTGTTTATTTATCCTGTAGGGGGCGCTACACACAGGACAAACACGATTTTTGGATATGTGAGCTTCAGGCACTACTCTACACGTACCCTGTGAATTTCATATTCATAACTATTACGGTATCCGTACAGTGATTTTTCATGCCAAAAGAGCGCCACCTAGTGGCGTATTTTTATTGTCCTTTTAAGGGAGCCTCAGGGAGCCATGGGGAAGCATCATACCAAGTTTCATCTTAATCACATATACCGTTGTAGAGATATAAACGTCTTCATTTTAAAGAGCGCCACCTAGTGCTGATGGCCTGAAATTGTGCACGATGCTTAAAGAAGACACCTGGAACTATGCACCCAAGTTTGGTGTCAATCGGACATACCAATGTGGAGAAATGGTCCACTTCCTTTTTTGATGGAAAATTCCACAGGAAGTGCTAATTTTATAGCGTGCTTATTGTTTAAAATTTCAAAAATGTTCAAATTGCTTTTTTGCCAGGGCGGTCCCCAGGTGCTAGGTGAAATATTTCATGCGAATCGGACAAAGCGTGTAAGAGGAACACGAAAAAGTAGTTTAACGACATTTCGCACTGTAACGAAAAAAAATTATAGGCGGAAGTGGGCGGGGCCTATATGGAGAGATTCAGCTCCATTCACCGAACGCGTGGATATAAGTTTTTTGAATGTGCGATAAAATATGCAAAAGTTATTAAGTAACAAAAAGTCAAAATACTTTCCTCAATAGTAGCGCCACCTAGTGGCCGACCCGAAAAAGACACATAGAAACTCAACATTTTCAGCAGGCCTGAAAACTTTGCCAAATAAAATTGACTTTTCGTATATATTCAGGGGGCAAAAATGCAATCAAAAGGTGCTAAAAATAATAATAATAATAGGGAAAGCTGCAACGCAGCATTGAGCAATAGGGACCTCGCACCCCAGGTCCCAATTAAGGCTGCAAGCAGCGTTGGGCGGGACCTCGCACCCATGCAACTCGGGGTCGCCACAACATGAAAATGTCACGTAAATCAGCTCAAAATCGCCACGCAGCGCTTACCACCTGTTGCCGGAAGGTGGCGCTATCACTATGTCTTAATATTGTCATGTAGACAAGTTCAGGGCGGGACTGTTGTAACACACGTGAAGTGTCATTGAGATTGGACCACGTACGCTGAAGTTATGAGGACGTGTTCAGGGCGGCACTGTTACAGAATATATGAAGTTCACTGGAGATTGGACATTGCACACTGAAGTTATGAGTGGCATTTCATGGCGAATCCGCTGAATTTGACAAGTCGTCACTGGCACGGTCATTTCACGTAACGCAGCACAAAATCGCCATGCAGCGCTTACCACCTGTTGCCAGAAGGTGGCGCTATCACTATGTCTTAATATTGTCATGTAGACAAGTTCAGGGCGGGACTGTTGTAACACACCTTAAATTTCATTGAGATTGGATCATGTACACTGAAGTTGAGTACTATCTGTTTATGGTGAATGGTCGAAATTCAACGCAACGCCACGGGTACGCCGTTTGACGGAATGTCGTAAATAGCACAACTTTTAATCATGAATGTCTTTAGATTGTGCTGATTAAATTTGAAGTAGATCCGATAAATTCCCTAGGAGGAGTTCGTTCAAATACAACGCGAAAAATCACAGAAAATGACCCAAAAAATCTAAATGGCTGACTTTGATGCCACGCCACGGACACGCCCTTCAACGTACATGCACAAATAGCACAACTTTTAATCAGCACCATTTTTTGACTGTACTCACAAATTTTGAAGCAGATCCGATAAATACCCTAGGAGGAGTTTGTTCAAATAAAACGCGAAAAGTTCGCCAAAAGTGAAACTGAAAATCAAAATGGCCGACTTCCTGTGGGGTGTGGGGTATGGGTCCAAGAGGCTTTTTTGTACGTCCCGGCATTCTAAACGGGCCTACCGAGTTTCGTACATATCGGTGAAACGTGGCGCCAGGGCTTCTGTTTTTTTAACCTGTAGGCGGCGCTACACACATGACAAACACGATTTTTGGTATGTGAGCTTCAGGCACTACTCTACACGTGCCCTGTAAATTTCATATTAATAACTATTACGGTATTCGCACAGTGATTTACGCTGCCAAAAGAGCGCCACCCAGTGGCGTTTTTTGTTTTTCCTTTTTAAGGGAGCCTCAGGGAGCCAGGGGCAAGCAGCCTACCAAGTTTCATCTTAATCACATATACCGTTGTAGAGATATAAACTTCTTCATTTTAAAGAGCGCCACCTAGTGGCAATGGCCTGAAATTGTGCACGATGCTTAAGGAAGACATGTGGAACTATGGACCCAAGTTTGGTGTCAATCGGACATACCAATGTGGAGAAATGGTCCACTTCCTTTTTTGATGAAAAATCTACAGGAAGTTGGAATTTTATAGCGTGCTTATTTTTTTAAATTTCAAAAAGTTCAAATTAGCCTTTTTGCCAGGGCGGTCCCCAGGTAGTAGGTGAAAAATTTCGTGCGAATCGGACAAAGCGTGTAGGAGGAACACTTAAAAGTAGTTCAAGGACATTTTGCGCTCTAGAAAAAAAATTCTAGGCGGAAGGGGGTATGTGGGGGGGCTATATAGGGAGATTCAGCTCCATTCACCGAACACGTGGATGTAAAGTTTTTGAATGTGCGACAAACTATGCAGAAGTTATTAGCCTAAACGCATTTTTATGATAGTAGCGCCACCTAGTGGCAGACCCGAAAGCGACGCATGTAATATCCCCATTTTCACCAGGCCTGATCACTTTGCCAAATAAAATTGACTTTTCGTATATGTTCAGGGGGCCAAAATGCAGTCAATGGGGGCTAAAAAATAATAGGTAAGAAGAAGAAGAAAAAATTTATAAAAAAAAGGGGGCCCCCCGAGGGGGCTTGCGAGGTCCCTAATAATTTATTTTGAATTTTTACTTAAATACAGTAGCTAATTGAGTAAATGAACTTAAATACTTTCCAGCAATATAAATATATATAGTGTCAATAATCCATATATTACAGTGTATTGAAAAATATATGTAATAGTAAAGTTATATGAGTAATTATACACATTAAAAATAGTTTACTGAAGGTCTATACTAAGTTTATGTAGAGAAATGAAGAGATGACCGGATCCTAAAGGTTTCTGTTTCTGTCTGTCCGATAATGGAAACGTCGTTCGTTAAACAGAAAGCAGAGGAAGGTCACACACAAACCGTTAACCGGCTGCTTAACCACCGGATGGTCCGTTGATCAGCTCGTTGTTCGCTGCGAGGAAGGGTTTCACATTCAGAAGCAGCGGGAAGGAGGAAGAGGAAGAGGAGGAGAAGGAAGAGGAGGAGGAGGAAGAAGAGGAGGAGGAAAAGAGGAGGAGGAGGTGGAGGAGGAGGAGGAGGAAGAGGAGGAGGAGGAAGAGGAGGAGGAGGAGGAAGAGGAGGAGGCTGAATCAATAAACAGGTCAGTAAACAGGTGAGATCAGTGAGTTTGTGTTGTTTACCTGCAGCAGACTGGACCGACAACTTCCGTGTTTGATCCCGTCTCCATGGAGACCGAAGAGGACACACCCCTCAGTCTCACACACAGTTAAAGGCTCTTCCTGATTCCACAGCGGACTTCACTGTAAAACATAATGTATGTGCAGGAGGTGAAGTGGAGGATATTCTATTTCTACATATGAGGTACTTTTACTTTGAAAGAGTCTACTACATCTCAGAGGGGAATACTGTAGTTTATACTGCACTACATTTACAGATAAAGATCTTTACACACAAACATATGGAGAGAATCAGAATCAGAATCAGAATCAGAATTTGTTTATTGCCAAGTAGGTTTTTATGCCTACGAGGAATGTGACCTGGTGCAGTTGGTGCATATAAACATATACATATACAAATACAAATATACAATTATTCAAATCACACAGAAAAATAATAATAAGAGGAGAAAGAGAAAGCTGTGCAGAAGAAGTGGGTGCATTAATGTAATGCATACTGTATATACAGGGTGGGTATAAGAGTCAATGACAGTGGGTAATCCAGGCCTTGTTAAGGAGGCCAGCTGCCGAAGGGAAGAAACTGTTTTTATGGCGAGACGTTTTAGTCCTGATGGACCGCAGCCTCCTGCCAGAGGGAAGTATCTCAAAGAGGTTGTGACCGGGGTGGGAGGGGTCAGCCACAATCTTACCTGCACGCTTCCTGGTCCTAGAGGCGTACAGGTCCTGGAGGGATGGCAGATTGCAGCCAATCACCTTCTCAGCTGATCGAATGATACGCTGCAGTCTGCCCTTGTCCTTGGCAGTGGCCGCAGCGTACCAGATGGTGATGGATGAGGTGAGGATGGACTCGATGATGGCGGTGTAGAAGTGCACCATCATCGTCTTTGGCAGGTTGAACTTCTTCAGCTGCCGCAGGAAGTACATCCTCTGCTGGGCTTTCTTAGAGTTGAGGTCCTGGGTGATAATGGTACCCAGAAAGCGGAAGGACTCCACAGAGTCAACTGGGGAGTCACACAGGATGATGGGGGCGGGTGGGGCTGGGTTCTTCCTAAAGTCTACAACCACACTGTTTTTAGAGCGTTTAGCTCCAGGTTGTTCTGGCTGCACCAGGTCACTAGATGGTCAATCTCCCATCTGTAGGCAGACTCATCTCCACCAGAGATGAGCCCAATGAGGGAGGTGTCATCCGCGAACTTCAGGAGCCTGACGGACTGGTGACTGGAGGTGCAGCTGTAAGTATACAGGGAGAAGAGCAGAGGAGAAAGAACGCAGCCCTGAGGGGATCCGGTGCTGATGGTCTGGGAGTCAGAGACATTTTTCCCCAGCTTCATCTGCTGTTTCCTGTCAGACAGGAAGTCTGTGATCCACCTGCAGGTGGAGTCAGGCAGAGTGAGCTGGGAGAGCTTGTCCTGTAGCAGAGCAGGGATGATGGTGTTGAACGCAGAGCTGAAGACCACAAACAGGATCCTGGCGTAGGTTCCTGGGGAGTCCAGATGCTGGAGGGTGAAGTGCAGGGCCTTGTTTACTGCATCGTCTACAGACCTGTTGGCTCTGTAGGCGAACTGCAGGGGGTCCAGGAGTGGGTCCGTTATGGCTTTCAGGTGGGAAAGCACAAGGCGCTCAAAAGACTTCATGACCACAGAGGTGAGGGCAACAGGTCTGTAGTCATTTAGTCCTGTGGTCCTTGCTTTCTTGGGGACAGGGATGATGGTGGATGCTTTGAAGCAGGCTGGCACATGACATATCTCCAAAGAGGTGTTGAAGATGTCAGTGAACACCGGAGACAGCTGGTCAGCACAGTGCTTCAGGGTGGATGGAGAGACAGAATCTGGTCCGGCTGCTTTGCGGGGGTTCTGCCTCTTGAAGAGTCTGTTGACGTCCCTCTGTTGGAGGCAGAGTCTCGTCACTGTGGTGGAGGAGGAGGGATTCACAGAGGTGTGAAGCTGTGAAGTGGCCCCAGCTCCTGTTGGGCTGGGGGGGGAGGGACTGGTTAAGTGGGGCTGGTGAGGGGTGTCACGGGGGATGGTGTCAGGACTGCTCCTTTGTCTATCGAAGCAGCAGTAGAACTCATTCAGCTCGTTTGCCAGACGCAGATCATTGATGGAGTTGATCAAATATGATTTTTATTGTAAATTAAACTGTAAAAACATTTCATGGTTCCGGATTCTCAAACAGAAGATTTGCTGCTTTTCCTCAGACTGTAATAATGTGAATGTATTTGTGATCATTTGGAGATTGGGACTAAAGCATTGTGAAGGTGGCACTTTGGACTCTGGGTCAATGTGACAGCATTTCTCACTTCACAGTTTGTACAAAGCGATCAATCAATGGATTAATGGAGAAAGTGATCAGCCGATGGATCCATAATGAAAATAATCATTAGTTGCAGTCTGATACAAAATAGTTGAAAATGAGTCCAACAGTAAAATCCTGCTTTTACATTAACGTATGAGTCAGTATGAGTACAACACTCCAATACTTGAACTACATGTTAGTTGTAATAGAGTATTTTCACAGAGTGGTATTAGTACTCTTACTGTAGTAAAGGATCTGAATACTATTTCTTTTAACTGGATTCAGTCATGTGTTCAGTTAAACATCAGATCAATGTGACGTTTTGGTGCCTCACATTTCATGACTACGTCTACTCAACCTAAAGTCTTCAGACTACAGAACTTCACACACACTGAGCAGCAACGTTGGGCTCAAACACCCCCCCCCCCCTTTTCTGAGGCTCTCTGTCACAGCACTGCAGACAAACACACACACACACACACACACACACACACACACACACACACACACACACACACACAAACACACCTGTAGTTCTACATGCTTGGAAAATGGAGCGAGATCGACAGCCCAAGAGGAAAGGTGGAGCAAAGAGAGAGAGAGCCACAGATCAGAGTCTGTACTACAGTCAGCCACCAGGGAGAGAGAGAGAGAGAGAGAGAGCGAGAGTCTGTACTGCAGTCAGCCACCAGGGGGGAGAGAGAGAGAGAGAGAGAGAGAGTCTATACTGCAGTCAGCCACCAGGGGGAGAGAGAGAGAGAGAGAGAGAGAGAGAGAGAGAGAGAGAGAGAGAGAGTCTGTACTGCAGTCAGCCACCAGGGAGAGAGAGAGAGAGAGAGAGAGAGAGAGAGAGAGAGGTCTGTACTGCAGTCGGCCACCAGGGGGAGAGAGAGAGAGAGACAGACAGAGAGAGAGAGCGAGAGAGAGAGAGTCTGTACTGCAGTCAGCCACAAGGGGGAGAGAGAGAGAGAGAGAGAGAGAGAGCGAGAGAGTCTATACTGCAGTCAGCCACCAGGGGGAGAGAGAGAGAGAGAGAGAGAGTCTATACTGCAGTCAGCCACCAGGGGGGAGAGAGAGAGAGAGAGAGAGAGAGAGAGAGAGAGAGAGAGAGAGAGTCTATACTGCAGTCAGCCACCAGGGGGAGAGAGAGAGAGAGAGAGAGAGAGAGTCTATACTGCAGTCAGCCACCAGGGGGGAGAGAGAGAGAGAGAGAGAGAGAGAGAGAGAGAGATCTATACTGCAGTCAGCCACCAGGGGGGGAGAGAGAGAGAGAGAGAGAGAGAGAGAGAGAGTCTATACTGCAGTCAGCCACCAGGGGGAGATAGATTGCAACCAACTGAATACAGCTCAGCCGTCCAACCATAGGAGAAACTATGGTGGCAGTGAAACTCTCATAAGTCATCAGTCAGTGTTTAATTTGTCCGTTCTGGGCTACTGTAGAAACATGGCGGACTCCACCAGCAGAGGACTCGCTCCCTCTGTAGATAACAACGTCTCTTTCTAACAAACACACAATGATTCTAATGTTCAGGTGATCATACACTGATGAAAACAACCGATGGATATTATTCTACATGTCTGACAATAGAAGTCTGAATGTGGAGAGCCTTAAAAACAATGAATCTGTAAAAGAATGAGAAGATAAATATGGAAATATAAAGACAAAAAAATACAAGAATAATTATAATTTGGTCATTTATTTCTGTATATTTTATATAATATATTCTTTAATTGATCTGTTTTACTTATTGTTCTGTTCCTCTGTGATTATACAGAACTGTAATGATAATATGATTTCACTGAGAATAAAATACATTTACTGTTATGTTGTCATAAACACAACTAATCTTCAGAGTCACTTTGGGTTCTGTAGATCTGAATGAACTCCAGGTCCAGGTCCAGGTCCAGGTCCAGGTGGAGCAGTCTCAGTGTGTCTGCAGAGACTGTAGACGGACAGAGCAGCAGCAGCAGCAGCTCCAGATACACTGATGATACTCTGTCACATGATCCAGAGGAACACACAGGGAGCTGATCTCAGAGCAGTTCAGACTGCAGCACTGAGAGTCGTCTCCACTGGTTGTGATTCCTCTGTCAGTCACTGCTGGATGAAGCTCTCCTCTCCACTCTACCTCCCAGTAACATGGCCCAGTCAGAGCTGATGCTGCTGCTTCAACCTCTCTGGATCATCAGGACACAGCGGATCCTCCAACACAACCTCCTTCCTCACCGCTCACTGTCTGACTGAGATCACTTCCATCTGAGGAGAGAAGGAGACAGAGGACAGCAGAGATAAATCAGTGTTTACAGAGACTCCCTCCATCAGCACATCCAGTATAAAGAGCAGCAGGGACTTCAGTCCAGTTCAGACCAGCAGTGGAGCGGCTGTGTAGCGTAGCCTGCTTCCTTTCAGCTCTCATGTTAACGTATTGGAGTGAACACACTGAGCTGAAGCTCACAGACCTGCACACACTTTGGACATCAAGTCTGCTGACTCTGCAGATTTCACTGAAGTACACAGTGGAAATAAAGTGCTGAGAGTCCCTGAACGCATCATTACTGCAGAAACAGAGAGACATTCACTGCCCACTGGAATGATGCATTTACTGCTGTTAGGGTTCAAAGCTGATAAAAACCACAGTCTCAGTCACATTTGAATGTTTCATCTGAACTCTTACAGGACAAATGTGTAAATATTCAAACTATTTGGACAAACAAGAGACAAATGGACAGATATATATCTGATGTTAAAGGTCCTACATGTTCATACAAAGACTGAACAGCAACACATCAGCTGTGGGTACTGGACTCCAGCAGAGGTCCTGGTCTGTACAAAGACCACATGGTCACTAAATGTAATGATGCTTGTTTGCAGGCTTCAGTCAGACTGATCTCAGAGCTGTGACAAAGACCAACTGATCAGTTGTTTAGTGTAGAAATGAGAGAACAAACAGTGTGAGATCAGACTGGATGAATGAGGACCACTGTCTCTATACATCTTGTAATGCTGTCAGCTGGAATCCAGCTTTATTTCCTGAACACATGAACACAACAACAACAGTCGTCTTCACATCAACTCAAACACATGATCACAACAAGCTTCTGGCTCTCTGATTGGCTGACTGTTCTCTCTCTGTCTGTCTGTCCAATCCTGAAGCCTGTCCCCATTCTCCTCTCACAGCTTCACTGAGGAAAGCAGCAAATACTGGATCTGTGTTTAGTCCAAGACTGCTGGAACCAGCATGGACTGACTCAGACCCTCTACTGACCTCAGAGTCTGCAGTCTACAGTGTGGACTCTCCACAAGATCAGACAGCAGCTTCACTCCTGAATCCTTCAGGTTGTTGTTGTTAGTCAGGTCCAGCTCTCTCAGATGGGAGGGGTTGGACTTCAGAGCTGAGACCAGAGAAGAACAGCTGATCTCTGACAACCTGCAGTTCCTCAATCTGGATAAAGAATAAAAGATGTGAGTTTAGAAGACAATGTTCCTGCTTGAAATCATTCAGTGTTTAATAATCTGTTCAGAGCTGAAGAAGGTTTACAATGAACAAGTTTAAAGAATAAATGATGAAGATAAAATCATTTATAATCCAATCAGATGTGTTCAGTTCGCTACGAGTCAGAGAGCTAATGCTACGCTACGATACAGAGAGCTAACGTAACGCAACGATACAGAGAGCTAACGTTACGCTAAGAGTCAGAGAGCTAATGCTACGCTATAAGTCAGAGAGCTAACGTTACGCTACGAGTCAGAGAGCTAACGTTACGCTACGAGTCAGAGAGCTAACGCTACGCTACGAGTCAGAGAGCTAACGTTACGCTACGAGTCAGAGAGCTAACGTTACGCTACGAGTCAGAGAGCTAACGTTACGCTACGAGTCAGAGAGCTAGCGTTACGCTACGAGTCAGGGAGCTAGCGTTACGCTACGAGTCAGAGAGCTAGCGTTACGCTACGAGTCAGAGAGCTAACGCTACGCTACGAGTCAGAGAGCTAACGCTACGCTACGAGTCAGGTTGCGCTATGATACACAGAGAGCTAACGTTACGCTACGAGTCAGAGAGCTAACGCTACGCTACGAGTCAGGTTGCGCTACGATACAGAGAGCTAATGCTACGCTACGAGTCAGAGAGCTAACGTAACGCTACGATACAGAGAGCTAATGCTACGCTACGATACAGAGAGCTAATGCTACGCTACGATACAGAGAGCTAACGCTACGCTACGATACAGAGAGCTAATGCTACGCTACGATACAGAGAGCTAATGCTACGCTACGATACAGAGAGCTAATGCTACGCTACGATACAGAGAGCTAACGTTACGCAGCTTCATAAAACACTGAATACATTTGTTATTGTCTGACAGTTGAAATAAAGATTATTTATTCTTTGTTGTTATTTCTTTTCTTCTTATTTAGCCTTTAGCATTCAGATACTCAGTGTGGATCAGTTTAATATCAACCTGTCTGCACTTTACTGTCAGCACAACTTAACATCACATTCATCTCAGCACAGAAAGAAAACATGGTGTCTGACCTCAGAGTCTCCAGTCTACAGTGTGGACTCTCCAGAAAACCACACAGCAGCTTCACTCCTGAATCCTGCAGGTTGTTGTGACTCAGGTCCAGCTCTCTCAGATGGGAGGGGTTGGACTTCAGAGCTGAGACCAGAGAAGAACAGTTGATCTCTGACAAACTGCAGCTCCTCAATCTGAATAAAGAATAAAAGATGTGAGTTTAGAAGACAATGTTCCTGCTTGAAATCATTCAGTGTTTAATAATCTGTTCAGAGCTGAAGAAGGTTTACAATGTACAAGTTTAAAGAATAAATGATGAAGATAAAATCATTTATAATCCAATCAGATGTGTTCAGTTCGCTACAAGTCAGAGAGCTAATGCTACGCTACGATACAGAGAGCTAATGCTACGCTACGATACAGAGAGCTAACGTTACGCTACGATACAGAGAGCTAACGTTACGCTACGAGTCACAGAGCTAACGCTACGCTACGATACAGAGAGCTAACGTTACGCTACGATACAGAGAGCTAACGTTACGCTACGATACAGAGAGCTAACGCTACGCTACAAGTCAGGTTGCGCTACGATACAGAGAGCTAACGCTACGCTACAAGTCAGAGAGCTAACGCTACGCTACGAGTCAGAGAGCTAGCGTTACGCTACGAGTCAGAGAGCTAATGCTATGCTACAAGTCAGAGAGCTAACGTTACGCTACAAGTCAGAGAGCTAGCGTTACGCTACGAGTCAGAGAGCTAACGTTACGCTACGAGTCAGAGAGCTAATGCTACGCTACGATACAGAGAGCTAATGCTACGCTACGATACAGAGAGCTAATGCTACGCAGCTTCATAAAACACTGAATATATTTGTTATTGTCTGACAGTTGAAATAAAGATTATTTATTCTTTGTTGTTATTTCTTTTCTTCTTATTTAGCCTTTAGCATTCAGATACTCAGTGTGGATCAGTTTAATATCAACCTGTCTGCACTTTACTGTCAGCACAACTTAACATCACATTCATCTCAGCACAGAAAGAAAACATGGTGTCTGACCTCAGAGTCTCCAGTCTACAGTGTGGACTCTCCAGAAAACCACACAGCAGCTTCACTCCTGAATCCTGCAGGTTGTTGTTGTAACTCAGGTCCAGCTCTCTCAGATGGGAGGGGTTGGACTTCAGAGCTGAGACCAGAGAAGAACAGTTGATCTCTGACAAACTGCAGTACCTCAATCTGAATAAAGAATAAAAGATGTGAGTTTAGAAGACAATGTTCCTGCTTGAAATCATTCAGTGTTTAATAATCTGTTCAGAGCTGAAGAAGGTTTACAATGTACAAGTTTAAAGAATAAATGATGAAGATAAAATCATTTATAATCCAATCAGATGTGTTCAGTTCGCTACGAGTCAGAGAGCTAATGCTACGCTACGATACAGAGAGCTAATGCTACGCTACGAGTCAGAGAGCTAACGTTACGCTACGAGTCAGAGAGCTAACGTAACGCTACGATACAGAGAGCTAGCGTTACGCTACGAGTCAGAGAGCTAACGTTACGCTACGAGTCAGAGAGCTAACGTTACGCTACGAGTCAGAGAGCTAGCGTTACGCTACGAGTCAGAGAGCTAATGCTACGTTACGATACAGAGAGCTAGCGTTACGCTACGAGTCAGAGAGCTAACGTAACGCTACGATACAGAGAGCTAGCGTTACGCTACGAGTCAGAGAGCTAACGTTACGCTACGAGTCAGAGAGCTAACGTTACGCTACGAGTCAGAGAGCTAGCGTTACGCTACGAGTCAGAGAGCTAACGTTACGCTACGAGTCAAAGAGCTAGCGTTACGCTACGATACAGAGAGCTAACGCTACGCTACAAGTCAGGTTGCGCTACGATACAGAGAGCTAACGCTACGCTACAAGTCAGAGAGCTAACGCTACGCTACGAGTCAGAGAGCTAGCGTTACGCTACGAGTCAGAGAGCTAATGCTATGCTACAAGTCAGAGAGCTAACGTTACGCTACGAGTCAGAGAGCTAATGCTACGCTACAAGTCAGAGAGCTAACGTTACGCTACGAGTCAGAGAGCTAACGTTACGCTACGATACAGAGAGCTAACGTTACGCTACGAGTCAGAGAGCTAATGCTACGCTACGAGTCAGAGAGCTAACGTTACGCTACGAGTAAGAGAGCTAACGTTACGCTACGAGACAGAGAGCTAACGTTACGCTACGAGTCAGAGAGCTAATGCTACGCTACCAGTCAGAGAGCTAACGTTACGCTACCAGTCAGAGAGCTAACGTTACGCTACGATACAGAGCTAATGCTACGCTATAAGTCAGAGAGCTAACGTTACGCTACGATACAGAGAGCTAATGCTACGCTACGAGTCAGAGAGCTAACGTTACGCTACGATACAGAGAGCTAATGCTACGCTACGAGTCAGAGAGCTAACGTTACGCTACGAGTCAGAGAGCTAACGTTACGCTACGAGTCAGAGAGCTAACGTTACGCTACGAGTCAGAGAGCTAATGTTACGCTACGATACAGAGAGCTAATGCTACGCTACGAGTCAGAGAGCTAATGCTACGCTACGATACAGAGAGCTAATGCTACGCAGCTTCATAAAACACTGAATACATTTGTTATTGTCTGACAGTTGAAATAAAGATTATTTATTCTTTGTTGTTATTTCTTTTCTTCTTATTTAGCCTTTAGCATTCAGATACTCAGTGTGGATCAGTTTAATATCAACCTGTCTGCACTTTACTGTCAGCACAACTTAACATCACATTCATCTCAGCACAGAAAGAAAACATGGTGTCTGACCTCAGAGTCTCCAGTCTACAGTGTGGACTCTCCAGAAAACCACACAGCAGCTTCACTCCTGAATCCTTCAGGTTGTTGTATCTCAGCTCCAGCTCTCTCAGATGGGAGGGGTTGGACTTCAGAGCTGAGACCAGAGAAGAACAGCTGATCTCTGACAAACTGCAGCTCCACAATCTGAATAAAGAATAAAAGATGTGAGTTTAGAAGACAATGTTCCTGCTTGAAATCATTCAGTGTTTAATAATCTGTTCAGAGCGTCATTGGATTTTCCTTTCAGTAACGGGGATTAAAAACAGAAAACGAGTGGTTATTTGATTTTCGTTTTAAAATACAAAGATTAAAATTGAACTACAAGGCGTTTTTCTTTTTCATGGTAAGAAAGGGATGAGCGAAATTAAAAAAATGATTCGATTTTCATTTTCTATTTCATATAACAAAAAATAAAATCACTAGAAAACAGAAACAGAAAAAAGGCCTGTTGTTTCATATTCTGAGACCGGATGTTGTCATTTACAGGACCGTGCTGTGGAGAAGAAACAGTAGGCTAGTAGACTGCGGTCAACTGTATGTGGAACCACCTGCAACAGCTGTCACACTGAATAATATAAAAAATAATATGTGATGAAGAGACAGTAGGTACAATGGTGTTTTGAAGTTAAAACTAATTATTTTTCCTTTTTACCTACAAATGGACACAGCAGAGCTGTAAAATAAGAAGAATGTGGACTGGCATTGCATTTTGTGTGAAAAGAAAACAAATTAGAGTTGTGTAGGATTTTGTGTTTAGTGTTTATAATATCAAGATGTTATTAAACATTTGTGTGAAATTTTGTCATGATTACTGCAGCATTATTGAAGTATAATGAAAATGCTTCGAATATTGAGCAATATGTTTTTACAGTTGCTCAAAAATATAAGAAATATGGAATCTGGAAGTATAAATATAGGACTTTTATTGTTGAATTTCTCCAAATTGGTACAGTAGAAATGCTTGATATTAAGTATGTTTGTAGTCTCATATGTGTAAAAGTCAAATATACCATCAGTAGCCAGGAAACACTGAGCAATATGTTTTTAACAGTACCCCAAATATGGTCAAATATGCAATCTCTGGAGGCATAAATATGAGACTTTTATTTTGGCATTTCTCCACACTGGTGCAGTAAAGATACTTGATATAAAGTGTTTTTTTATTCATCAGGGGCACACAACACTTTAATGTAACATATTTTATTTATAGCTTACTGTTCTAAATACCTTTATTTTGAAAACCGGAAGTAAATACAGCGTTTCTCCACATTTACCATAATGCTGAGAATACTTGTACACTCTGAATTTAAGTGCGGCTGATTTGACCACAGGGATCGGACTCACGGCTGGATTGACCGCAGTCTACTAGCCTCAACATCAGTCACACTGTTGAATACATAGAGGCACATTTATTAATCATTTATTGAGTAAATACATAGAAAATATAGATATATCTATAGATTTCCACTTGATTTAATAATTATAATCTGGTTGATGATATCGGTATTGAAACTTTGACATCTTCCAAAAACCTGATAAATATACTTAAATATAGTAGAGTAAATTGAAAGGCAGTTAACTGGAGGTAAGGACAGAGTTCAGCAGATGAACAGACATCAATAACTGTGGATTCAGAATAATGTATTAACTGCTTTAAGGTTCACCAGTTTCAGCCCACCCTGTTTATAATTGTTATATAAGAACGCTCTTATGATCTTATCAGGCCCCTTTTAAATGAAATATGTGTTGTTCATATATGTTGAACCACTCTTTTCTCCTGGGAGGGCAATGACATCAGCATACATAGAAACTGAGCTGTTATTCAAAGTATTCATCAGTTAATTGAGTCATTCTCCAAACTTTTCATTTTCTATCACCTGTTTGTAGTCAAAGGTTTCTCCTGTAATGTGTTCATCAGCTCTTAACCTCTGCATTAGGGATGTAACAATAAACTCAACTAACGATTCACAATACGATTCTTTCTTTGTCACAGAATGAGATTAAAGACAAATTATGAGGAGAAGTACCAGGTAGAACAGTGATGTGTCTCTGAATTCCTCTCTGTGTCACTGCTGCAGTCATTTCATTCATGTTTCTGTAGCCTGTGCAACATATATATCACACACTGTCTCATTTCAAACCACAGATCTTCATCAGCACAGTCATCTTCATCAGCACACAGCTGACTGACTGTGAGCTTCATCCTCAATCAGCCTAATAACTGGATCCAATGTGAGCCAAGTTCTCTGAATCTGAAATGTACCCTGGTTCCAACCTTTGTCCTTCAGGGAGCTGTATAATATTCCCTGCTGGAGGATGATCAGTGTCACAGAACAGCACTCCTCTACTGCCTCTGACACCTTCTGCACATGCACAACACTCATCCAGCTACACACTTTATTGTGTGTAAATAGCTCATTCCCCTCACTCAGCTGGTCCGCTCTGCAATCTTTATCAATCCTTTGGTACAACAGTGTTCGTCTGTGACAATGTAAGCTATCATGTAAATACCTGATGTCATGCTTCACGTTGCTTAGATAGTGATTGCCAATGTGGCAGTGTTTAATATCGTATGCTGTAATCAGCATTAACTCACCTTGTGTTCAACTTAGTCACTGAGCAGATGTGTAACTCAGTTAACGTGCTACAGTGTATGCCTATATCACTGTATGTTTATTTGCAACCAATCATTGAACTAGCTACTAACCGAAGCAGCTCCAGACAGTCTCGCTCAAACATTGTAAAGCCACAATGAGCGACAAAGCCTCTTTCTCATTAACAGAGTGATTACGCTGGTAATTATTCAACTTTCTTTGAGAAGAAACTGACTGGTCATCATTCTGCAGCAAGACAGCACCTGCTCCCACCTGGCTGAGATCTACCTGCAGCATAAAGATGAAAACAAAGAGCAGCAAGAGCAGGAGACGAGCAGAACAGCAATCTGACTGTATCAAAAGCTTGAAATTTCAACACTTGTCCAAACATATGGGATAAAAAATTTGACCCCTGGTCACTCTGGATCACTTTGGGAATGCCAAATTTTGAGATAACTGTCAATGCCTTAACCACAACTACGGTAGTAATCGACCTCAACGTTTACGCAGCCGGATACCTAGTGCTCTGACACATCACAGTAAGCAGGTATTTACAACTAGACTTGGCACATGGCAACGGGCCCACACAGTCCACAACGAGATGTGTAAACGGTTCACTCACACCCGGGATAGGCTGCGGTGGCGCAGGCTTGACAGTCTGATTCACCTTTCCTCTGAGATGGCAAACATGGCAGGTTTAATGTATGCGGACACGTCCCTTTTGATCCGCAGCCAAAAGAAATGCTTCAAGATGTTGAGGAACGTTTTCCAGAAACCAAAATGTCCACACGTGTCATGTGCCACTATCAAGACGAGTGAAGAAACCTTAGTTGGGACCCCTATCTGGAAAACATCCTTTTTTACCCCATCCTCACTCACAGGAACCCATTTTCTGAATATTAACTTCAACGTGGTTCAGAAGTTGTTACATTGCTCTTGTACCACCTCACTGTGCGACAGTGACAAAGGAAGCTCGGACAAAGATTGGACCTCCAAAACCACATCAGTACTGTTACTGTCAGGTCAGCTTCTCTACGCACAGCGTCCTGCAACTAGTGCATTGTAATTCTTCTTGGACACAAAATCAGATGGACAAAGTGTGACTACAGGTGAGGGAGTGTCGGTCCAAGCCATTTCCTAAAATAAGGTGCATGCCTTCAATAGTCAACGCAGGCCGTACACCCACAGCTGCCTCACCCTGAACCAGTTCACAGTTCAGAACCATCTTGTGCAAAGGTACTGGGAAAACGCTTAATCCCATCCCCCGGCTATGAACAGAGTCACCGGTAAAAGTGTCCCTTGAGAAAGACAACACAGTCAGCAATGTAGGAACTGTAGGCCCCAGTATCCCTCAGGATTTTTATTGGGACTTCCACATCACTTCCCACCAGCGACACAGATCCACCACGAATGAAAGGAGCATAAACCGCCAAAACCTGTGATTCACAAGTGTGAGGGGTAAACACCTCAGAACCTTAACAGTCACAGTTAATGTGCCAGGCCTAGCATTAGCTTTCCTTTGTTTTAGCCTTTAACACAGCACAATCTGCCTTCCAATGTCCTCTCTCGTGAATAGTTACAGATGTTACCACTGTCAAAACTACCACTTGCTTTAAAGTCAGGTTTTAAATGGTGATTTCTCTTTGAACGTGTCATGTTAAAACAGAACAGCAATGTCCTTGCACACCAAAAACAGCCACAGAGCCACAGAGCGGTCTCTGAAACTGCCCTTATGGGGCAAAACATACTCGCCAAAATCATCAAGTCCTAGTAGCTTCCTGTACAAACATACCTGCTGTGAATTATTAATGCTCCTGTTTACTGGTTGAGTCAGAACACAAAGAAACATCATTTTCTGACATCATACACACCTTGAAGAGTCACCTGTTGTAGGTGGCAGATAAATATACCTAAAACATCTGCATCAGAAAATATACTTCACACTGTGTGTGTGTGTGTGTGTGTGTGTGTGTGTGTGTGTGTGTGTGTGTGTGTGTGTTTGTTTGTATTGTCTCACATGTAATACAATGTAGATAAACACAGAGCAAACAAATCTACTGACCTCAGAGTCTCCAGTCTACAGTGTGGACTCTCCAGAAAACCACACAGCAGCTTCACTCCTGAATCCTGCAGGTTGTTGTTACTCAGGTCCAGCTCTCTCAGATGGGAGGGGTTGGACTTCAGAGCTGAGACCAGAGGCGGACAGTTGATCTCTGACAACCTGCAGTCACTCAATCTGCATAAAGAATAAAAGATGTGAGTTTAGAAGACAATGTTCCTGCTTGAAATCATTCAGTGTTTAATAATCTGCTCAGAGCTGAAGAAGGTTTAAGTTTAGGTTAAATAAGAGAGAGATGTTATATTAGATATATTTGAAATATGAAGCTCAACAAGATGCTTATACACCAATCAGCCCTAACACAGTGAGCATTGACAGTGATTAACACTGATTTATCTGGTTATCAGGGTTCCTGTCAGTGGGGGGGGATATATCAGACAGCAAGTGAACATTTTGTCCTCAAAGTTGATGTTTTAGAAGAAGGAAAAATGGGCAGCGTGAGGATTTGAGCGACTTTGACAAGGACCAGAGGAAGAAGTAAGAAGTCAATTCAGTGCCAGTTACACAAAGGATCCCAAATGTGGAAGTTAACATTTAGTTCTTGCTGTTCATACGATGTTCTTGCTCATTCAAGGGCATTTTGTTGCTGCTGTTTACCGCAGCCTCTGGGGTGTTGCCTGTGATTCAGTTAGGTTTGAATCCCAGTTACGTTGATGTTTATTGGATGCTGAGTGCAAGCAGTCAAAATGTTAACTTGTAATGTGAATGGTTTACTCAAACAAATAATGTTGAAGTTGCAGAAACACACCTTACCGATAACGAACATGCTCAATAAAAAATAATGGGATTCAAGTACCTGTTTTCATCATCATATTTTACGGGTCATTGAAGGAGAAAGAAATTAGCTCAGCTATAGCTCATCTGAAATCAAAAAGGGCTCCAGGACCAGACAAGTTTCCCACTGATTATTAATGAAGGATTCACTGATCCCTGTCCTGCAGTCCACCTTTAACAGTGTTCTTAAAGAGAGCAAGATCCCCCTCTCCTGGAGGAAAGCAGTAATTTCATTGATACCAAAGGAAGGTAAGGATAAGCTTGAATGCAGTAACTTTAGACCAGTAGGTGTGTTAAACCAGGACTATAAAGTATTTACACATATATTGGCCATATGAATAGAGGGACTTTTACCACATCAGCCTGGACCAGACAGGATTAGTCTGCCAAAGACAAACTCAAGACAATATCAAACGAACCTCACACGTAATTAACCATATGACGAAATATGACATAGAAGCAATGTTGGTGGGGTTGGATGCGAAAAAGGCCTTTGACTGTGTAAACTAGTTCTTTTTATTTATGGTTTTAGAATCATTTGGCTTTTATAATACTGCTTATCAAAACTAGCTCTTTATGATAAACCAAGGGCGAGAATTAAGATAAATGGAACAGTAACCAACTCATGTGCAGTTTGTAAATTCACAAATTACATTACATTACGATTATGTTGATATGGATCCTGATGCATTTAAGTGTGCAGTGCTTGCTGTTATTGCTGCTCCACAAAGTGAAGTCACCCAGGTTCAAGATGATATATGCTCCCACCATTGAAACCCATATACAGACGATATACACCGTGTTCAGACACTAAGAAACAAACACAGATGTTGATCACAGTCCTTGGGACGATTACGGCCTCTCGAGAAAACACTATCAAGGAGCTGGAAAAGTCTGCTATACATTGTTCAGATGAAATCACCACACTGCAACGCCAAGTCACACTGAACTCTGAAGTAGAGGAACTAACTGAAAAATATGAAGAATCAACATCAGAATAATCAGCACCCCCGAGGGGACAGAAGGACCCAGACAGAGGAACTTTACTGCCAGGCTGCAAGGCACACTGTCCCTGAAGGGAAGCCTTTCATTGACAAGGCACAACACACTCTCTGACAACCTCATGAGTTACCCAGGCTTGTTATTATGAGGTTACACTACTACAATGTGTCACAAAGTTACAGCAGCGAAACAGCCCCTCCTCCAAGAGGATCCAAATCTTCTCAAACTATCCGCTTGCCGTGGCCAGACAGAGGTTGCTACACCAGAGAGCAACTACAGGGCATCCCAGGCGTCAGATATATCCACCAGGGTGCCCAGGTGGTCATAATGTTATGGCTGATCGGTGTATTACACTGTAACTGCCATGTTTTACAGGTGATCTGAGTGACCTGATGAAGCTCAGGTGTTCCTGGACCAGTCAGAAGAGGAAGTTGTTGTCTGCATTCCTCAGTCAAGTGACAGCCTAAAGACCACATGGTGACAGATGCAGCATTAGGAAAGGAAGAGTCATCAAGATGAACACTGATTACAGAGCTCCATTAGCAGCTGACTCTTCAGTATACAAGAAACCATATACCTTGATGGAGGACCTGATCTGCAGTTTACATAAAAGTTATGGCTTTGCTGCTTGCATCACAGACACAATATACACCGATCACAATTAACATTATGACCACCTGGGCACCCTGCTCTGCACTGTGTGTTCTGACCCGTTTCTATCAGAACCAGCATTGACTGTTTCAGCAGCTTGAGCTACAGTAGCTCGTCTGTTGGATCGGACCACACGGGCCAGCCTTCACTCCCCACCTGCATCAATGAGTCTATGACCACTTTTGATTGGTACTGACCTCTGCAGACCGGGAACCCCCACAAGAGCTGCAGGTTCGGAGATGTTCTGACCCAGTCGTCCATCACAATGGGGCTCTTGTCAAAGTGGCTCAGATCCTCACGCTGCCCATTTTTCTTGCTTCTAACACATCAACTCTGAGGACCAAATGTTCACTTCCTGCCTGATATATCCCCCACCATCAGGAGCCCTGATAACCAGATAACCAGTATTGTCCACTGGCAGTGGTCACAGTGTTATGGCTGAAGGATCCCAAGCACTTTTGGCACTGTCCAATACTAGAATGGTTTTGGAGTGATAAATGTAATTGGTTGTCTAAACAATATGGAATAAGCGTTCAGCCAGACTGTAATTAGGCAATATTTGGTTGCTCTGATAGGACAAGGCCCATTGTCTCCCATCAAAAGTGGGATCTCAAAGCAGGCGTGGTTGCAGCATAAACAATATTATTCAATTGGAAGTCTCCATTGTCCCCGTGCTTTAGGTGGTGGCTCAATGGAAAGGTTTATAATGCAACAGATTCATTTTAGCAAAGGGAACTCACAAAATGATTTCATGAACATATGAAAACCTTATTTGACAATGCTGGATGAGACCTAACTGTTTGACCCAAGAGCTCTGTTGCTGTTACTCTGCTGTGTCAGTATCTGTGTGAATTCTGCCATATTCTGCATACTGACTAATATTCTGGTACTCCCAACCCACATTCTTTTTTGCATATATATTTTTTCTCTCACCCCTTTACTCTTTATTGGCAGACGTTTCTAACACTGCTGCCTTTGGAGACTTTGGACATTGTTCCCTTGTCTGTCTTGCTGTTATTTTGTATAATGGTACTGGGTTCTTTATGTCTGTTATGTGTGTGCATGTTTATTGTTAAAATAAGATGTTGGAAAAAGAGAAAATCAATCTCAGCACAGAAATAAAAAATGGTGTCTGACCTCAGAGTCTCCAGTCTACAGTGTGGACTCTCCACAAGATCAGACAGCAGCTTCACATCTGATTCCTGCAGGTAGTTGTTACTCAGCTCCAGCTCTCTCAGATGGGAGGGGTTGGACTTCAGAGCTGAGACCAGAGAAGAACAGCTGATCTCTGACAACCTGCAGTTAATCAATCTGAATAAAGAATAAAAGATGTGAGTTTAGAAGACAATGTTCCTGCTTGAAATCATTCAGTGTTTAATAATCTGTTCAGAGCTGAAGAAGGTTTACAATGTACAAGTTTAGAAAATCGAAACACCTGAACCCAACAGGATGCAGGTTGCAAACTGTAAAATACAAAGAGGTAAAAAGAGCTCTCATTAATATTAATGACAACGTGCTGCTGCTTCAATAAAGACGTAGTGACTTCAGCTCTGAACCTCTGCAGCTCCACCAGTGGCTCCATCTATACAAACTCATGTTGTGCAGCCAAACACAAAGAAAAAGCCACAGAAAGTGATTGAAGGTTCCACTATTAAAGATAAAATGCTGTCATCTTGAGTGTAAATATTCAGTCAGAGGAAACGTCACTTATCATCAGAAAGGTTTGGAACAAGCTGATATGTTTGTTCCTGTCTGAGAGGGAAGAAAACACATGTTTGTGTTTGTGTTCAGAGGATCATGAGGGAAAGGTGGGAATGAAATGATGAAGAGGTTAAGAGACAATCAACCACTGTTAAATTATTAAATATATTACATATTACTACAAGTGTGACATACAAATGTCATTTACAGATGTTTAAATCTTATTTTTCACTTTCAAACATTTAATCTGAGTTTAATGTCAAATCTGAAGGAGATTTTAGCTCATAAATATCAACCTGTCTGCACTTTACTGTCAGCACAACTTAACATCACATTCATCTCAGCACAGAAAGAAAACACGGTGTCTGACCTCAGAGTCTCCAGTCTACAGTGTGGACTCTCCAGAAAACCACACAGCAGCTTCACTCCTGAATCCTGCAGCTTGTTGTTACTCAGGTCCAGCTCTCTCAGATGGGAGGGGTTGGACTTCAGAGCTGAGCCCAGAGAAGAACAGCTGATCTCTGACAAACTGCAGTAACTCAATCTGAATAAAGAATAAAAGATGTGAGTTTACAATGAAACAGTTCAGTCAGTAGAAGCATTATATAGTTTCATATTATTGGTGGAAAAATCAAATGCTGAATATATTTGTTATTGCCTGATGGTTGAAATAGAGATTATTGAACTACTCATTGTATGTCTGTATTTTTATTCTCATTGGTTAAAACCATGATGTTAATATCAGATTAAATCCAGAGCTGAAGAGGTTCACAGTGAATTATTCAGTGTAGATTCTTCTTGTTCTATGAAGGTTTTAAATGTGGAGCTCAACATTGCTCTGCCACAGTCAATGCACTAAACCACAGAAGAAGAAAACAGCCTTTAGCATTCAGATACTCAGTGTGGATCAGTATAATATCAGCCTTATGTCTGCACTTTACTGTCAGCACAACTTAACATCACATTCATCTCAGCACAGAAAGAAAACATGGTGTCTGACCTCAGAGTCTGCAGTCTACAGTGTGGACTCTCCAGAAAACCACACAGCAGCTTCACTCCTGAATCCTGCAGGTTGTTGTTGTTACTCAGGTCCAGCTCTCTCAGATGGGAGGGGTTGGACTTCAGAGCTGAGACCAGAGAAGAACAGCTGATCTCTGACAAACTGCAGCCACTCAATCTGAATAAAGAATAAAAGATGTGAGTTTAGAAGACAATGTTCCTGCTTGAAATCATTCAGTGTTTAATAATCTGTTCAGAGCTGAAGAAGGTTTAAGTTTAGGTTAAATAAGAGAGAGATGTTATATTAGATATATTTGAAATATGAAGCTCAACAAGATGCTTATACACCAATCAGCCCTAACACAGTGAGCATTGACAGTGATTAACACTGATTTATTTGGTTATCAGGGTTCCTGTCAGTGGGGGGGGAATATATCAGACAGCAAGTGAACATTTTGTCCTCAAAGTTGATGTTTTAGAAGAAGGAAAAATGGGCAGCGTGAGGATTTGAGCGACTTTGACAAGGACCAGAGGAAGAAGTAAGAAGTCAATTCAGTGCCAGTTACACGAAGGATCCCAAATGTGGAAGTTAACATTTAGTTCTTGCTGTTCATACGATGTTCTTGCTCATTCAAGGGCATTTTGTTGCTGCTGTTCACCGCAGCCTCTGGGGTGTTGCCTGTGATTCAGTTAGGTTTGAATCCCAGTTACGTTGATGTTTATTGGATGCTGAGTGCAAGCAGTCAAAATGTTAACTTGTAATGTGAATGGTTTACTCAAACAAATAATGTTGAAGTTGCAGAAACACACCTTACCGATAACGAACATGCTCAATAAAAAATAATGGGATTCAAGTACCTGTTTTCATCATCATATTTTACGGGTCATAGAAGGAGAAAGAAATTAGCTCAGCGATAGCTCATCTGAAATCAAAAAGGGCTCCAGGACCAGACAAGTTTCCCACTGATTATTAATGAAGGATTCACTGATCCCTGTCCTGCAGTCCACCTTTAACAGTGTTCTTAAAGAGAGCAAGATCCCCCTCTCCTGGAGGAAAGCAGTAATTTCATTGATACCAAAGGAAGGTAAGGATAAGCTTGAATGCAGTAACTTTAGACCAGTAGGTGTGTTAAACCAGGACTATAAAGTATTTACACATATATTGGCCATATGAATAGAGGGACTTTTACCACATCAGCCTGGACCAGACAGGATTAGTCTGCCAAAGACAAACTCAAGACAATATCAGACGAACCTCACACGTAATTAACCATATGACGAAATATAACATAGAAGCAATCTTGGTGGGGTTGGATGCGAAAAAGGCCTTTGATTGTGTAAACTAGTTCTTTTTATATATGGTTTTAGAATCATTTGGCTTTTATAATACTTTTATCAAAACTAGCTCTTTATGATAATGATAATGATAAAGATAAAGATAAATGGAACAGTAACCAACTCATGTGCAGTTTGTAAATTCACAAATTACATTACATTACGATTATGTTGATATGGATCCTGATGCATTTAAGTGTGCAGTGCTTGCTGTTATTGCTGCTCCACAAAGTGAAGTCACCCAGGTTCAAGATGATATATGCTCCCACCATTGAAACCCATATACAGACGATATACACCGTGTTCAGACACTAAGAAACAAACACAGATGTCGATCACAGTCCTTGGGACGATTACGGCCTCTCGAGAAAACACTATCAAGGAGCTGGAAAAGTCTGCTATACATTGTTCAGATGAAATCACCACACTGCAACGCCAAGTCACACTGAACTCTGAAGTAGAGGAACTAACTGAAAAATATGAAGAATCAACATCAGAATATCAGCACCCCCGAGGGGACAGAAGGACGGACCTGGACAGAGGGACTTTACTGCCAGGCTGCAAGGCACACTGTCCCTGAAGGGAAGCCTTTCATTGACAAGGCACAACACACTCTCTGACAACCTCATGAGTTACCCAGGCTTGTTATTATGAGGTTACACTACTACAATGTGTCGCAAAGTTACAGCAGCGAAACAGCCCCCTCCTCCAAGAGGATCCAAATCTTCTCAAACTATCCGCTTGCCGTGGCCAGACAGAGGTTGCTACACCAGAGAGCTACTACAGGGCATCCCAGGCGTCAGATATATCCACCAGGGTGCCCAGGTGGTCATAATGTTATGGCTGATCGGTGTATTACACTGTATCTGCCATGTTTTACAGGTGATCTGAGTGACCTGATGAAGCTCAGGTGTTCCTGGACCAGTCAGAAGAGGAAGTTGTTGTCTGCATTCCTCAGTCAAGTGACAGCCTAAAGACCACATGGTGACAGATGCAGCATTAGGAAAGGAAGAGTCATCAAGATGAACACTGATTACAGAGCTCCATTAGCAGCTGACTCTTCAGTATACAAGAAACCATATACCTTGATGGAGGACATGATCTGCAGTTTACATAAAAGTTATGGCTTTGCTGCTTGCATCACACACACAATATACACCGATCACAATTAACATTATGACCACCTGGGCACCCTGCTCTGCACTGTGTGTTCTGACCCGTTTCTATCAGAACCAGCATTGACTGTTTCAGCAGCTTGAGCTACAGTAGCTCGTCTGTTGGATCGGACCACACGGGCCAGCCTTCACTCCCCCACCTGCATCAATGAGTCTATGACCACTTTTGATTGGTACTGACCTCTGCAGACCGGGAACCCCCACAAGAGCTGCAGGTTCGGACCATCACAATGGGGCTCTTGTCAAAGTGGCTCAGATCCTCACGCTGCCCATTTTTCTTGCTTCTAACACATCAACTCTGAGGACCAAATGTTCACTTCCTGCCTGATATATCCCCCCACCATCAGGAGCCCTGATAACCAGATAACCAGTATTGTCCACTGGCAGTGGTCACAGTGTTATGGCTGAAGGATCCCAAGCACTTTTGGCACTGTCCAATACTAGAATGGTTTTGGAGTGATAAATGTAATTGGTTGTCTAAACAATATGGAATAAGCGTTCAGCCAGACTGTAATTAGGCAATATTTGGTTGCTCTGATAGGACAAGGCCCATTGTCTCCCATCAAAAGTGGGATCTCAAAGCAGGCGTGGTTGCAGCATAAACAATATTATTCAATTGGAAGTCTCCATTGTCCCCGTGCTTTAGGTGGTGGCTCAATGGAAAGGTTTATAATGCAACAGATTCATTTTAGCAAAGGGAACTCACAAAATGATTTCATGAACATATGAAAACCTTTTCTGACAATGCTGGATGAGACCTAACTGTTTGACCCAAGAGCTCTGTTGCTGTTACTCTGCTGTGTCAGTATCTGTGTGAATTCTGCCATATTCTGCATACTGACTAATATTCTGGTACTCCCAACCCACATTCTTTTTGCATATATATTTTTTCTCTCACCCCTTTACTCTTTATTGGCAGACGTTTCTAACACTGCTGCCTTTGGAGACTTTGGACATTGTTCCCTTGTCTGTCTTGCTGTTATTTTGTATAATGGTACTGGGTACTTTATGTCTGTTATGTGTGTGCATGTTTATTGTTAAAATAAGATGTTGGAAAAAGAGAAAATCAATCTCAGCACAGAAATAAAAAATGGTGTCTGACCTCAGAGTCTCCAGTCTACAGTGTGGACTCTCCACAAGATCAGACAGCAGCTTCACATCTGATTCCTGCAGGTAGTTGTTACTCAGGTCCAGCTCTCTCAGATGGGAGGGGTTGGACTTCAGAGCTGAGACCAGAGAAGAACAGCTGATCTCTGACAACCTGCAGTTAATCAATCTGAATAAAGAATAAAAGATGTGAGTTTAGAAGACAATGTTCCTGCTTGAAATCATTCAGTGTTTAATAATCTGTTCAGAGCTGAAGAAGGTTTACAATGTACAAGTTTAGAAAATCGAAACACCTGAACCCAACAGGATGCAGGTTGCAAATTGTAAAATACAAAGAGGTAAAAAGAGCTCTCATTAATATTACTGACAACGTGCTGCTGCTTCAATAAAGACGTAGTGACTTCAGCTCTGAACCTCTGCAGCTCCACCAGTGGCTCCATCTATACAAACTCATGTTGTGCAGCCAAACACAAAGAAAAAGCCACAGAAAGTGATTGAAGGTTCCACTATTAAAGATAAAATGCTGTCATCTTGAGTGTAAATATTCAGTCAGTAGAAACGTCACTTATCATCAGAAAGGTTTGGAACAAGCTGATATGTTTGTTCCTGTCTGAGAGGGACGAAAACACATGTTTGTGTTTGTGTTCAGAGGATCATGAGGGAAAGGTGGGAATGAAATGATGAAGAGGTTAAGAGACAATCAACCACTGTTAAATTATTAAATATATTACATATTACTACAAGTGTGACATACAAATGTCATTTACAGATGTTTAAATCTTATTTTTCACTTTCAAACATTTAATCTGAGTTTTAATGTCATTAAATCTGAAGGAGATTTTAGCTCATAAATATCAACCTGTCTGCACTTTACTGTCAGCACAACTTAACATCACATTCATCTCAGCACAGAAAGAAAACACGGTGTCTGACCTCAGAGTCTCCAGTCTACAGTGTGGACTCTCCAGAAAACCACACAGCAGCTTCACTCCTGAATCCTGCAGGTTGTTGTCACTCAGGTCCAGCTCTCTCAGATGGGAGGGGTTGGACTTCAGAGCTGAGACCAGAGAAGAACAGCTGATCTCTGACAACCTGCAGTAACTCAATCTGAATAAAGAATAAAAGATGTGAGTTTACAATGAAACAGTTCAGTCAGTAGAAGCATTATATAGTTTCATATTATTGGTGGAAAAATCAAATGCTGAATATATTTGTTATTGTCTGATGGTTGAAATAGAGATTATTGAACTACTCATTGTATGTCTGTATTTTTATTCTCATTGGTTAAAACCATGATGTTAATATCAGATTAAATCCAGAGCTGAAGAGGTTCACAGTGAATTATTCAGTGTAGATTCTTCTTGTTCTATGAAGGTTTTAAATGTGGAGCTCAACATTGCTCTGCCACAGTCAATGCACTAAACCACAGAAGAAGAAAACAGCCTTTAGCATTCAGATACTCAGTGTGGATCAGTTTAATATCAACCTGTCTGCACTTTACTGTCAGCACAACTTAACATCACATTCATCTCAGCACAGAAAGAAAACATGGTGTCTGACCTCAGAGTCTCCAGTCTACAGTGTGGACTCTCCAGAAAACCACACAGCAGCTTCACTCCTGAATCCTGCAGCTTGTTGTTACTCAGGTCCAGCTCTCTCAGATGGGAGGGGTTGGACTTCAGAGCTGAGACCAGAGAAGAACAGCTGATCTCTGACAAACTGCAGCTCCTCAATCTGAATAAAGAATAAAAGATGTGAGTTTAGAAGACAATGTTCCTGCTTGAAATCATTCAGTGTTTAATAATCTGTTCAGAGCTGAAGAAGGTTTAAGTTTAGGTTAAATAAGAGAGAGATATTATATTAGATATATTTGAAATATGAAGCTCAACAAGATGCTTATACACCAATCAGCCCTAACACAGTGAGCATTGACAGTGATTAACACTGATTTATCTGGTTATCAGGGTTCCTGTCAGTGGGGGGGATATATCAGACAGCAAGTGAACATTTTGTCCTCAAAGTTGATGTTTTAGAAGAATGAAAAATGGGCAGCGTGAGGATTTGAGCGACTTTGACAAGGACCAGAGGAAGAAGTAAGAAGTCAATTCAGTGCCAGTTACACGAAGGATCCCAAATGTGGAAGTTAACATTTAGTTCTTGCTGTTCATACGATGTTCTTGCTCATTCAAGGGCATTTTGTTGCTGCTGTTCACCGCAGCCTCTGGGGTGTTGCCTGTGATTCAGTTAGGTTTGAATCCCAGTTACGTTGATGTTTATTGGATGCTGAGTGCAAGCAGTCAAAATGTTAACTTGTAATGTGAATGGTTTACTCAAACAAATAATGTTGAAGTTGCAGAAACACACCTTACTGATAACGAACATGCTCAATAAAAAATAATGGGATTCAAGTACCTGTTTTCATCATCATATTTTACGGGTCATAGAAGGAGAAAGAAATTAGCTCAGCTATAGCTCATCTGAAATCAAAAAAGGCTCCAGGACCAGACAAGTTTCCCACTGATTGTTAATGAAGGATTCACTGATCCCTGTCCTGCAGTCCACCTTTAACAGTGTTCTTAAAGAGAGCCAGATCCCCCTCTCCTGGAGGAAAGCAGTAATTTCATTGATACCAAAGGAAGGTAAGGATAAGCTTGAATGCAGTAACTTTAGACCAGTAGGTGTGTTAAACCAGGACTATAAAGTATTTACACATATATTGGCCATATGAATAGAGGGACTTTTACCACATCAGCCTGGACCAGACAGGATTAGTCTGCCAAAGACAAACTCAAGACAATATCAGACGAACCTCACACGTAATTAACCATATGACGAAATATAACATAGAAGCAATCTTGGTGGGGTTGGATGCGAAAAAGGCCTTTGATCGTGTAAACTAGTTCTTTTTATATATGGTTTTAGAATCATTTGGCTTTTATAATACTTTTATCAAAACTAGCTCTTTATGATAATGATAATGATAAAGATAAAGATAAATGGAACAGTAACCAACTCATGTGCAGTTTGTAAATTCACAAATTACATTACATTACGATTATGTTGATATGGATCCTGATGCATTTAAGTGTGCAGTGCTTGCTGTTATTGCTGCTCCACAAAGTGAAGTCACCCAGGTTCAAGATGATATATGCTCCCACCATTGAAACCCATATACAGACGATATACACCGTGTTCAGACACTAAGAAACAAACACAGATGTCGATCACAGTCCTTGGGACGATTACGGCCTCTCGAGAAAACACTATCAAGGAGCTGGAAAAGTCTGCTATACATTGTTCAGATGAAATCACCACACTGCAACGCCAAGTCACACTGACAAGGAACTAACTGAAAAATATGAAGAATCAACATCAGAATAATCAGCACCCCCCGAGGGGACAGAAGGACGGACCTGGACAGAGGGACTTTACTGCCAGGCTGCAAGGCACACTGTCCCCTGAAGGGAAGCCTTTCATTGACAAGGCAACAACACACTCTCTGACAACCTCATGAGTTACCCAGGCTTGTTATTATGAGGTTACACTACTACAATGTGTCGCAAAGTTACAGCAGCGGAAACAGCCCCTCCTCCAAGAGGATCCAAATCTTCTCAAACTATCCGCTTGCCGTGGCCAGACAGAGGTTGCTACACCAGAGAGCTACTACAGGGCATCCCAGGCGTACAGGTATCCATCCCCCAGGGTGCCCACACTGAAAAAAAAAGTCTTTTGGATTTACATAAAAAAATTATGGACATCGGTTGCACATAATAAAGTTATGTTTACTCAAATTGATATATTCATGTTCTGTACATTAAATTATTATTCGTTAAACCAACATGACTTTCTTACATAAATTTAAAATATTTATTTGATGTTAAGTATATTAGATTATCTTCTGCTAAACTGACTGATTTTTTTTATGTTAAATGAACGCTATTCTTTAATGTGTATGATTTAATTATCATCAGTTGGACCAACATAATTTTTTTTGCGTGAAGCTAACCTAACTTCCACAGGTAAATTGGACACTATTAAGTTTGGTATACTTTAAATATTTAAATTACTTTTATAAGATGATTGGTAATTTAAGAAATTAATTTCTACACCCCCAACCCCACTTAATCAAGCCGAATCTTTTAAGGAAAAAAAAAAAGGGGTGGTAATAGGCCGACATATCTTCAATTATTAACTCCAGACAGTGCATAACAAACATCCGTAATGACTAAAAATACAACTTGCTGTGTACTACCTGGAAAAAATTTTATATGAACATTCCAGGAAAAAACAAAGTAAACACTATTTAATTGAAAATTTCCATTTATATTTATTAGAACATTGTTTCAAGCATCAAGAAGGAACGGCAGTTAAAGAAAAATCACCCCAAACCCTAAAAATAGGGGTAGTAGTCTGTTTCAGTTTGATAAAAAAATAGTGGAAAAAGAAGCCTCCCACTCACCCAAATAAATCAAACAATTGTAAGAGGTAGATGAAATAATGCATACAGTATTACCAGAAAAATACCTTTTTTTTCTCCCCAACAAAGACAGAACATTATTGGTGAACCAAAACCCGAAGCCAAAGCTACAGTGACCACAGGATGTTCCATAATGTGATCATTGAAACAATTATAGTGGCTTGTTTGCAATTACCAGTGTTCCACAGTAAACAAAAATCACCCCAAACTCTAAAAATGGGGGGGGAATTATGTTATAGTTCCATTTAAAAAAAAAAAAAAAAAAAAGCCTCCTACCCACCCAAAAGAAAAGTCCAACAACTGGAAGAGGTAGATGGTGACATAAAAAATGTCTTAAGAAATCAAGCAAACAAGTTGGATAGCCTTTTTTTCCTTCAACAAAGAAGAGTCCCTGGAGTCAGAAATGTGTGCAGGTTCGTGTGGATAACAGAGGGAGATTTGTGCACACCATTTAGCAGAACCTGAAGCCAAAGCTACGGTCACCACACATTAAAACTCATCTATGTACATACAACACTGACAGAGAATTTTCATTTGAATACACACCTGTCCTTTTGCTCTATGGTACATAGCACACAGCCTGACCATGACCACAGGGTGTTCCATAATGTGAACACTGGTAATCGTAAACAAGCCACTATAATTTTTCAATGTTCACAGTAAACAAAAATCACCCCAAACTCTAAAAAAGGGGGAAATTATGTTATAGTTCCATTTAAAAAAAAAACAAAAAGCCTCCCTACCCGCCCAAAAGAAAAGTCAAAAAAAAGAAGAAGGAGGTGAAAAAATATATTTTTTAAAAAAATCAAGCTCAAAACTGGAAGAGGTAGGTGACATAATATATGTCTTAAGAAATCAAGCTCGAGAGACCTGGATAGCCAGTTCACTGATAAAGTCTGTTCTTCAGGACTTGGGCTTTTTTGGACAGTGCATTGCCTTCAAGCTCCATGACCACCTTCTGCAGCACTTCAAAGGTATAATTTGCTTCCGTTGGGGTTTTTAAGTTTAAAAAATATAAGACCCAAAACCACAACCCACCAGCTAAAAAAACAGGGTCAATATCCTCCACCTCACTCGGGACCTGGGGACCAAGCCAATGCCCTCGGCTTTTTTTCTCTCTTCTCTGTGTTTTCAGACGTATATAACATAGGGGTTTTCTTTAAGATTTTGGTGGGGGGGGGGTATTTTTTTCGGCCGTAAAAAAAACAAAAAGAATCAAAGTGTGATTACACTACATGCCACGTCCATATAGGGAATACTGCATATCTGTATTGAGTAATTTATTAAGATATCAAATCAAACTTTATTTATATGGTTTTAACAAAAATTTTTATCCCCTTAATTCCATTAATATTTATTTTTTTTTATTTTTCTAATTCATTTTAAAAAATTCTAGCAAAACCCACACAAAACACCTTTTTAAAAAATAAAGGCCCCGGCCCTTTCCCCCCCCCCCTCCCTTTTCTTCTTAAATTTACCCCCCGGGAAAAATTCCTAAAAAAAAGGTTTTTGAGAGTGTGCATTCTTTTTACACTCTACAGGAGTTGATTTAATTTTGGTTTTTTTTCACGAGTAACAATGTTTCTAAAAAATAAAAATAAGAATCATGGATGGTTATCATGGAGATGGATACAACAACATGAGATGGCGGAATAATATTGTTAGTTTTGAGTCAGGCGTGCTGTTATGCTGAATTTGAATCCCTGAAGGGAAGCCTTTCATTGACAAGGCACAACACACTCTCTGACAACCTCATGAGTTACCCAGGCTTGTTATTATGAGGTTACACTACTACAATGTGTCGCAAAGTTACAGCAGCGAAACAGCCCCTCCTCCAAGAGGATCCAAATCTTCTCAAACTATCCGCTTGGCGGGGGCCAGACAGAGGTTGCTACACCAGAGAGCTACTACAGGGCATCCCAGGCGTCAGATATATCCACCAGGGTGCCCAGGTGGTCATAATGTTATGGCTGATCGGTGTATTACACTGTATCTGCCATGTTTTACAGGTGATCTGAGTGACCTGATGAAGCTCAGGTGTTCCTGGACCAATCAGAAGAGGAAGTTGTTGTCTGCATTCCTCAGTCAAGTGACAGCCTAAAGACCACATGGTGACAGATGCAGCATTAGGAAAGGAAGAGTCATCAAGATGAACACTGATTACAGAGCTCCATTAGCAGCTGACTCTTCAGTATACAAGAAACCATATACCTTGATGGAGGACATGATCTGCAGTTTACATAAAAGTTATGGCTTTGCTGCTTGCATCACACACACAATATACACCGATCACAATTAACATTATGACCACCTGGGCACCCTGCTCTGCACTGTGTGTTCTGACCCGTTTCTATCAGAACCAGCATTGACTGTTTCAGCAGCTTGAGCTACAGTAGCTCGTCTGTTGGATCGGACCACACGGGCCAGCCTTCACTCCCCACCTGCATCAATGAGTCTATGACCACTTTTGATAGGTACTGACCTCTGCAGACCGGGAACCCCCACAAGAGCTGCAGGTTCGGAGATGTTCTGACCCAGTCGTCCATCACAATGGGGCTCTTGTCAAAGTGGCTCAGATCCTCACGCTGCCCATTTTTCTTGCTTCTAACACATCAACTCTGAGGACCAAATGTTCACTTCCTGCCTGATATATCCCCCACCATCAGGAGCCCTGATAACCAGATAACCAGTATTGTCCACTGGCAGTGGTCACAGTGTTATGGCTGAAGGATCACAAGCACTTTTGGCACTGTCCAATACTAGAATGGTTTTGGAGTGATAAATGTAATTGGTTGTCTAAACCAGGGGTTCTCAACCTTTTGCAAGCTGGGCCCCCCCAAAGCTGGTTCATTGCAGTTGGGCCCCCCCTTCCCGGCGCCACCCCCACTACACCACCTTGCATAGATAGATAGATAGATAGATAGATAGATAGATAGATAGATAGAAATCAGAAAATATACTTCACACTGTGTGTGTGTGTGTGTGTGTGTGTGTGTGTGTGTGTGTGTTTGTTTGTATTGTCTCATATGTAATACAATGTAGATAAACACAGAGCAAACAAATCTACTGACCTCAGAGTCTCCAGTCTACAGTGTGGACTCTCCAGAAAACCACACAGCAGCTTCACTCCTGAATCCTGCAGGTTGTTGTCACTCAGCTCCAGCTCTCTCAGATGGGAGGGGTTGGACTTCAGAGCTGAGACCAGAGAAGAACAGCTGATCTCTGACAAACTGCAGCCACTCAATCTGAATAAAGAATAAAAGATGTGAGTTTAGAAGACAATGTTCCTGCTTGAAATCATTCAGTGTTTAATAATCTGTTCAGAGCTGAAGAAGGTTTACAATGTACAAGTTTAGAAAATGGAAACTCGGGGCTTCCGGTTGCGACATGCTTGCTTTTTGTTACTTTCCTTTTTAAATAATGACTCTGAGCATTTCGATATAACCAACACTGCTCGACTTAGTCTAGTCAACTCCGCATAAGATGAGTAAACCTAAAAACTCTAAATCAGCCAAGAAAGTGGAAACTCCGGCTACACGTGCTGCTACGAGTGCGGCGGAAGGCTTCTGCAGCTCCCGAGGCCCCCCCGGTTGTGGCTATGGACCAACTGTCTGCACAGTTCACCAAACAGAGAACCTCATTAAAGGAGGATGTGTCTTCCCTGATCCAAGAGGCTATTAAACCGCTACAGACTTCAATGGACTACAATCCACGATGAACTCTTTCCAGGGCCGTCTCACCTCCGTTGAGTCTGTGGCCGGTGACAACTTTGACAGATTAACGGTAGCGGAGTCTACCATTAAAACGCTCCAAAAACTGGATCGGATCGCCGACCTGGAGAACCGGTCGCGGAGAGCTAACCTCCGTATATTAAACATCCCTGAAGGCAGCGAAGATGGCAAAGATCCCGTTAAGTTCATGTCCGAGGTATTGATGCAAGCGATGGGCCCGAGTTAGAGAGAGCCCACCGGACCCCGACCTCCAGATCCGGTCGGAGATCATCTCCCCGCACGTTCCTGGTCTGTTTCTCCAGATTTCAACAGAAAGAAGCTGCGTTGCGCTGGGCCAGGAAACGATGAGCTCAACCACCAAGGTACCACTATAAGAGTCTACCAAGATCTCAGCGCAACGCTCGCTAAAAACAGAGCGGCGTTCAACGGCGTTAACGAGCCCTGTGCCAGAGGAAGGTCAGATTGCGCGTGATGTGCGAGGAAGATGTGCTCACCTTCGACTCACCTGATGAAACCCAGAAATTTCTCGACCAGAAGTTCGGTAAGGAGTAAGACTATATATGTCGCGGTTTGGTCTGTGCAGCCTGGAGGTGGTTAATCACCTGAGTTTGAAGACATGTCAGATCACCTCTTCAACCTATTACGTCAGCCATTGGTCTTAGGACTCAAGGTATGAACCCTCACTGACGTTATTGCTGGACTAATTGGTATTATGCTGTGTACAAGTACATATCTGGAACTCTTCTGCTATACAGACCGCTTATGTTGCCTTTCGATATTTATGTTATATGCTGTTGTTATGTACACGTTTTCATATATGCTTGATTGTTCTACAGTTATTGTATTGCTCAACCATCTTACTTTTATTTTTATTTTCTATTTTGACATATCATAATCACTGGGAGCCTTGTGTGTCAAGAGGAATGTATAGCCAGAAGTTTTTGGAAATAGTGGTTAGCCTGCAGCTTGCCTCAGGGAGAAGGACAAGTATAGGCTTAGTTCTAGTTTTGTCTATGTTCTGGATACGGGATAGGGTTAGGGAAAAGGACACCACTAAATTTTTGCAACAAATGTTCACCTTTGTTCACTTAAGAAACAATCACAACTGTGTACTTTATCACAATCATTGCTCTAACTTATCTCTCCTTACTACTCTTTTCATTTTTACTCTTTATAGTTAAACATGATAGATGGTACTGATGCAAAGAGGGCTGCTATACGATTCATTAGCTGGAATGTAAAAGGTTTAAATGGGCCTGTTAAAAGAGCCAGAATATTTAATCACCTAAAATACTTAAAATGTGATGTTGCATTTCTACAGGAAACCCACCTACTGGTTAAAGATCAAGTCAGGCTAAAAAAAGGTTGGGTGGGGAATGTATTCCATTCCAATCTTAACTCTAAACTTGTGGAACAGCCATATTGATTCATAAAAGAATCCAGTTTAGTGCGACCACTGTCACTTCAGACCCACAAGGACGATTTGTAATGGTTTCTGGGCTTCTCTACCATAAGCCTGTGGTCTTGATTAATATCTATGCCCCAAATTGGGATGATGATAAATTTATGGGGAAAATAATTTCATTAATTCCAGACTTGAACTCACAACAATTGATATTTGGAGGTGATTTAAACTGTGTAATAAACCCAGTATTAGACCGTTCTGATTCTAAATCTACAAACCTGTCTAAAAAGGCCAAGCTATTATCAGCCGTTATGGACCAGATAGGAAGTGTTGACCCCTGGCGTTTTTTATTCCCACAAAGCCAGTCCTTTTCTTTTTTTTTCTCCTGTACATCACTCCTATAGTAGGATAGATTATTTTTTTATTGACCAAAATCTCCTCCTTTGTCACAAACACTGAATACTCAACTATAGTTGAATCAGATCATGCCCCTGTAATTTTAGACCTTGCATTTCCTTCTCACAAATTAGAACGCCCCTCTTGGAAATTAGATAGAAATCTTTTGGCTGATGAGACTTTTTGTGAAATGATATCCCAAAAAATAGATGACTTTATAGAGTCCAACAAAAAAGATGACACTTCCCCCTCTCTTTTGTGGGAAACATTAAAAGCAGTAATCAGGGGTGAGATTATATCGTACTCTGCTAAAACAAATAAGATGAAAAGGATAAAGCAAGAGGAGCTCACTAAAGCAATAGCTATGGTGGATTCTCAGTACTCCATCTCTCCCTCCCCTGAATTATATAAAGAGAAGCTGGACCTCCAAACACAATATAATTTATCATCAACTGAAAAGATGGAACGTCTCCTATTAAAATCACGGGGGTATGTCTATGAGCACGGCGACAAACCTGGACGGCTATTAGCACACCAACTTAAGTGCCGCGCCGTGTCTCAACAGATTCCACAAATTCGTAAAGATGATGGTGAACTAACTATTGACCCAGAGGAAATTAACGAAACGTTCACCTCATTTTACTCAAATCTGTATACGTCAGAGATGACTAATGACAGCTCTGACATGGAGAATTTTTTTAATAACCTCCAAGCTCCTTCTATAAAAGCAAGACATAGGACTGAGACTGAGCTCCCACTAAAATGTATAGAAATCACCAATGCGATTAAGGCAATGCAGAATGGCAAGGCGCCTGGCCCTGATGGGTACTCTATAGAGTTTTCTAAAAAGTTCTCTAGTAAATTGTCTACAATTTTACTTGATATGTTTAATGACTCTTTATCACGTGGATCCCTCCCACAGACACTGACTGAAGCATCAATTACCCTATTGCTTAAGCCAGGTAAAGATAACACAGAATGCGGCTCATATCGGCCCATCTCCCTCTTAAACTGTGACGTGAAGATCTTGGCCAAGGCCCTTGCCTTACGCTTAGAAGCCACAATGCATGACGTGATCTCTGCTGACCAGACTGGTTTTATTTTGGGGCGTCATTCATTTACAAATATCCGCCGGCTATTAAATATTATTCACTCTCCTGCGCCCAATGTGGTCCCTGAGGTGGTTATCGCGCTTGATGCAGAGAAAGCCTTTGATAGGGTAGAATGGGGATATGTATTTACATGTTTAAAAAAATTTGGCTATGGTCCTAATTTCATCTCATGGATTAAAATCTTATATACCTACCCAAAGCCTCAGTAATAACAAATGGTAGGCGCTCTCAGTATTTTCAGCTGGCAAGAGGCACTCGTCAGGGCTGCCCTATCAGCCCACTGCTATTTGCCCTAGCCATAGAGCTCTGTCCATTACACTCAAATCATTACCCTCGTTAAGTGGAATCCATGGGGGGGGGGAGCATAGAGTATCTCTGTACGCAGATGATTTATTAATGTATGTATCGGACCCTGTTTCAAGTCAAGCGCCCCCCATGTGATCCATGCCTTGAGGAGATTTGGTGCTTTCTCTGGGTACAAACTGAATTTTAATAAAAGTGAATGTTACCCTGTTAATGACCTGGCTCTTCAAATACAAGACAATGCTCTACCGTTCAGAATGTCTAGGAATGGCTTTAAATATTTGGGCATTAACATTACAAGGGACATGCAGAAGCTTTACCAGGAAAACTTCTATCTGCTATTTGAGAAAGTCAAATCAGACCTGGACAAATGGAAGACACTTCACCTATCTTTAGCAGGAAAAGTGAATTGTATAAAAATGAATGTGCTCCCCAAATTTCTCTATCTGTTTCAGTGTATTCCACTTAATCTCCCTAAATCCTTCTTCAAATCTATTGATAAGGTCTTTATTTCATTTATATGGGGTGGGAAGAAACCTAGAATATGACTGGAACTGTTACAGAGGCCTAAAATGCAGGGTGGCTTAGCTCTTCCAAATCTTTGTCATTATTATTGGGCCTCAAATGTTCAAAAAATCATGCACTGGCTCCACACTCCTGATACAGACTGGTGCCATTTTGAAGCTGCATCTTGCACTTCAACCTCTCTTAGAGCCCTGGTCACCTCCACCTTTCCCATCTCTATCTCTCAATTCACCAACAATCCAGTAGTCATAAATACCCTCAAAATATGGTTTCAACTTAGACGTAGCTTCGGGTTTAATAATCTTCTCCATCTAAGTCCCATACACAATAACCATCTTTTTCTCCCAGCTAGATTAGACTCCGAATTTACTCTCTGGCAAAGACAAGGCATTTACAAATTTAAAGATATGTATATAAACAGTATTTTCCCTAGCTTTGATGACTTGTCACATAAATTTGGCCTCCCTCGGTCTAGCCTGTTCCAATATTTCAATACAAGTCCGCCACTTCCTTCAGTATCATGATCCCAACTTTCCATATATACCATCACTTTCTGGTTTAGATGCTCTGTTAGAAACTACTTTCAGCTTTAAAGGACTTATTTCAAGAATCAACAACTGTATATCTTCTTTTAAAAACACAACTCTTGCAAAGATCAAGGCAGACTGGGTGGATGAGTTGGGAGAGGACTTTGAAGAAGACATTTGGGACAGCGCTCTACTAAGAGTGAATGACAGCACTTCATGTGCCAAATTAAGTATAATACAATTTAAGATCTCGCATCGCGTCCACTACTCCAAAGCCAGACTTGCTAAAATACACCCTGACACAGATGCAAGCTGCGACAGGTGTCGGAACACTCCTGCCGACCTAACCCATATGTTTTGGTCATGCCCAGCCCTAGCATCCTATTGGTCTGCAATCTTTAAAACAGTGTCAGAAGCTCTTAATATTGACCTACAACCCAATGCAGTAATGGCCATATTTGGTACTACTGACAGAAGATATTCTACAATAAGGAAAGGATATAAAAACATCATTGCTTTTACAACATTGCTTGCACACAGAATAATTTTATTACATTGGAAATCTAAAAATCCACCTAATGTGTCTCTGTGGTTTAATGACCTAATGCAGTTCATACAGTTAGAGAAAATAAAATACACTCTCAGGTGGTCCAGGGACAAATTCTTTTCTGTCTGGGATCCAGTGCTGAAATATTTGGGTAAGCTTAAGACTGTGCCCACTTAGCAATCTCCTAGCACTTACAGTTGTGTTATTCATTCATGAGAATTATAGTGTGTAGTACACAACTTCAGCAATGGTGAGCCTATGTTTATATGTGTGGTTTTTTTTGTTTTTTTTTAAATGTATTATATTTGTTTTTAGTTATTACTTTTTTTAGTATTATTATTATCATTACTGTTATTATCATTATTATTAGTATTATTAGTATTATTATTATTATTATTATTATTATTATTATCATTGCTCCTATTACTACTATCCTTTCTACTTTCTGGATAGGTGTCCTATGTGTTCTGGAGGGGGGGCAATAACTCATACAAAATAATGATGAGCATTGGTCCAAAGTTCTTTTGTGAATGTTGTATCTATGTACATATCCTGTACTATCAGTGTTCAATAAAAATACCACTTAAAAAAAAGAAAATGGAAACTCCAAACACCTGAACCCAACAGGATGCAGGTTGCAAACTGTACATCTGGACATTTTAAATTAAACAAGTTTTGAAAAATATTATTCCTGCAAATGTGTTCAACACATTTTATACTTATATTTGTCTCTCAATAGTAAAAGTTAGAAATACTGATATAATTGATTGATTTTTTTTTAACACACTGTAATTTAAACCCTGCAGTTTTCTTTCTAACATCAATCCAATCTGAGTGCAAACAGAGTCATTAGATTTGGTAGATATACACAGAGCAAACACATCAACTGACCTCAGAGTCTCCAGTCTACAGTTTGGACTCTTCAGTCCAGCAGACAGCAGCTCCACTCCTGAATCCTGCAGCTTGTTTTTACTCAGGTCCAGCTCTCTCAGATGGGGGTTGGACTTCAGAGCTGAGACCAGAACTTCACAGTGAGTTGATGAGAGTTTACAGTCAGTAAGTCTGTGAATACAGAGAATATAACATTTAAAACAAACTCTGAAACTTTTATTATAAAAACAGACTCTGTGCATTTAGACCACAGAGCACATTAACATGAGCGGCTGTAGCTCAGCTGGTCAGTTGGTCAGACAGTCTTTGGTCACAAGGTTGCTGGTTTGAAACTTGAGCTCCTCTGTCCACATTCAAAGTGTCCTTGAGCAACATAACCCCAGAATGGTGCTTTGGTCATAAACATGTTAGATTTCATTTACAGGGTGCTGCATTGTATTTGTTAAACTTTATTCAGTGTGATGTTCAATGAGCTGTATCATCACTGTAGTTTGTAACTGCACTGCTATGTGTTTACCTCAGTTATGTGTTTGTGTATTTTGTGTCTCTGATCTTATACAATAGAACATTTTATTATCACATATACAATCATACACAGTACAACATATAGTGAATCCTGTCCTCTGCATTTAACCATCCTAAGTACTAGGAGCAGTGGGCAGCCACTGTACAGCGCCCAGCAACCAACTCCAGATCTAAACCAGAGCCTTGGTTCAGGTCCAGGGCTCTGACTGGAGAAGTGAACCTAACATGTGTGTTTTGATGGTGGTGGACACGGAGCAGCCGGAGGAAACCCACAGAAACACGAGGAGAACATGCCAACTCCACACAGACAGGCTCTTCTTGCTGTAAGGCGACAGCGGTAACCACTGAGCCACCGTGTTATTATGTCACACCATCAGCTTCCTGTTCCCATTAAATTCATTTAATGACTCTGTTGCATTAATGGTCTGTTAAAGCCAACTCATTGTTAAAGAAAATCCAAAATCAAGACAAAACCAACCTTCCATTTGTGTTGCAGTGTGTCAGTAATATAGTATATACTGTATATAATATAATTTAATATAATATATATAATATAATATAATATAAGATATATAACATAATATAATATAATCTCCTGTCTGTTGTTTCTACATCAGGGTTTGAATCAGACGCTCTTTTGGGATTATTTGTTTGAATTTGAGGAAGAAAATGTATCTAATTTCAGTTCCTGTTTCACACTGGGAACAAACTGGTTCTGTTCTTTTTTCTGGCTCCCAGTTTCACCAGTGAGTGTGTGTGTGGTTAGGGTTTGTCTCTTTATAGGCTGTTTTATTTTGGTTCAATATGGAGCTAATGTAAATTCTCTGTCTACTACATTATAGCATTCTAGTTTTTCTTATCTTTACTAATAATGATGGCTTCAGCTTTAATTTGCTTTATAATTTTTATCACATGTGGACTTACGCAGCCTTTCTGCAGTTCTTCACAGCTGGAATCAGTCTCAATCGTCCCTCCTGTGTTGTGTTGTACTTCTTCAGGTCCAACTCATCCAGAACCTCCTCTGACATCTGCAGCATGATGGCCAGAGCTGAGCAGTGGATCGCAGAGAGTTTCTTCTCTGATCTGTTCTCTGACTTCAGGAACTCTTGGATCTCCTGATGGAATGAGTGGTCGTTCATCTCCATCAGACAGTGGAAGATGTTGATGCTTCTGTCAGGAGAGGACCGGGTCTTCTTCTCCTTCAGGTTGTTGATGACTCTCTGGAGGGTTTCTGGACTGTTGTCTGTCTGACCCAGCAGACCTCCTAAGAGTCTCTGGTTGGACTCCAGAGAGAGGCCATGAAGGAAGCGAACAAACAGGTCCAGGTGGCCATTTTTACTCCTCAGGGATTTCATCATTGCTTCCCCCAGGAAAACATCCAGAGTTGAATCAACATATTTTTGACCCAAGAAACCCTTCAGTACCTCTGTGTTCCTGTTGGTGTAACAGTGGAACATGTAGACTGCAGCCAGAAACTCTTGAATGCTCAGATGAACGAAGCAGTAGACTGTTTTCTGGAAGATCACACTCTCTCTTTTGAAGATCTCTGTACAAACTCCTGAGTACACCGAGGCCTCTGAAACATCAAGACCACACTGCTCCAGGTCTTCTTGGTAGAACATGATGTTTCCTTTCTTCAGATGTTCAAACGCCAGCCTCCCCAACTTCAGAAGAACCTTCCTGTCAGCCTCTGTCAGCTCCTGTGGACTCGTCTCATGTCCCTCATCATACTTCTGCTTCTTCCTCTTTGTCTGAACCAGCAGGAAGTGTGAGTACAGATCAGTCAGGGTCTTGGGCAGCTCTCCTCTCTGGTTTGTAGTCAACATGTGGTCCAGAACTGTAGCAGTGATCCAGCAGAAGACTGGGATTAGACACATGATGTGGAGGCTCCTGGAGGTCTTGATGTGTGAGATGATCCTGTTGGACAGATCTTCATCACTGACTCTCCTCCTGAAGTACTCTTCCTTCTGGGGGTCAGTGAAGCCTCGTACTTCTGTTACCCTGTCAACACATTCAGGAGGGATCTGATTGGCTGCTGCTGGTCTGGAAGTTATCCAGACGAGAGCCAAGGGAAGCAGATTCCCTTTGATGAGGTTTGTCAACAGCACGCTGACTGAAGACTTCTGTGTGACATCAGACACAACCTTCTTGGTCTTGAAATCCAGTGAAAGTCTGCTTTCATCCAGGCCGTCAAAGATGAACAAAAGTTTACAGACAGCGAGCTGCTCTGCTGTGACCTTCTGTAATGTTGGATGGAAAACATGGAGCAGCCTGAGAAGACTGTACTGCTCATCTTTGATTAGGTTCAGCTCCCTGAACGAAAGCAGAACCACCAGACTGACATCTTGGTTCTCCGAGCCCTCTGCCCAGTCCAGAGTGAACTTCTGCACTGAGAAGGTTTTTCCAACACCAGCGACACCGTTCGTCAGAACCACTCTGATGTGTGTCTGTTGGTCAGGTAAGGCTTTAAAGATGTCGTGGCACCTGATTGGAGTGTCATGGAGGGTCTCCATCTTGGAAGCTGTCTCAAGCTGCCAAACCTCATGTTGGGTATTAACCTCTTCACTCTGTCCCTCTGTGATGTAGAGCTCAGTGTAGATCCTGTTGAGGAGGGTTTCACATCCTGTTTCATCAGTTCCTTCAGTCACATGTTCACATCTCGTCTTCAGACTGATCTTATGTTCATCTAACACCTCCTGCAGACCACCATTCACTAAAAAAAGAAAAATGTGTGAAAAGTTTGATTAATTTCATTATCAATATAAAATCTAACATATAGCAGCAATGAGCAGATTGCTTCCACATTGCTGACCGCCTGGGGACTCGAACCCTGGACCTTTGTATCCCCAGAGCAGGTAAATCAGTCCTTCCAGAAAAATGCAGTTTTTTTGTGATTGTTGCAGGCAAAAATCCTTGATTATGCGGCACGTTTTCTAAAAAATGCGATGGAATATGTGAGATATTTATGCAATTTTATGCGATGAAATTGTGGGAACTTGCAAAAACTGCGGTTTGATGAAAAAGAGAAAAAAAAGTGATTCCCCCAACACCCTGTTCTCACTAGGTTACTACCTTAATGTAAAGAGTCATTTCTTATTACTTGCTATGATAAGCAAACATACTACAGCACAGAAAGTGCTGGGAATATTTAAGTTCTCATCTTGTTTTATTTCAGACCTTAATAAACACATGGCTCAAACTTACAAAACATTGATGAGTCAAACAAGTTCTGTACTAACTTAACTTCTGTAAAAATGAATAAATAAAATATAAAAAAATAAAATGTGTGCTTCCTGTTTTACAGAGGTAGCTATACAAAACAGACATCTTCTGTTGTAAAGTGATTGTCCATAATTTGCCCCCACTGTCATGTAGCACACTGGGAAACTGCTTTGCGCCATCTTTTGCGCTTATTTTTGTTGGCAAATGAGACTGATTTGCGGGCTTTCATCATGGCTTCATCGCGGGGTTTGCAGCTTTTCGATGATGTTCACGTCGCGTAAGTAAGTCACTTCATAACGTTCCCATGGCAACAGGGGAAAGTGGCTGCTCTTGTGTGAAGTAAACGCAACATTTTTCAACTTTCTACTAATATATATGTGACTTTTTTGCAACGAAAAGGTGGGGATTATGAAACTATGCAAGCCCTGCATATTTTGCGTGGAAATCGACAATTTATGCGGCGAAAGTGCGGCGTATTTGAAAAAATGTGGCCTTGGCTGATTATCGCATTTTTCTGGAGGAACTGGTATTTGTATATGTCAAAGCCCATCAAACAGAAACTAACTCATTCATACACATTCACACACGGCATCAGGAGCAATTTGGGGTTCAGCATCTTTCTCAAAGTTGCTTCGACATGTGGCACCGAAGCCGGGGAATAAACCCACAACCTTCTGATTAGGGGACGACCCACTCTGCCTCTGCGCCACAGCCACCCTATGGGCTGTAGAATCTACAACCAAATGTAACCAGATGGCTGTGATTGGCTAATGCAAAGACAGGTGGCACTTCCATGAAACCAAAACATATTCAATATAAATGTATTTCCTTTGGGTTCTGAGTTTCTATCAGAAAGATTCATAAAGATCTTAAATGGTTGAGCTGTATGACACAACTAATGCATTAAAAGAACAAGTTTTCAGACATGATGACACTGCAGACAGATGTACAGTCTTATTATGGACAGTGCTGGACTCACTGGCTGTCTGCAGTCCAGGTCTTCTTCTGGGTCTTTTTCCACACTGGGGACAGGAGGCGTCTCCTGGTGAACCAGACTGGTCCCAGTATGAGCTGATGCACTGTCTGCAGAACCAGTGTCCACAGCTGGTAGAGACTGGATCCTTATGGACGTCCTGACACAAAGCACAGCAGGACAGCTGCTCGTCCACAGGAACAAGACTCCTCTTCCTCTCCCTGTGGAGACATTTCTTTATTAGTAAACTGATTTGTTGACTGTGTCCAATGACTCTGTGTAGAAGCTCAGATGGTCACAGAGAGCCGTAAAAGTCTCGTTACTTTTCTGTTTGAATTCAGTCTGTAATGAAACTATTGTTCCTTTTATTTCAACTCTCCTGCTTTCATGGACTCTAATGAACTGATTTTCTGTCTTATTAAACATTTAGTGATCAGCCTGTAGTTTGTTATTAATACAAACTCAACACTTCCTGCAGTACTTCACAGTAAAAGTCCTCCATAAAGAGAGCTGTTTATGTCCTTCACTGTTTTTTAGCATGTAACAGGGGTGTCACGGATTCAGGTCCGTGAGACGTACGGGTCATGTGGGCAGTGCGGCTGCTCTCATCTGTTAACATGGGCGCCGTAATAAAAACGACACAGGCAGTGTGGACCGGGCATTGGACTACTTCACTGCACCTCAAATGGACCCTTAAAGGTCCAGTGTGTAAGATTTGGTGGCATCTAGCGGTGTAGCTGCAGATCACAACTCACTCGCTTCACTCTCCCAAGCACGAAGGAGAAACTACAGTGATCGCAAAACACAAACACCCCTATCTAGTGTTTGGTTTGTCCCTTCTGGGCTACTGTAGAAACTTTGCAGACTCTATGGAAGGCAACCCTGCGGCGTTTGCAGATATAAACGGCTCATTCTAAGGTAACAAAAATATAACTCTTATACGTGACGCTGGCTCTGAACGAAAACGCGCTGTGGATTAGTGCTTTATGTCCCTCTCTGAGATTATAGTTTTTCAAAATGGCGGAACGACATGGAAGCGTCCATGGACTTGCCCGTCTAATGTATATACAGATAAGAAATTCTTCACTTACGAGGATAGGTCAGATCATTGGCAGAGGTCATTTTACACCAATGAGGACACATTTATGAATGAAGACATTGATTTTAGCTAATAAAATACTTAAAACACTAGACAATGACCCTTTAATGTTAGTTAAGCTAGTAAATACATTTTTATCCTCAATTCATCATCTTCATCAAAACAGTCTCTTACTTAAAGTCTGAGGGTCCTGGTCCATCACTGAAGAATAGAGGTGGATTCATGGACCGGTCACTCTTCATAGACAGACAGCTGGACACTACAGACTCTGCTCTGTGTCTGTTGGACTGAACTCTGCAAACACCAACATGGTTTTATTAATATCAGTTGAACCTTTGATAAATTCTCTGATCACAAAGTCATTACAGAAGCTCTATATCAGTGTTCTCAAAGTAGGTCTGCGGGCCGGTGGCAGCCCTCAGAGACATGAGACAAACAGTATTCGTCCCAACTAGACAAATACTGCTGGTTGGTCAGTGGTCCTCCTCTTCAGAATATGACACTGTAGGGTTTCCCTCTGGTGTGATTTCTGGACGTACAGGGCTCTGCACTCAAATTACGTCCTATTAGACTTTCAAAATAAAGCTTGCATGGTTAAGGTTGTTAAACAGTTTTTTAGGTGTAGGCACAAAAACTACTTGGTCAGGGTTAGGAAAAGATCGTAGGTTACATTATGTACCGGACGTAACTTTAATACGTTACGTCAGCGATGTTACGTAGATGACGTAATGTAAAAGAAGTCAACGTTTACTTCTGGGTTCGCACCGGACACAAACAGCGGTCTCCTGGGTGAAAGTCCATACGCACACTTTCTCACTCTTTTTATTGCGTCATCTGACTTCTACGACAGAAATCACACTAGAGGGAAATTTACAGCGACATAGTTTGACTGACCAAACAGCAGGATTTGACCAGTTGGGAGTGAGAACGGGCTGTACATTAACTTCCAACAACCACATTGTATACAACACTCGGCTACTGCATCAAACTGCGGCCCCGAACAAGAGTCTGTCAGGTTAGGAAGGACAACTTGTAGACAGCAGCTAGTGGCACCTTGCAAGTGTGGGACTTACATTTTGTCATCAATACTAGTGCTGTATTTCAGTGGACAACTCCACAGTCTACTGTGGAAGTGAGATGGAAACACCAGCAGTGAACAAACGCTTTATGTCTGAGGAGGAAAGGAGGGTTCAGGAAAACTGGATCATCTCTTACAGTTGGTCCACATAGACTGTATGAGCAGTGTGTGACGGTCGCCTCTGCTGCAGCTCACACGCCTGAGGTGTTCACACAGAGAGCGTTTCTGCTGCTGCTGCCAGCCACATCTTTCTGTACTGAGTTTGCCTTTGATACATACAGTACAATAAAAGGCCTGCTAACATATGAATGGATTCTGTCCACAGAAACACGACAGAGCTTTAATCTCAAACAGATACAGGAGGGGTTGAGTTTAAAAAATACATTCACAGTTTTCCATGTCTGTGACATATTCTACAGATATAGACATTGACACTGCAGTGAAAGGTGTATATGAACGGACCCTTTTCACTGTCTATCTTTGGAGGGAACCGAGTGCAGGAAAAGCAGGTGAGACCTCAACTCTTTAGTGAAGCGTCGCTGCAGCTGAGACGTACGGGTCATGTGGGCAGTGCGGCTGCTCTCATCTGTTAACATGGGCGCCGAAATAAAAACGACACAGGCAGTGTGGACCGGGCATTGGACTACTTCACTGCACCTCAAATGGACCCTTAAAGGTCCAGTGTGTAAGATTTGGTGGCATCTAGCGGTGTAGCTGCAGATCACAACTCACTCGCTTCACTCTCCCAAGCACGAAGGAGAAACTACAGTGATCGCAAAACACAAACACCCCTATCTAGTGTTTGGTTTGTCCCTTCTGGGCTACTGTAGAAACTTTGCAGACTCTATGGAAGGCAACCCTGCGGCGTTTGCAGATATAAACGGCTCATTCTAAGGTAACAAAAATATAACTCTTATACGTGACGCTGGCTCTGAACGAAAACGCGCTGTGGATTAGTGCTTTATGTCCCTCTCTGAGATTATAGTTTTTCAAAATGGCGGAACGACATGGAAGCCTCCATGGACTTGCCCGTCTAATGTATATACAGATAAGAAATTCTTTGCTTACGAGGATAGGTCAGATCATTGGCAGAGGTCATTTTACACCAATGAGGACACATTTATGAATGAAGACATTGATTTTAGCTAATAAAATACTTAAAACACTAGACAATGACCCTTTAATGTTAGTTAGTAAATACATTTTTATCCTCAATTCATCATCTTCATCAAAACAGTCTCTTACTTAAAGTCTGAGGGTCCTGGTCCATCACTGAAGAATAGAGGTGGATTCATGGACCGGTCACTCTTCATAGACAGACAGCTGGACACTACAGACTCTGCTCTGTCCTCCTCTTCCTCCACACAAACACTCATCTTCTGATCTGAAGTCAGTCTGAGAGTCAAACAGTAACACAGACTGTGAGCTCAGAGGACAAGAACCAGGAAACAACAAGTTTGTACACATGAGTCGCACAAAGACTGAGAGAACAGGAAGTAACACACACACACACACACACACACACACACGCACACACTCTCTCACTCACACACACACACACACACACACACACACACACACACTCTCTCACACACACACACACACACACACACACTCTCTCACACACACACACACACACACACACTCACACACACACACACACACACACACACACACACACACACACACACACACACACACACACACACACACACACACACACACACACACACACACACACACACACACACACACACACTCACACACACACACACACACACACACACACACACACACACACACACACCTGCTCTCTTTTCTTTCAGTCTGTGTGTTTTCTGGGTTACAGCAGGTTCACTGTGTATTATTCAGCCAATCAGCACTTTGTGTCCACAGATGAATCAAACTGTTGAGTTCATTCTAACATTTCTTCGGTCTACAGTCCACAGGGAGAAAACGGACTCACACACTTTGACAGTAACAGAATAATAATGTTGTATTAACACTCACCCTGCCTCAGCCTGCATGTTTCCTCCTTCTGCTGTCCACTCAAAATGGAGTCTGAACCAACTGAACACTTTCACTTTCAGTTCTTTCCTGTTCTCTGGATCACGCAGTCAGTGACAGTGTAGCTCCTCCCCTCTCCATCTACAGCAAATCACACGGTTTATCTGTGTGTGTGTGTGTGTGTGTGTGTGTGTGTGTGTGTTAATGTTGTAAGGAGAACTTAGCTGTTAATAAAACTGGTGACATCAAGCAACAACTGAGGAGGACTGCAGTTGTTAAAATGACCAAGTATTGATTCTATGTTGGGAGAAAATGAATCATCTGTCCACTACATTGGACATTGTGCATCCTTATATGAACTATAATTCATACTCTTACTGCAACTGATTGAAAATACTACTACAACATACTACATGTTATTAGAATATGTGTATTAGTACAGACTGTGTGAGTAACAGCTTTATATCTATTAACATAAAATATAATTGTATTGATTGGTTTTTAATTTACAGTAGAAAACTGCTGTAACACAAACTGTTCACCGCAGTGGAAATTAAAGTCAATGATTATTTCTTTCAATATGTAAAGAGTAATAAAAGCTCCTGACTGAGGTTTCATAATGGATGAACTGAAAGGGATGCTGGTCCCATATCAGACATCCTTCCATGTTCTCTGCTGTGTGCGGGTTGTTGCTGCTGTTTGACGTCTCACAGCAGCCACACACTCATTTTCCTGCGTCTGCAGCTCACTGAAGGACAAAAACACACCTCGGCTGGAAATGTGCAACACTTCCTCAGTCAGACTGAAAACTCTGGAAATCCACAGAAGAAATTCAACAAACAGGCTTCATTTACAGCAACATGTATGAAATATATCAGTGTGTGTAGAAGTTAGACTGTGGAGATTCACATCACAGCACAAGTACAAGTGAGATGAGTTGTTAATATCAGGATGTGAATTTCCTACAGTCTGATACAGAATATTAGCAGATTATACAGTGAAAAGAACCTCATTAAGTTCAACCTCAGGGATGAAATGAAACTAGCCACAGCAGCACACACACACACACACACACACACACACACACACACACACACACACACACACACACACACACACACACACACACACACACACACACACACACACACACACACACACACACACACACACACACACACACACACAGTAAATACAGGATTAGTAGGAATAAGGGAGGAAGAGAAAAGCTCCAGAAGCTCAGTTTGAATGTCATTCTTTAAACAACACCACCATCTACTGTCCAAAACAACACATTACAACCACAATCACTTTTTAGCAATAATGAGAATTAAAGTCAAAGAGTTGTGTGACTTTCTACATAACAATAGTTTATTTGAGGATTTTCAGTCAGGATTTAGAGTTCAGCACAGCACAGAGACAGCTCTGGTTAAAGTTAATAATGACCTTTTGTTTGCTTCAGACAATGGAGTCGCTTCAGGAGTTTCGGATCATGTTGAAGCTGCTCAGGCTCTAATAAAGCAGAATTATCAGTTGTCGCTGGAACTATTTATGAACAAGGTCCTGTGTGAGCTCATTTCTCCCCGTTATCACCAACATGAGACGTAAAACCTGCAGTCGGTGTGTGTGAATGTTGGAGCAGCAGACTATCAGCAGCAGCTGCTCAGTTCAGGAAATGAAGCAGCCTCAAGGGGGACGAGTACTTCCCATCATGCCCTCCCCTCCTTCAGCCTAACACAGTGTTTCCTACCAGAGCTGCTGTGTTTAGACTGAAAGGGTGTGTCACATCAAAATCTCTTCATTTAATATGTGTATGCCATCATTCAGTCTATAAAACATCTCAAACAACATCAAATGTTACATCAGATCAGAGATGTTTACATAGATAAATATATATTATATAGAATAGATATTGGGGAGTGATGAGCAAATACCTTAAACCCCCAGCCGGAGCCTGCAGGTGGATGCTGGGGTGGTGGTGGGACTGAAGCAGGGCAGTCGAGGTCCCGCCCACAGACCCTCAGATGGTCTGGTAGCAGTTCCAATCTTTTAACTTAAAACCAACCTTCAGTCTTATTCATTTCATTGTTAATATGTTGAGATGATAATAATATCTTTATTTTGTCTTGTTTTCTTAATCTATTTTATCTAGTCTCTAGTAAACTTTATTTATTTAAATACAGTTTTCGTATTTTTTTTATATTTGTCATTATCATTTATTTTTATCTAGTTTTTATTTAACTCTATTCCATCTATTATTATGGCTCATTCTGTCTTATCATCAGCTTGTCGGTAATCTGTGAACTTGAATAAAAGGTGCTAAACAAATAAAGTTTGAATGATTTATTTATTGAACTGACAGAAACTGTTTTATTTGTTAATGTGATGGTGATGATGTGAGGGGTTTTGATCTATACTGCAACCAGCCACCAGGGGGCAGTAGAGATGATTTGGCTTCACACACACAATGGTCTGTACTTACATGGTGCTTTGAGCTGAATGCTGACATCAGAAAGCTAGTGGATGGGGATATTGTTCACCGCCTCAGTTTGGTCTTTAAGCACGTTAATAATAAAAGCTCTCTTCTTCTCTTTTGCTAAACATGATGCTGCTTCTCCTTTACTATCACTGAGTGAACTGACGACCCCTGACTACGTCATGGATATTCAATGCACAACAAGAACGGTGCAGAACAGCTGATGAACTGTACGATGAACACACAGTGAACACAATGACTGCAGGAGGTTTGGGTAAAATGAGCTTTTTACACAATTCTCTGTCTGTATTATGTATTCTTTTTATTTTCTGACAATTATACATACTTATTATTGATATTTGTGACAAGATCAGTGTTTTCTTCTCATTATTCTGTTTGGTTGTTTGAACTCTATAATGCGGTGAAAGAAGAGGTCAAATATATATATGTATATATTTGACCTCCTAATACTGTCAATCTGTACAACATAAAATAAATCTACTCTGATATTTTATAAACTATATAACTTATATATAACTTATAACTATAACTAGTTATATAACTATAACTGACGTAATGACGCTTTAAGATCTCTGGTTGGTGAAGTCTATATTTGTCTATGTTTTTTGCAGATTCCAGTACAGTAAGCCCCTTATGACTCTCTTGGCTACGTACATCAACACTCAGTGTAAACACGAGAGGAGCAGTGGTGTTTGTTTCCATCAGCTGCTGGGTGTCTGTACATGCTGCCACACTGTATGGCTGACACTGGAAATAACACAGAGTACAGTATACACAATTTCAACCTAAACAAGTTAAATACTGCCTATTTAATTCTTCTTATTTAAGTCATAGCTGTAAAAAGTTGATTAAAAAAGTAATTAAGACAAATTGCTACAAGATTTGAATTAGCTCATAAATCCACTTCAGTTATGAACACTGAGGCATGAAACTTTTTCCACATCCACAAAAGGCCATAAAAGGTTGCTTGATTCTCATCATCCTTCCTCTAAGTTTTCATGTTTTGTCACTGAGTACAATTAAGCTGATAATGATCAGCCAGCTTCAGTAATCAATACTCTCATTTATTATTAAAGCATTAATCAACCTGATCAGCCTTCAGCAGTTAGCTAGTGTTTCTGTAGTGGAGACTAAACGTTAACAATGATCCATATCAGCAGTTTGAATCCAACTAAAAGCTCCCTGCACCAAACTCCCTTTAAGAAATATCACATTTTAACAATTCCTAACGTGTTCGTAACAACACGTAACTCTAGAAACACGAGCTAAAGGCCGTCATATGTCCACAGTCTGACTGTCAATACAGGATCAATATCATCCATAAAGATACAGTGTATACTGATCAATATCATCCATAAAGATACAGTGTATACTGATCAATATCATCCATAAAGATACAGTGTATACTGATCAATATCATCCATAAAGACACAGTGTCTACTGATCAATATAATCCATAAAGATACAGTGTATACTGATCAATAGAATCAATTCAATAATTAACATTTCTCTTTATAATCAGAGCTGTTAATTAACTGTTCATTATGTGGAGGAGGTTTTTTTTAGCTAACCAGTATGCTGATGATAAATTCAAAACATGTCTGATATTGAAAAAACTCTAAACACCAAACCACAGAAACCTAATTAGGTCGGGTCACTTGATCAAAATGTTATATAACTGTTAGTTATAGTCTATAACTGTAAAAAATGGGTGCAAAGTCTTCAACACCTGTGTGAAATAGTTTTTCAAACAATATTTTAATTGCTGCTCGATTTAAATACAGGTGTAAAAACATTGAGTTAATGTAATATAACAAAAATAATAAAATATACTATGAGTGTAATTTGTGTCTAAGAATAATAAAACTTGCATGCGACAACATACAAGTCTTTAATATTGCGGAGACATAACATGAACATCTTGTTTGTTTGTCATTTCCCCACAATTCTGTGTATATTTAGAGAAATATTAGGCATATATTGTTTAATGACTTAATTAAATCAAATTACATCTGACACTGGTTGCATTTGCCACAAACTTTGCATGAGACAGAAATGGTGCAATGAGCCTTTATTTTACAACATGCAACAAATCACAACTTGTAGTTTAAACACACTTTTTTTAAAATGTAGAAAAACAACACAGGTCATGTGAGCTCTTTGTGATGTGACTTATAATACTGTGGACATCCTTTCTCCTAAAAGCACAATAAAATCACTTCATTTCTCCACGCCAACACCACAATCCTTAAGACACACCTCGCCTAATGAATGTGGTTCAGTTTCTTTCCTCACTGAAATGAAGCCGGCCCATTAGCTTGCAAATAGCAGGTTAATGGACCGATCTATACAACAACAGAACATTAAGGCACTTTGGAGAAAAACCTAAATAATATAAACTGTCAGGTTGTCTGAGTCCACTGGGCTCTTCCTGTTTTAAGGACGATTCTGCTGTTTTAGCTCGTTAGCTACTAGCGCTGATCCAGAACCGTGAATTAATATTTATATATTTATATATGTCAACACGCTGGTCAAATTCATTGCGGGAAGAGTGTTGAAAATACAAACTCACAGGTAGGCGATCATTCTCGTCACTGGCTGCGACACAACTTTCAAGGTGTTAGTAAAATCATCTCAAATCAATTTTATTTATACAATCATAACAGCAGAAGGTTTGAAGAAACAGCGTAAGGGGCCGTTCAGATGTAGCGCCATTGTATATGGTTCATATTGGTTCTAATGGATGAGGCATTTTGCTGTCAGTATAAGTCTTGTATTTTAACATCTGAAACAACTCCAAAAACTTCCTCCTGCCTCCAGTTTGATGAGTCTTTATCTCTTACTTTGTTGCTGTAACATATTTCTCCGGGTTCCATGAAATATCCATCCTAAACTGTAATATATCGTCTGACGGTCCGGGATCAGTTATTGGCCAACAGACCGTTTACCAGCCTCCCAGTGGACTAACAGCCTTACATCAGGTCACTTTGCATCAGTGAGAATAGAATCTTTAAGCATCAGAAAATACATACAAGCGGAAATAAATTACGTAAACAGTCTGGTTTTGTCTGGCCTGGAGTCAGAATGGGTCAAAGTTCATGTGATAAGAATCTTTTCTAAAAGGAGAAAAGAGGATGAGGAGAATAATGTAATGTTAACAGTTAGAGCTCAAGTTTCATTCATCAGGTTGAAATCTCCTTCTGAAAACACAAAGGCCCAAACTGATGGACAGACTCATTCTGGCTCCACACAAAACGTCCAGGCAGCAATATAAAACCCAGCTTTAAAAGGTCCAAAAATAAAGGATGCACCAATAAAAAATATCCGAATTCGATACCAAAACTTGCTACTGGGCAGATTCTGATGGAAAAACTCGGTATATCAAAAGTTCAACAATAGAAATACAAAATCTTGAAGCAAATCAAAGCACACTGACCTCAATTATCGTATCCAGTGACATTAAATAAGTGCTTCAGCTCCTGACATTCATTTACATCAGATTGGATTAGAGCTGCACAATTAATGCAAATACTATCAAAATCGCAACATGGCCAAGTGCAAAATCCAAAACGCAGAAGCTGCAATATTTTTAATGAAAGGTAAAATGTGATGAACAGAGCGGAGAGAAGAATACAAATCTTGTTCTCCAAACATCAGAAAACATGATTGTTTTGTACACAGCCCAATAAATCTAGTTTTTTTCAGTGAAATTTAAAATTGCAATGCAAAAATTATCTTTCCCACGATTGCAATCGTAATAGATTAAATGCAATATGGTTTCTTTTACCATATCGTGCAGCCCTATAGGGGATCATTTAATTGGTCAGCTAAAATGGTATTGACAATTAAGAAATTTTATCAGTGCATCTATAGTAGAAATAAAGCTTACATGTCAAACTGGTCCAGAGCAAAGAGAAAATACAGTAAAGTGAAGCAGCGAATACACAGCATATGTGAACATCTAGGACACGTATCTGAAAGTGAAATGCAGCAATGTTTAACTTTGTGGAAAACAGCTTTTACAGGGTGTTGCACTGTAGAGACCCCTATACACTGTGCAATTCTGGGCCATCTCAGACAGGCGTGTAGATCACACCAAGAGACACGTCCACCAACTATAAGAGCCAACCGATGATTCATAAAACCTGATCGGATCCATTGATATCTGCTGATCTTTCAGAGAACCCGACTATAGTGAAACAGCTATTTGAGTCAAACAGACAATCACGCTACCAAACTATCTGAACAATGTGTATGGGAGTATTTTGGAAAGACTTGTGAACAAGTTGAGGCTGTTAATGCAACTGCCTTACCTTGCCTGGGTTATCTAGTCTGCGTTCAAATTCAAGGTATCTTTTTTATTTTGAAAATGATTTTATGCATGTTGGGTTCAGGTCAGTTTTCTTTGGGTCAGTTTTGTTCCTAACCCGGACATTCATCTCATAATCTGACATGCTTCAAAGCTGACTCAGTCTGACTGCTGCAACCAAGACTGTATCATACCGATCTCACAGTGAACCTGTTGGACCGCTGTTATCACACAGTGTGTAGGGGCTTTAAGGGATGCACCAGAAATAAGACCATAATCTGTATTTCAATCCATTATAATTTGTCATGTACAACTCAACTCCCACATGGTCAGAGTCATAGTGAAACATTCGATTTTAATTAAATTAGACAAAAATCCTTCATTGTGTACTCGGAGCTGCTTCAGAGGAAATGTAAGAACACATTCAGTGACAATCTGAAGCATCACACGGAGATTTTTTGGCATCTGATCGACAGTAAGGCAGTAATCTGAGGATTAACGTCTCTGACTGAAAGCAGAGTTTAGTTTCACATCATCAAGAGTTTTGTAACAAGAAATGGCAGGAAGGCCCCCCATTAAGTCACAGACCACACCCTCTGTATTCCAGCACATTCAAACAGCCAATAGGATTTTTAATTCTACAAATATTTTTTACAGAACTTTCCACAGGTTAGCTCACTGGTGGGCTTTAAATGTGTTCAGAGGTCAGCAAGCTAGCTAACGTGTTGACTAGCTGTTGGTTACGGACTTAAAAACACTTTTATTGTAAAACTAACTGGTTTAAACTACTGTTTATCTTTTCAACCATGGGTCCGAAACAGGCCAGAATCAGCTTGTTAGTTAATGCTGGCAAAGCATTAAAATTAGCAAAAACTATTTTAACGCACTCATATTTGTTCTCATAGTTAATTTCCTACACAAACGACGACGTTGCACGAGTTGTTTTAACTTCGTCTGCCATTTCTTTATGGTTCGTCCCCATTCACCTTCACTGTAAAGTAAAACTATCCAGTAAAATTAGCTAGAAAACATTTAACATTTTAGAAGGCTGGCTTCTTTTATTGTCAAGTAAGAAAAGTTTTTTCTTCAAAGAAAGGTATAAAAAATTAAAGTGGTTTTGGCATCAACACCAAACACCGAGAACCAGCCCATTTTCTCAAGCACATAACAACACGGTTGTCCTCTTCCCGTCTGCAGCAGAGCACTTTACCACCTCCACCCAACGCTCAGCCCATATTTGTAGAACTAAAAGACTAACTGCATTTTTATCCACTGCTGCTACTCATTGGTGTGTTATTCCTTCTGTTGAACGGCACACACACAAGACTGGTGAGGACACTACGGAGCGGGGGGGTCATGTGATGTGGAAATCTGTGCGCACAGATTAATAAAGTGTTTACATCAATGAAAACACAGATTAATAAAGTGTTTACATCAATGAAAGCACAGATTAATAATCAAAGTCATCGAAATACAACAACATGCAAGGATGAGTAACAGGCCAGGAGAGGTATGTTTCTGTATATCTTGTGCTTTAACAGTCAGAGAGAACATGCTGTGACTTATTTCTGTTTTTTATTAAGTGCATCATATCAGATATTTATAGTAGTTTTTAACTATTTTTCCGACGCTAGTTATCAGTCTGTGCTTTCATTTATCTGGTATGACAATTAAATGCATCAAATAAAAGGTAATAACCAGCTTTATATCTGAATGCCAGATGCATCTTCCAGAAGTCTAAATTTGACCCAAACAGCAACAGTAGATTATGAATTACTATACTATATTTATGTATCCATTTTAATTCATCCTTAAATTTAATTTAAGTACATTTTATTAATTTGTTTATTTCTTTATTAACTCTTGTGCACGTTTTAATAGTTTTTTTAGTTCATGGATACAGTTTACATTAAATGTACAATACAACAACCTGTGGGTTTATTAATCAGTACAGATGTTTTATTAACTAATGCATATGTTTAATAACACATAAAAACCTTTTATTAATCTGTACATAATTGTAATCTGTGCGTACATTCATTAATTCACATGTTCATATTAACATGCAGATTAACATTATAAATCTATGTTTAACTTACAATATCTATAAGTTTTATTATTATAACTTAATAATATTAATTTGTGCAGAGGTTTTATTAATATATGTGTGTGAAGTTTATTCCTCCGTGCAAACAGATTTCCACACCAGTAATTTTGTCAACCCTACGACCTCCCTGGCAGCTTCCATCATCATCACTTTTCACTTCAATGTGGACACTGCTGTCTATTTTGGCATCATTTAAAACTGTCACCTACCTGTGTGCTTTCTAAGTGCATGAACATCAGAGTGAATTCAAATTCAAATGGTTAACAGTTTGGTTTATAAGAGCACCAAGGACAGTGGCACAGGTCCTGTCTGTGAGAAACTGGACAGCATATTGTAGAGAAACTGTAATCAATGCTGCACACAGTCGTTTGCTACTGAACTCATGGCTGCTCAAGATAAAGAGTATGTCTTTATGGCTGCTCACTGAACTCTGTGGGAAGTTAATGTGATGTTTCTGTGGAGTTACTGCCCCACCCCAGATAAAGCAGGATTAAGTTAACTTTAGTGAACGTCTCTTTTCCGCACAGTAGGAAAATTACCGTCGCTTCTGTTCTTCTGTATTTTTCTCAGAATTAAAGGTGCAGAATTAAACCAACAATGTGTTCAGATTGTTCACTGGTTCCTGCTGAAGACGTAAAACATCTAAAAAAACTCTTGTTTCATGTTTAAAGAGGTTCAGTAGTTCCTAAAACAGCTGCTCGCTGTAGTTTTTATCAAACAAACACGAGGAAATAGCACATTCGTTGGGGACTATTTTCAGCGGCGGATGTATTGAACACATTTGGTGCTGCACACAGGATTTGTTGAGAGTAACAGAAATGTTAATTATCACCAGACTTTTTTTTTTTTTCTTGGTTGTTGTGTTTGTTTGCATTGTTAGCATGCTAATGTTTCCTGTTTCGTTGTTTCAATTCACGTAAAGTTTTAGCATGCTATTGTTATTTAGCACACCTAAGTATTAGCCCCTGAGTACATGGTTTAGCATGCTAACAAAGTCATTAGCATGCAAGTTATTTTCTGTGAAATAAAAGCTTGTTAATGTTTGTTAGCACACTCGAATGAGGAGCTGTATATTTCAGTGTGCTAGCAAAAATTAGCATAGCAGGCTAACAGGGCTTTACTGTGCATCATTTCATTACTGGGCATTTAAGAAATGTGATTTTAAAAAGAGTTAAGTGCATCCGTGGTCCAGACTGCTTTTACTGAGCTCGAGGAATTATTAAAGTAGAATAAAATAAAGTTGGAATGACGAGAACTTTGAGAACGAATCGAGCAAATGAAGCTAGTTACTGTAAACCACTGAGTAAATGCAACAAAGAGACGATACGGAGACGTGTGACTGTGGCAGCACTCACACTTTTTGGAGGTTTTAGAGGGAGATCGCTTTATGGCACTCGACAGGAAGGGGGCGCTGTTTCTTTAGAGCTAGAACAACTTCAGCTTTTCTATAAAAAGCTCCTCTAAATCTTTGACAGCGGAAGAAGGGAAAAAACGAAATGTCTACCTTTAGGGAACGCCGGGGGAACGGGCAGGAAGCAGCAGGGGTGATGGGAACAACAACAATGTGACTGATTGTTTGCACCGCTGTGTCATCCGTTGATACGTACTCCAAATGTGTTACTGATACGTTTACAATGTGACACTGAGCACCTTTAAAATGTGACTTTAGAGCTTCGATAGGATTCAATGAGAAATTTAACAAAACGGATTCTGGACATCAGTTATACTGCGACTACTGTCCGTTCAGGTTTTTACTGTTATGATCAGGGATATTTACGTATCAGAAAGCAGCGGCTGGTCCAGGATCAGCTGTTCTATTACGTCTGCAGTACGAATTATAATCCAATCGGGTTCATTATCCAGGTGGTTGCTAGGCAGAAAATTGACCAGGACACAGCAAACTGCCAACACAGCCGTCTGGTTCCTTCATGACGGATCGCTCATTACACTGCTGCACCTGCAGGGAGGGAGGGAGGGAGGGAGGGAGGATGGATGGAAGGATGGGTGGAAGGATGGGTGGAAGGAAGGATGGGTGGATGGATGGAAGGAAGGATGGAAGGAAGGAAGGAAGGATGGGAGGAAGGATGGGTGGAAGGATGGAAGGATGGATGGAAGGAAGGAAGGAAGGAAGGATGGAAGGATGGATGGAAGGAAGGATGGATGGAAGGAAGGATGGGTGGGTGGAAGGATGGATGGAAGGAAGGATGGGAGGAAGGATGGGTGGAAGGATGGATGGAAGGATGGAAGGAAGGATGGATGGAAGGAAGGATGGGAGGAAGGATGGGTGGAAGGATGGAAGGATGGAAGGAAGGAAGGATGGAAGGAAGGATGGGAGGAAGGATGGGTGGAAGGATGGAAGGATGGAAGGAAGGAAGGATGGAAGGAAGGATGGGTGGAAGGATGGGTGGAAGGATGGAAGGATGGAAGGAAGGAAGGATGGGTGGAAGGATGGATGGAAGGAAGGAAGGAAGGAAGGATGGGAGGAAGGATGGGTGGAAGGATGGATGGAAGGATGGAAGGAAGGAAGGATGGAAGGAAGGATGGAAGGAAGGAAGGATGGAAGGATGGATGGAAGGATGGATGGAAGGAAGGAAGGAAGGAAGGAAGGATGGGAGGAAGGATGGGTGGAAGGATGGATGGAAGGATGGAAGGAAGGAAGGAAGGAAGGATGGATGGAAGGAAGGAAGGATGGAAGGAAGGAAGGAAGGAAGGATGGAAGGAAGGAAGGATGGAAGGAAGGAAGGATGGGTGGAAGGAAGGAAGGATGGGTGGAAGGAAGGAAGGAAGGAAGGATGGAAGGAAGGAAGGAAGGATGGGTGGAAGGAAGGATGGATGGATGGAAGGAAGGAAGGAAGGAAGGAAGGAAGGAAGGAAGGATGGAAGGAAGGAAGGATGGAAGGAAGGAAGGAAGGATGGATGGAAGGAAGGAAGGATGGAAGGAAGGAAGGAAGGAAGGATGGAAGGAAGGAAGGAAGGATGGGTGGAAGGAAGGAAGGATGGGTGGAAGGAAGGAAGGAAGGAAGGAAGGAAGGAAGGATGGATGGATGGGAGAAAGACATGAGGAGGAGGAGTGGAGGAAGGACAGTTAGACTGCAGTGAATATAATTTCTATCATGTGAATCTGACTCACATGTCTGATTATCACTAAACTAACAGTTGCTTCAGTGTTGGAAGAAATCTTGATATTCTGCCTGTCAGTTCCCTTCAGCGGCTTCAGCATTCCTCACAGAAACACAGTGAGACTGTTACTTGAAGGGAGGATCTATGGGCAGAAATGGGACATATACTCAAAGATATTGTTGCGGTCGGTTGGTTGATATCTCTGGTTTAATAGATGATAAACGGCGCCCCCGTCTTCCCGCCTTCAGCAGGCCGCCTGATAGCTGAACTCACTGAACTCCAGACTAACTGACACAATGTCAAATAACCAGCTACAATGTGAACATCGGCGCCGAGCCTCAGAAGAGCTGAGTGGATAAAGTTTCATTCTGATGTGTGTGTGCATTGTGACTGCTACTAACGGGCTGGAGCGAAGGTTCAAGCTCTCCAAACGCAGAAGCTGTGAGTTTTGTTTCATGTTGTTCATCCTGCTGAACTTGCTGGGATTTTGGACTAATATTGATTAAACATACTGCACACTGTATCAGCAGACTGTATTATGGTCTTTAATTATTCAACATACTGTCTGTGTTTTACTGCTATTCCCAGTTTTCCATTGGTTTAAAAAGGTCCTGTCCTGTTGTGTTCAAACTTCCATCAGTGACTTGCAGCTGTTTTTGCCATCATATAGATAATGAATGTAAAGCTGTACCCAGGAGCAGCTGCTGTCTGTCCACAACTCATCAATACACTGAACATTAAATACATCAAATCATAAAAACAGGAGCAGGAGCAGACCTACCCGTCTGATGAGGGCCACAAGTCACGCTGTAAGACGTCCACAAACTAACGGCCATCAGGAACGTCGCTATGAACCCAAACACCTGCAGCCACACACACACACAAACAGCAGAGTCCACGTTAACATAAAAACACGTATTAAACCAACAATTTACTCCACAAAGACTAAAACCTTTTCAAGTTTCTATTTCTTTCTTATTTTTTAACATTTTCAGAGACTGTTGTATTTTACTCTCTTAATAAAACAACAAAATATAAAAACAGATGTTCTGTTGGAGGTCCGACTCAGCCTGCTCGCATTAACGGGGAAACTATCTCTAGAGACTAAAAGGCTGTAAACATGTTTATTTCTGCTGTACAGTTAGACATTTTAACATGGGGCCTTATAGAGACTGACTCACTGCTGGAGACTGACTCACTGACTCACTGCTGGAGACTGACTCACTGATGGGGACTGACTCACTGACTCACTGCTGGAGACTGACTCACTGCTGGAGACTGACTCACCGCTGGAGACTGACTCACCGCTGAGAGACTGACTCACTGCTGGAGACTGACTCACCGCTGGAGACTGACTCACCGCTGGAGACTGACTCACCGATGGAGACTGACTCACTGATGGAGACTGACTCACTGACTCACTGCTGGAGACTGACTCACTGATGGAGACTGACTCACTGCTGGAGACTGACTCACTGATGGAGACTGACTCACTGCTGGAGACTGACTCACTGACTCACTGCTGGAGACTGACTCACTGCTGGAGACTGACTCACTGATGGAGACTGACTCACAGACTCACTGATGGAGACTGACTCACTGATGGAGACTGACTCACAGACTCACTGATGGAGACTGACTCACCGATGGAGACTGACTCACTGACTCACTGATGGAGACTGACTCACTGATGGAGACTGACTCACTGACTCACTGATGGAGACTGACTCACTGATGGAGACTGACTCACAGACTCACTGATGGAGACTGACTCACTGATGGAGACTGACTCACTGACTCACTGATGGAGACTGACTCACAGACTCACTGATGGAGACTGACTCACTGACTCACTGATGGAGACTGACTCACTGACTCACTGATGGAGACTGACTCACTGATTGAGCCTCTAGTGGCCCTTTAACAGCCACTAGAGGCTCCAGCAGATGAAGGACTTCAATGTTGGCTCGGATAATGTTATCAGTGAAGAAGTCTAAGTGACTTCCTGTGTAATTAGAGAGACAGAAGCAGGAAGGCCGAGGGAAGCCTCCTCCGGACGGGACTTTAATGGTTTTGTTGCTGCTGCTTTCAGGAACCACAGACTGCAATCAGTGAATCAGGAACTGAAAACTAAAAGGTTTTAAATTAAAATTGATCTTATTTGAGCTAATTTTTGACTTTTTGTTCAAACTTCTCTGAACAAAGCTGGACTGAAATTACTCTGGACGCACACACTCTGACCAAAAAATGTAGTCCAGAAACACACCAGGGGAGTGACAACAGCTGTATAACAGCCAATAGGACCGCTAGCTGCACGGCTAACAGTGCCTGATGTGATATGCTACCTCCTATTTGAGTACGAATTCTTACATACTGCACCTTGAAGTTTCTTTTGTGACTACAGTTACATTTCTTGTTCTTTTTACTTTTACGTAAGTCTAGTTTTCGGCTACTTCATCGTCCTCTGCTGTGATCGAACCACTGCTGACGAAGAACAACCCGCTGAGATCAGCAGAACCACAATCAGAGGTGTTTATAGTCCTCTGTAGATCTACCCAGGTTCCCCAGCGTCTGTGTGGTTACGTACCGATCCGGCCACCAGCGCTGAAACGCCTCCAGCCTTCACAGCGGCGACGATGGAGGCGATGAAGATGAGGACGGTGCCGACGGAGTAATGGAAGAACTCCTGAAAGAGAAACCAGAACAGATTCAGTGTGACGGACGCGGGTTTCATCAAAGACACTGAGAGCCGCTTTACCCCCCCGCTCTATAGAGCTGTACCCTACCCACAATGCTGTCAGTGTCCATTATTACTGAGTATCAGCGATGTCACGAGTACCGATACTTTCGGTACCGATCGATGCCAACATTATGAAAAACTTGACGACTGGAAGCCGCACATTCACAACGAACAAAAAGCCAAATATTTTATTAATGTAATCCACACGAAAGATGTTCAGACGAGGGGAATAAACAGACGGCAGGATGAAGCTCGTTCAGGTCGCTCAGGTAAAGGATGCACTGAAGCAACAAACGTATATATAGTATAAACTCACTCAGGAACAATGTTCTTAATGCAATGCAGAGCGTAGTGTAATATTGGGGGAAATAAAAGTATTGGCAATAAAATCTGATTGGGACATTTTTACTTTGGTATCCACTACAGACTTTCTGGTATCGTGACGTCGGTACTGTCTACTGGCCCCGCAGGAGAGACTGTATGAGCAGGACACACACTTTTACTTTGTCGACTGTGTGGAAATCTGATGTTTTCACATCACAGATGACAAAGAAAGACGAGATGTACCTTTATTGATCCCCTGTTGGGGAAATTTAAGTTGGCACAGCAGCGCATGGGAATGTAGTGCAAAGAGTAAAGTACATTTAATAAGATAAAACTCAAACAAAATCCAATAAAATATAATAAAATGTACAATAAAATGGAATATTATACGCCCGTGTCTATATGTACATGTGCAGAATCCATGTTGGGCTTTACAGTCTGACACATTGCACCATTATATTTATGACAGAAACTGAGGAAAAGCTGAACAGAGCCCCTTTTAACTCTCAAATATCAATATCCGTATCGTCCAAATGGTCGGACTTTAATTAAAAACTCAGCTCAGGTCACAGTTGAGTCGCTGAGAGGAAACTTTTATTGTCCTATAAAAAGATAAATAAAAACTTCTTCTTTAACATAAACCTAACTAATGAAGTGAAGCAAACACCTGCAACTCTGTATTTAATACACAAGCTTCCTTCCGTCTTTATTCAACCCCATCGAACATCAACCCAGTTCCTGTTGTGTAACAGGATCAAACCGTCAGACCTGCTGTACAGAAGTGGAAAAGCAGAAGTGAGACAGTAAAGAGATGAACTTGCTGACATGCTCGTTAAACACACACAGATGTGGAAATGTTTTGTGCTGCTCACCGTCAGCGGCCAGTTGATGCACGGCATCCTTCCCTGCAGCCTGAACAGGTGCATGAGGAAGAAGATGACGAGGGCGATGAGGAACCACATCGCCACCACCTCGAAGTACTGGAAGGCCGCCCAGCTGGGCCAACCGCGAGCGCAGTGGACGCACAGGAAGGCGATGAGGAGGGCGAGCTGGGAGGGAGGCAGTCACAGCGGGACACATTTATTATTCTTCTTACTGTCAGTAAAATAATCAAACAATGTGTTAGCGCTCGCTACTTCCTGTCTGCAGCTCACTGGTTCCCACTGGAGGCGTAAATCTTAAATATATAGTTTGAGGCTAGTTTTTATCAAACCAACCGGAGGAAACATTTGTTGGGGACTATTTTCAGCGGCGGATGAATCCACACTTGGACAGCTGAAGGGATGATGGATGTTTCCTCTGTGGGGGTTCAGGGTGGTACCGTATCACCGATAATGTTTCATCTCATTACTGTACTGATTAATAGGATGGAAAGTTCTGCTCCTAGTCCGCCAGTCGTTACATAAAACCAATAATCAGAGTCCTGGTTGGAGCCGCTGGGAATCAGCCAGTCTCCGTTGGTCCGCTGCGGTTCCGTGGCTCATTGGGGACCCACTCCGGTTCTGTGGCTCATTGGGGACCCGCTACGGTTCTGTGGCTCATTGGGGACCCGCTCCGATTCTGTGGCTCATTGGGGACCCGCTGCGGTTCTGTGGCTCATTGGGGACCCGCTGCGGTTCTGTGGCTCATTGGGGACCCACTCCGGTTCTGTGGCTCATTGGGGACCCGCTGCGGTTCTGTGGCTCATTGGGGACCCACTCCCCAGCAGTACTCCCCGCTACAGGGACTGTATCCATAAATCCAGAGCTCACAGTTCTGGTGGCGAACTGGAATAATTAGTGACCCAGTCTGCTGGTGTTTCCAGACCGAGTGAGTCAGAGGAAACGTGACCTTCTGTGTGGAGGCGGTTCGCACTGCCGGGGAGCCGGACCACAATGAGCACCAGTACCAGAACCAGAGCCGGGATCACCGGGCTCGGCTGATTCACAGCGGCTCCGACCAGGACTCTGACTCCGGGGAGACAGGGCGGGTTCAGCCTGACACGAGTACTCATGTGGACAGAAACAGAAGTGTCGGCCCGTTTCAGGTTCCAGATTGAAACCCACTCGCTTCACCCTCCCGCTCTCAGAGCGAAGGAGAAACTACGGTGGCTGCGAACAGCCGGGCTACTGTACCAACATGGCGGGCCAACATGGCGGACTCTGTGGTGATTAGACGCTGACATTTCCTCCTCAGTGCTCCACCCTGCAGCTTTAACGCCTCAATAAAAGCCTCGAACGTTTCCATTTCCCTTCACAACAATAACAGAAAGATTAACAGCACACACTCTTTTATTCCCTCTCTGTCTGTGTACAAACCGCCGGTACATAAACGTGTCCCGGTGTTGTCGGTGTCTCACATATTCCGGGGAAACTCCGTGTCAACCTGTGATATTTACCATCTGTCCCATCTTCAGCAGTCCCGGGATGGTCCGGGTGTAGCCCATGTTCAGGACACCGTCACCGGACGTCCTGGTGGTTGTTGTTGTTGTGGTGATGACGGTGTGCGACATGTTGACGGTAAACAACGCGGAGGATTAAATCTTTAACCAAGTTAAACTGCAGCAGAGACCCACCGACCGTTAACGTTACAGCGTCTGTCTGAACGTTACACCGTGTAAAGGCAAACCGGATAAACACGGAGACTTCCGCAGAGACATTTCAGAGTAAAAGCCAAAGTGCTCTACGGAGGCTGGAGTGTGACTTTTTAGACACAGGTTTTAAAAGAAACTGCAAATACAATATATACACACATATAATTAATTATGCTTTTAAACAGAGCAAGTTTAAATCACTTTGAATAAAAAATGTCATGAAATTAATGTTTCAATATACGGACGGGTTTGGCATTCACTTGAAATTTTATTTTTTGGTTTGTTTTTCTGAGTAATTTATTTTTTCCTGTTTTCTGAATAAGTTATTGTCTGAGTTTAGAGAGCATTTGAAAACAATAGACAGATTCATTCCTTTATTGAGAGCTCGATTTAACGGAAACAAACATGAGCGGCTTGTTGAGTTCAATCAGGTTTTACCTTGATCTGGTTTCAGACTCTGGGAGATAGTCCTGTCTTTAAGTCATATAGATGGTGTTATCATTAGTCTGTCGACTCTACACAGGAACCTGAGGACGGTAGATAGATGAAGATGGGGCATGTATGTGCGGGCAGGAGTCACCATAGGTCCATTGGATCACTGCAGGTTGGAGGTTCTCACGGGAGTTCGAAGTCTCTCGATAATTCAGAAAAAAATTACTCAGAAAAACAAACCAGAGTTTTTTTTTTTTCAAGTGAATTCAATACGCTTCCATATCAGTGAGAGTTAAAGAGATTGGGTACATTTTGTGCAACGATACCACGGCTGTCATAAGGGGATATGCTTTCTGTTATTTTCTGATCTGTATTTAAAAGAATAGACGTTTTTAAAGCATTAGTGATGAGTCGCCTTCGTGCACAAATCATGCACAGATATGATAGTAAGTTTATACATAATCCAAAAAATAGAAATGCATGGTAAAAATAGCACATGGAAGTTGTCAACGCAAGAATTAATGCAAATTTAACCGCTCCCTGACTCACTGGAACAAGTTAACTCCAACCCTTAATTAATTATTGCATAAATGCATTAATTGTATAATTGTGGTATAAATACTTTTGCTTTAGTATCTGAATACTTGATCCTTGCTGCAGCGGCCATGAGTTCGAGTCCGACCTATGGCCCTTTGCTGCGTGTCATCCCCTCTCTCCCCTGTTTCCTGTCTATCTTGAATTGTCCTGTCCAATAAAGGCAAAAAAAAGCCCCCACAAAATCCGAATACTTGTTCACTGATAGTGTTTTAAAGTAGAGCAGAGCTTCCATGCCTTTATTTTGAAGTAAACATCCTGTATCTGCTGGTTTCATCACGGTTGTGTGCATCAGCGTTGACAGGTCGGTGTGTGTGTGTGTGTGTGTGTGTGTGTGTGTGTGTGTGTGTGTGTGTGTGTGTGTGTGTGTGTGCTGGAGGTGTGGTCTCTGTCAGGAAACACTGCAGCAGCAGCAGCAGCAGCAGCAGTGCTGAGTGTGAAAGCTTCCAGAGCTTCAGTCCAAACACACGATTGTTCTCTGATCAGTGGTGAAACAGAAAGCTGCTGTCCGGACGTTTCTCTTCACACCAACTGAACACTGAAGAGGGACAGACTGTTCCAGCACAGAGGACACACAGGAAAAACAAAGAGCTTGACACAAATATTCTCAGTGACTTTGTGTTTCCAAAGCTTTCAATCTCATCGCGTGGGCGTCATTAGTGGATGGAGACTCAGTTGTCAAGGAGATGGTTTTGTTGTTGTTTTCTAAGGAGTTCAAAAGGATCAAATCCCTTTCCCCCATGTTTGCACAGCTCATTTGAACTACTTTATATACCGTTGGGTAGTTTGAGCTACAGCAATGCATCATATTCTATCATCACATGTTTGCAGTGTAGTTGTCCTGTGAGAAGTTCTTTCTATTGAGACACAGCTGTGGAAGGTCTCAAGTATTCCTAAAACAGTCAGTGTAAGGTTTGAGGCAGCGATATAAAAGTCCAAGTCAGATCTCAAGTCTCAAATTACAAGTGAAGATGAAAGTCTTTGAGTATCCTAAATGGTGAACTCTTCAATAATAGTTCATTTCATATTTAAAGTTGTGTTAATAGAGTATCGACATATTAGCACAAGATTCTTTTCCCTCAAATTCACTGATTCAATCTTAGAGATTATCTGTTGGTACCACAGATATACAACGAGTCACTGTGTAGCGAGATGAATCTCTTGAATTTTTGACTAAAATACTCTCAGAGCTCTCATTCATTATTTAAACTCTGTAACACTAAACCTAGAGGAGTCATGGGAAAGACAGAGAAAATGGCAAAGTCGACTGACGCAAGGCCCCAGACCCAGTCTATCCACTGAATAAAGAGATGAAGTAAAGAAATTATATCAACCCTCCATCGAACTCTCAGACAGCAATCACGCCAAAGTAAATGTCAAAGTAATGGAGCCTGACTGGGATTAGTAATGTGATTACTTAATTTCAAATTGTAATCCCTTACACAACTCGTTACTGATAAATATATTCACATTACTGTAATGTGTCGTAAGTCAGTTGTTGTACTAAAACTGATATCAATCAGCCATGTCACTCTATGTGTTGTGTTAGGTTTGACTTTTTGTACAACTCTTTCATGGTTCTAACTTAACACAGTATGTGCGCTTTTGTAGCTACTAGTAACTTTTACTGTTACATTGCAATGTTATACAACCCAGCTGACACTCTATTGTAAACATATTTGATTCAAATAATAGCAACAATAATTATAATTTAAATTTAAATTATAAGTAATTTAACACTAATTTAATAAAGATTTGAGTCCATTTGACAATGATACCCAAGTAACAGAGATCATTACTGTAGATACAGGGCAGAGGTCAGTATTGTCTATTTGATTAATATAATAGTCACAATGATATATATATGATATGATATTTATAAGTTTCCAGTCGAGTTGCATATACACATCACAATCTAAAATGCTATGTATACTAAAGTCATCAAACCTGGTACACAGTTACCTCGTACTGATATGCTAAACATATTAAAGCATATATTTGCATGTTGTCAGTTAAGTATATCAGTGCAATAGGTATTTCAAACTTTAAAAAGACATTTTCTGCTTCTTTTGGCACATTTTTAATCTAATCTTCAGCAAAATCGGTGTGCATAGCATATTAAGATGAAGCCGAACAAGACTAGGTTTGTGTTTGGGTATTACTTACTGTTTGTCTATAATGGGTTAAAAAACTTTTGAATACCTCTTGCGCAGGCGCAGAACGTATGTGCTGGTTCACTGTAGTTGGTGTGGTGTGTTCTAGTGTCACTTTTTGGCCAAGACACAAGCAACGTGAGGCGACGATACAGTCAGCTTTTGTCGCCAATAGCTCTTTGATGTAGGTTCGGTGTGTCAGGGGTTTCAAATGCTGACTCAGTTCTGGGGTTTAGCACTCAAGATCATTCATTTAAAATCTGAGGCAGCAGCAGAAACCTCCAGAGAAAAGATGTAAAAAACATTTTTTCTTCCACAGCAGAATTTTCATTCGCAGCTTTCGATGTCACCATGGAGACATAACAACGGATGCCATTGACTTTCAACCACATCCTGTGGCCACAAAGTGGTTAAACACACACCAGTGCAAACACCAGCACACACGTTCACACATTCAGCAGCATCAGCAGGAAGTGAAGCTGAAACCTGCAGCAGTCTCTTGACTAAAGTTAGTAGGTGAGCTGGACTGAAGATGTCAATTGAACTGACCAGAGGACAGAGAGAGTTCAAAATCAACCTGATTGTGTGTGTTCAGTAGGTGTGGCGAATGCAGGTTAGCAGGCCACAGCGAAAGCCTCAGCTGCACCACAGGCAGTAGCCGCGCTCACCAAACCACAAAGGGGTTTTGGGGTTTTTTAAAGCGCTGTGTCTTGTGCTACTTCTGCGGTATGTAAGAAAAACATTTCCCAGAGATCGAGCTTCTCTCTTCAGGTAGAATGAGTTAAACCTTTAAAGGGCGGAGACAGAAAATAACTTGAGATTTAGTTTAGAGACACATTCAGACAGAGAGAAACATTCAAATACTTCCATGTTTGTTTTGACCTCAACATTTGGATAATCATTACTTTGCAGAAAGAGTTCATAGAAATCTCCCACTGTATAAACTACAAGGCCAAACGTATGTGGACAGTTGAATATTCCCTCCATATGTGACTTCAAGTTAATTAATCTGCTGCTCACTTTCCTGTCCTTCAGCTCCAGCTTCACTGCAGGATGCAGATCATTGCTTTCATTGACAATTTGAATCTATTCTGGGAGCAAGCTACACTCTTTAAAAGGCCCGGCTTACACCCAAACCAACTGGGTGCCAATATTCCCCACAACACAGCCCGGCTGTATGCCTGTCATCATACTCCTGTACGGCTGTCACTAACCCTATGCTGACTGTACATGACTTTGCTAGCAGTACAGATACATTTCCTTACTCCAGCTCCCTCTAGTGGTCACCTATCGTAATCACAATCAGACTAGAAACTTGTTCCACCCACCGTCTTGTGGAGGCCTCATTTCTAAAACTCTATAAAACTATAAGAATATTCACATCCATAAAGTAGGCAGTCTTCTTATTATAAATACCCACCTGCAGTGAATCGTGCAGACGTGTACTCCTACCAGTGTCCTCCCAACCACAAACGCTCAGTGCTAATAGCTTGTGAATATGCCGACTTATTTAAGGAGCCTTTGTTGTACTGTCAAAGACAGAAATGCGAGAGTGTTACTTAACTCCTAAAATACCATCAAACACATGATAAACATCAAACTAACAGTTTCACAAATGTGTTTAATTCCACGTGTATATATCGATCCATCACAAACCTTAATCTAATGTTTCTAGAGACACATGATTTTACGTAGACATAGGGAGTTGGTAATATTCAATATTCTTGTAGTGGTAATAATAATAAATACATATTCTGCAATCTAATGGTGATGTGCATTTCATAGTAAATCTCTATGTGTTTTATATTTTATGTGTTTTTTCATGATCTCACCATCTGCCATCGCTGTTTCCTGTGTCTGAAATACTTTCGTATTTAGTTTAATGCATTGATGAAAGCATGCACAGAAATACAAACCCTTTACTGCATAATTTATCTATAAATTCCTATTCATGCTGTCAAAAAGCATACACACATTTGACCACGATTTTGACAACTTTCTTTTTGTGTGTTTGGACTGTGTGGACTCGTCTGCTTTACCAGTTTATACCAGAATGTCAGCAAGGCAGGAAAAGAAGAAAAATCACACATTTTTGCTTTAAAGCTGTGAAATATTTCCTTCTGAAGAAACAGCATCAAGCGACAACCTCTGAGGCTGCAAATGAATCCAACACGGAAATAACAAAACCTGCAGTTCCTCTGACGTCCACTAGAGGCTGGCTCCAGCAGTGAGTCAGTCTCCATAAGGCCCCATATTAAAATGTTTACAGCCTTTTTGGTCTCTAGAGATAATTTCCCCATTCATCACAACTGTACAGGAGGGTGAATTTATATACAACTCACTCCTTTAAATGAAAATAATGATTAAAGTTTTGCATAATTAAGGGCGTGGCTGCTTTGAGTCACAGGTGGGTCCCGTCACAGGTGGCTTTAGCCTCAGCTCCACCTCTTTGACCATTTTTGGAGCCAGGACTCCCAAGATGGAGATGGCCAGAGCCGATCACACTGACTTCACAGAGACTATGTTTATTTTTAATTACACAATCTATGATCTTGATGAGTTTGGAGATCTTCAACACAGTTTCACACACTGACACCAACCATTGGGCCAGCTGGGTCTTACAGTCAAACTTCCTAATAATAAAAAATAGACATGAAGGAAGTAGAAACAAAAGAATGGAAAAACACACACAGTGTCTGGGAGGTACTGAGTCACATGAATGACACACACACACACACACACACACACACACTCATGTCCTACCTCTGTTGTTTCTTCAGCAGTGTCATTATGGACGTCCAGCTGGTCTGCAGCACTTTGAGTCTACTGTTACCTGTTATAGGAGGTGAGCTGACACACACACACACACACACACACACACACACACACACACAGAAACAAGTCTCTTTACGTTGTGATGTGATTGCTGTCCTGGTAAATATGTTACAATAGCTTTAATCTTTCTATCTGATCTAATCTAATCTAACACAAATTAGTTAATTAAAGCAATTAAACTCTGCGAGCAGGATCAGTTGGCCCTCGCAGTCCACGTGAGTCGGGGCGTGGGCGTTACCTCTTCAGCCTGGCTTTTAACTATTGACAGTATATATAAGCTTTTAACTAAGGAACTGTTTCTATACATTATTTACTATTTTTTATTCCTTTCTCTTTCCCGTATTTAGTCAATCTCATGTATTCCTTATATCCTTCGTATTGTTGTTTACTATTGCTATTTGTTTATAGGTTCTGTCTGCTTTCTTTATTTATTCTATATAATTTTTAGTATAACTTTTATTAGATACTGTCATTATACCTGTAAAATCTATAGTATTATATTTTATTATTATTTTTATTATTGCATTCTATTTTTCAACCTACTTTAAGTTTTACTCCATTCTGTCTTATTAGCGTCTTGTCAATAGTCTGTGAAGCATTGTGAACTGCAACTGTCTGAAATGTGCCTACAAATAAAGTTTGATTGATTGATTATATAAATCCATGTATTTCCTATTTTCTCTTTTATTAGAACTTTTGCTGAAGTAAAAGATCTGATACCAATCTGTATGCATTTAGAACTAATCTATGAGTGTTGGTTGGTAGACATCGTTCTCTGTTCGAAGAGTTGTGACAGTAAACCATAGATGCTGTTGTTCCCCTGCCCTCCCAGCAGCTCTCGGCTCTGGAGATGACGGCTGGTCCATGAATGTGCAGTCGGAGGTCCGAGCCATCGAGGGCTACCCGGTGGTTCTGCCCTGCACCTTCAGCCACCCGCAGCACTCCCAGCATTCCTCTCTGCAGGTGCTGTGGCGTCTGGGCCACGGGCAGGGCTCCACCGTCCTGTACCGCTGCACCAGCCGGCCCGGGGCTCCCACCTGTGAGCCAGGGCCCCAGCAGGACCAGCGCTACCGGCTGGAGGGCAACCCGAGGGAGCACGACCTGTCGCTGCGGATCAACAGCGCCACCCTGCAGGACAGTGGACGATACTACTGCAGAGTGGAGGTTCAGGGGCGAGAACATGTCAGCTTTGAAGACAAGATGGGAACCAGGCTGCGAGTGGAAGGTAGCTTATACAGACAGCAGAGTCAGAAATACTCAAACTATTTACACACTGACAGTGTTGCAGGGGATTAAAAAGTTGCCTGGATGAATAACAACCAATCTGAAGTCAGTCTGTTTTTTAGTCTGTACTGACAGCATCATATCAGGGGATGTAGTATTAAGAGTGAGAAAGTCCATGAAGGGAAGTGGTTGAGGGCGGATTTGTGGGTAATTTTATTCAGTATACGCTGCATATTACTTTAATGGTACTCGACTATTGGAGTGTGGTACTAAATGTAAATACGTTACTGCTGCCACCAGGGGGTGACTGTGGTATTTACTCTTGGGATTTCTTTCTTCTTGTCTGTGCTGCAGCTGGTCCAAAGATCCTGTCTCTGTCAGTGGAGGGCAGTGAGCAGTCCGGGTACAGAGCGGTGTGTCGGGTCCAGGGCTCCCCGCTGCCGGATGTCCAGTGGCTCGGCCCAGACGACCTGCTGGAGGGTTCTCCGGTTGTTCCTGTGGCTCAGGGCTCCGTGGCTCACTACCACACAGTCAGCCAGCTGAGAGACGTGGAACCGGGCCAGCAGTACACCTGCAGCGCCTCCAACCCGCTGGGCAAAGAGCAGGCCACCCTGTATGTCCTGGCCCCCCGACCCCCGCTGCCTGTGACCGGGGCCTCGCCTGCTCTCCTGCTCCTCCTGTCGGTGTCTCTGGGTGCTAAGGTCATCCTGCTGGTGGGGATGGGGGTGTGGATGGTGCAGGGAGGAGCTCTGCAGGGAGTCAGCTGCTGGTGGAAATAAACAGCTCTGATATAATTGAATGTAAATAGAACACTTTATTTCAAGTCCCTTATTAGCATTCATAAGCACTGTATAAACATATAATTCATAGTTAATAACTATAATGTGTTGTACGTAGATATTAGTTTTTATTTCTGTATTTGTTAAATACTATCTTGTTAACTCCACTCATGTGGAGGCAGCTGTATAATCAGATATCAAACTATGATATACTAAAACACTGTTATATAATGAACAACGAATAATAAACACTTAAAATGTCCTTAAATCACTTTAAAAACCACATTATCTAGAGTTATAAAGCATTTACTAAATTTTTGCATACTGTTTATCAATGCTAAATATAATAGTAATGTGTGTAACATGAATTACCTATATTATCCATATTTGTAGAGGAAATTATAATTATTAATAATCACTTGATCTGAAAGGAGTTTCAGAGGCTTTACTGTCCTGATGAAAACCAATAAAGTCCTGAAAACTCTTCCTCCAAGATTGTGGCTGTGAATGTCTTCTATTGCTTTACACTCCAATTGATATTATAATAACTTACACTAAAATCTTATTCAGTCAAATCATTTATTTTCCATAACTGTGGTACATATCCTGATATTAAAGAAATATTGACCATATCCAGTAAAGAAGTGCCAATTAAGGAGTAAGACTTGGTTGGGACGGGATCTAATGTAAGAACATTGGAGGAAAACATGTCTGCTTTTTCGTTTTGTGAAGTTTTAAGGGCCCTTATGGTCCATAATTTTTACAGTTTAATTCTCATTATTGCTAAAAAAGAGTCATTGTGGTTGTAATGTGTTGTTTTGGACAGTAGGTGGTGGTGTTGTTTAAAGAATGACTTTCAAACTGAGCTTCTGGAGCTTTTCTCTTCCTCCCTTATTCCTACTAATCCTGTATTTACTGTGTGTGTGTGTGTGTGTGTGTGTGTGTGTGTGTGTGTGTGTGTGTGTGTGTGTATGCTGCTGTGGCTGGTTTCATTTCATCCCTGAGGTTGAACTTAATGAGGTTCTTTTCACTGTATAATCTGCTAATATTCTGTATCAGACTGTAGGAAATTCACATCCTGATATTAACAACTCATCTCACTTGTACTTGTGCTGTGATGTGAATCTCCACAGTCTAACTTCTACACACACTGATATATTTCATACATGTTGCTGTAAATGAAGCCTGTTTGTTGAATTTCTTCTGTGGATTTCCAGAGTTTTCAGTCTGACTGAGGAAGTGTTGCACATTTCCAGCCGAGGTGTGTTTTTGTCCTTCAGTGAGCTGCAGACGCAGGAAAATTAGTGTGTGGCTGCTGTGAGACGTCAAACAGCAGCAACAACCCGCACACAGCAGAGAACATGGAAGGATGTCTGATATGGGACCAGCATCCCTTTCAGTTCATCCATTATGACAACCTCAGTCAGGAGCTTTTATTACTCTTTACATATTGAAAGAAATAATCATTGACTTTAATTTCCACTGCGGTGAACAGTTTGTGTTACAGCAGTTTTCTACTGTAAATTAAAAACCAATCAATACAATTATATTTTATGTAAATAGATATAAAGCTGTTACTCACACAGTCTGTACTAATACACATATTCTAATAACATGTAGTATGTTGTAGTAGTATTTTCAATCAGTTGCAGTAAGAGTATGAATTATAGTTCATATAAGGATGCACAATGTCCAATGTAGTGGACAGATGATTCATTTTCTCCCAACATAGAATCAATACTTGGTCATTTTAACAACTGCAGTCCTCCTCAGTTGTTGCTTGATGTCACCAGTTTTATTAACAGCTAAGTTCTCCTTACAACATTAACACACACACACACACACACACACACACACACACACACACACACACACACACACACACACACACAGATAAACCGTGTGATTTACTGTAGATGGAGAGGGGAGGAGCTACACTGTCACTGACTGCCTGATCCAGAGAACAGGAAAGAACTGAAAGTGAAAGAGTTCAGTTGGTTCAGACTCCATTTTGAGTGGACAGCAGAAGGAGGAAACATGGAGGCTGAGGCAGGGTGAGTGTTAATACAACATTATTATTCTGTTACTGTCAAAGTGTGTGAGTCCGTTTTCTCCCTGTGGACTGTAGACCAAAGAAATGTTAGAATGAACTCAACAGTTTGATTCATCTGTGGACACAAAGTGCTGATTGGCTGAATAATACACAGTGAACCTGCTGTAACCCAGAAAACACACAGACTGAAAGAAAAGAGAGCAGGTGGAGTTCTGACTGCTTTATTAGACTGTATACTGACTGTGTGTGTGTGTGTGTGTGTGTGTGTGTGTGTGTGTGTGTGTGTGTGTGTGTGTGTGTGTGTGTGTGTCATTTAGTGTGAGTGAAGGAACTGATGAAACAGGAAGTGGAACCCTCCTCAACAGGATCTACACTGAGCTCTACATCACAGAGGGACAGAGTGAAGAGGTTAATACCCAACATGAGGTTTGGCAGCTTGAAACAGCTTCCAAGATGGAGACCCTCCATGAGACTCCAATCAGGTGCCACGACATCTTTAAAGCCTTACCTGACCAACAGACACACATCAGAGTGGAGAACCAAGATGTCAGTCTGGTGGTTCTGCTTTCGTTCAGGGAGCTGAACCTGATCAAAGATGAGCAGTACAGTCTTCTCAGGCTGCTCCATGTTTTCCATCCAACATTACAGAAGGTCACAGCAGAGCAGCTCGCTGTCTGTAAACTTTTGTTCATCTTTGACGGCCTGGATGAAAGCAGACTTTCACTGGATTTCAAGAACAAGAAGGTTGTGTCTGACGTCACACAGAAGTCTTCAGTCAATGTTCTGCTGACAAACGTCATCAAGGGGAATCTGCTTCCCTCGGCTCTCGTCTGGATAACCTCCAGACCCGCAGCAGCCAATCAGATCCCTCCTGAATGTGTTGACAGGGTAACAGAAGTACGAGGCTTCACTGACGCCCAGAAGGAGGAGTACTTCAGGAGGAGAGTCAGTGATGAAGATCTGTCCAACAGGATCATCTCACACATCAAGAACTCCAGGAGCCTCCACATCATGTGTCTAATCCCAGTCTTCTGCTGGATCACTGCTACAGTTCTGGACCACATGTTGACTACAGACCAGAGAGGAGAGCTGCCCAAGACCCTGACTGATCTGTACTCACACTTCCTGCTGGTTCAGACAAAGAGGAAGAAGCAGAAGTATGATGAGGGACATGAAACGAGTCCACAGGAGCTGACAGAGGCTGACAGGAAGGTTCTTCTGAAGTTGGGGAGGCTGGCGTTTGAACATCTGAAGAAAGGAAACATCATGTTCTACCAAGAAGACCTGGAACAATGTGGTCTTGATGTTTCAGAGGCCTCGGTGTACTCAGGAGTTTGTACAGAGATCTTCAAAAGAGAGAGTGTGATCTTCCAGAAAACAGTCTACTGCTTCGTTCATCTGAGCATTCAGGAGTTTTTGGCTGCAGTCTACATGTTCCACTGTTACACCAACAGGAACACAGAGGTACTGAAGGGTTTCCTGAGGAAAAAATATGTTGATTCATCTCTGGATGTTTTCCTGATGGAAGCAATGATGAAATCCCTGAGTAGTAAAAACGGTCACCTGGACCTTTTTGTTCGCTTCCTTCATGGCCTCTCTCTGGAGTCCAACCAGAGACTCTTAGGAGGTCTGCTGGGTCAGACAGACAACAGTCCAGAAACCATCCAGAGAGCCATCAACAACCTGAAGGAGAAGAAGACCCGGTCCTCTCCTGACAGAAGCATCAACATCTTCCACTGTGTGATGGAGATGAACGACCACTCATTCCATCAGGAGATCCAAGAGTTCCTGAAGTCAGAGAACAGAGCCAAGAAAAAACTCTCTGCGATCCACTGCTCAGCTCTGGCCATCATGCTGCAGATGTCAGAGGAGGTTCTGGATGAGTTGGACCTGAAGAAGTACAACACAACACAGGAGGGACGATTGAGACTGATTCCAGCTGTGAAGAACTGCAGAAAAGCTGTGTAAGTCCACATGTGATGAAAATTATAAAGCAAATTAAAGCTGAAGACATCAGTATTAGTAAAGATACACACATGCTCAACATACGACTTCCATATTATACATGCTTTCCTTAAGTTATAACTGATTATTGACATCAATATTATCATTCTGTGTTAAGTACACAAAACAAACAAGAAAACTGAAGTGGAGTTGGCATGTTCTCCTCGTGTTTCTGTGGGTTTCCTCCGGCTGCTCCGTGTCCACCACCATCAAAACACACATGTTATGTTCACTTCTCCAGTCAGAGCCCTGGACCTGGACCATGGCTCTGGTTTAGATCTGGAGTTGGTTGCTGGGCGCTGTACAGTGGCTGCCCACTGCTCCTAGTACTTAGGATGGTTAAATGCAGAGGACAGGATTCACTATATGTTGTACTGTGTATGATTGTATATGTGATAATAAAATGTTCTATTGTATAAGATCAGAGACACAAAATACACAAACACATAACTGACGTAAACACATAGCAGTGTAGTTACAACCTACAGTGATGATACAGCTCATTGAACATCACACTGAATAAAGTTTAACAAATACAATGCAGCACCCTGTAAATGAAATCTAACATGTTTACATGTCAGTCACTTGGACACTTTGGTCCAAAGCACCAATCTGGGGTTCATTATGTTGCTCAAGGACACTTTGAATGTGGACGGAGGAGCTCAAGTTTCAAACCAGCAACCTTGGGATCAAAGACTGTCTGACCAACTGACCAGCTGAGCTACAGCCGCTCATGTTAATGTGCTCTGTGGTCTAAATGAGTCTGTTTTTATAATAAAAGTGTCAGAGTTTGTTTTAAATGTTATATTCTCTGTATTCACAGACTTTCTGACTGTGAACTCTCATCAACTCACTGTGAAGTCCTGGTCTCAGCTCTGAAGTCCAACCCCCATCTGAGAGAGCTGGACCTGAGTAAAAACAACAACCTGAAGGATTCAGGAGTGAAGCTGCTGTCTGCTGGACTGAAGAGTCCAAACTGTAGACTGGAGACAGTTGATGTGTTTGCTCTGTGTATATCTACCAAATCTAATGACTCTGTTTGTACTCAGATTGGATTGATGTTAGAAAGAAAACTGCAGGCTTTAAATTACAGTGTTCAAAATCAAAATCATCAATCAATCAATTGTATCAGTATTTCTTACTTACGTTACTGAGAGACAAATATACACTATATGGACAAAAGTATTTGGCCACACCTGTTAATTGTTGAATTCAGGTGTTCCAATCAGACCCCTTGCCACAGATGTATAAAGTACAAGCACGTAACCATGCAATCTCCATTTGCAAACATCTGTGATGCAAAATGTGTCATTCTGAAGAGCTCAGTGACGTCAAGTGTGATTGGATGCCACCTTTACAATAAGACAGTTCGTGAAATGTTATCCCTGCTGGATATTCCACGGTCAACTGTAAGTGATATTATTAGAAAGTGGAAGCATTTAGGAACAACAGCAACTCAGCCACAAAGCTGAAGACCACGTAAAATCACAGAGCTGGGGCTACGACTGCTAAGGCACATGGTTCGTAAAAGACACTACGAATCTGCTGATTTCATAGCTGAAGAGTTCCGAACTTCCACTGGCATTAATGTGAGCACAAAAACTGTATTGGATGTAGTGGTGTAAAGTGCATCATCTCTGGACTGTGGAGCAGTGGAAACGTGTTCTGTGGAGTGACGAATAACGCTTCTCTGTTTGGCAGTCAGATGGTGAGGCTGGGTTTAGCGGATGCCGTGAGAACGTAACCTGCCTGACTGCATCGTGCCAACTGTGAAGTTTGGTGAAGGAGGGATAATGGTATGGGACTGTTTTGTGCCCCAGCGCACAAAGCAAGGTCCATAAAGACATGGTTTGATGAGTTTGGTGTGAAAGAATTTGACTGGCCGGCACAGAGCTCTGACCTCCACCCCATCGAGCACTTTTGGGATGGACTGGAACGGAGATTGCATCAGTGCCTGACCTCATAAATGCTCCACAGAATGAATGGGCACAAAAGAAACACTCCAAAATCTTGTGGAAAGCCTTCCAAGAAAAGTGGAAGCTGTTATAACTGCAAAATGGGGACCAACTTCATATTAAAGTATATGTCATATAACAAGAAGAATCTACACTACACTTTATTCAGATTGAGTGACTGCTGGTTGTCAGAGATCAGCTGTTCTTCTCTGGTCTCAGCTCTGAAGTCCAACCCCTCCCATCTGAGAGAGCTGGACCTGAGTAACTACAACCTGCAGGATTCAGGAGTGAAGCTGCTGTGTGGTTTTCTGGAGAGTCCACACTGTAGACTGGAGACTCTGAGGTCAGACACCATGTTTTCTTTCTGTGCTGAGATGAATGTGATGTTAAGTTGTGCTGACAGTAAAGTGCAGACAGGTTGATATTTATGAGCTAAAATCTCCTTCAGATTTAATGACATTACAACTCAGATTAAATGTTTGAAATGGAAAAATAGGATTTAAACATCTGAAAATGACATTTGTATGTCACACTTGTAGTAATATACTATAATATAGTTATTAATTGAAAGTGGACATATTATGCAAAACCAACTTTTTAATCATTTGATTATGTACATTTGGGACTCTGGAGGCCTATCAGCAGGCAAAGGGTGAAAACAGATGACTCAGTCATGTTTTTGTGATTTTTGTGAGATAAATCACTCAATTTCAGATGTTCAGATGTGCATGTTGCCACCCACCGCAGTTTACTTCCTTGTTGACTATCGGAGCTCCACCATATAAAAGACTATAAAAGAGCAAGCTAGCACAGCCCAACACAAATCTACATATGTACGAGCCACTGGATTTATTTTATTTTTGACGGCAATGTCTGTCGGAACAACCGAAACGTGTCTGAACAACCTCGGTCAGTACAACAGTGGACTGGCTGAAAGACTGTTCCTGAAAGAGGGATTGTACCAACTGTCTGTGGAGAGACGGCAGAGGAAGTCACTGGAAGTGTTTTTAAGAGTTGATGCTGTTTTTCATTGTTCGTGTAACGCTAGCTCATGCTAACCGCTGTTAGCTACAGGAGCCTCAGTGATGCTAACATAGTTAATGTTTATTAAATGTTTGTTAAATGTTTGTTAAATGTTTAATTGTTTATTAAATGTTTGTTAAATGTTTGTTAAATGTTTATTAAATGTTTGTTAAATGTTTGTTAAATGTTTATTAAATGTTTATTAAATGTTTGTTAAATGTTTGTTAAATGTTTGTTAAATGTTTGTTAATTGTTTATTAAATGTTTGTTAAATGTTTGTTAAATGTTTATTAAATGTTTGTTAAATGTTTATTAAATGTTTGTTAAATGTTTATTAAATGTTTGTTAAATGTTTGTTAAATGTTTATTAAACGTTTGTTAAATGTTTGTTAAATGTTTGTTAAACGTTTGTTAATTGTTTGTTAAATGTTTGTTAATTGTTTGTTAAATGTTTATTAAACGTTTGTTAAATGTTTGTTAAATGTTTGTTAAATGTTTGTTAATTCTTTATTTAATGGTTGTTAAATGTTTGTTAAATGTTTGTTAATTGTTTGTTAAATTTTTGTTAATTGTTTGTTAAATGTTTATTAAATGTTTGTTAATTGTTTGTTAAATGTTTATTAAATGTTTGTTAAATGTTTGTTAAATGTTTGTTAATTGTTTGTTAATTGTTTATTTAATGGTTGTTAAATGTTTGTTAAATGTTTGTTAAATGTTTGTTAATTGTTTGTTAAATGTTTGTTAATTGTTTGTTAAATGTTTATTATATGTTTGTTAAATGTTTATTAAATGTTTGTTAAATGTTTATTAAATGTTTGTTAAATGTTTGTTAATTGTTTATTAAATGTTTGTTAAATGTTTATTAAATGTTTGTTAATTGTTTGTTAATTGTTTATTTAATGGTTGTTAAATGTTTGTTAAATGTTTGTTAAATGTTTGTTAATTGTTTGTTAAATGTTTATTAAACGTTTGTTAATTGTTTGTTAAATGTTTATTAAATGTTTGTTAAATGTTTGTTAATTGTTTGTTAATTGTTTATTTAATGGTTGTTAAATGTGTGCAAGATGAACAGGGAACTTGAAGTTGAAGTTAATGTATTAAGCCAGCTGGTGCAGATGTCTCCATATTCTTCCTGCAACAAAACATGAAGTTTATGTTGTGAATCACCAAGCTTCGTGCTGGGGGGGGTTGGCTTTATGTTCGTCTGTATTTTGTAGAACAGGGAAGATAACGTCAGTTAGGTTTAATTGTCTTTAACCTGGTAACTTACATATCTGCTTACTATAGTTACTGAGTCAGTTGGACTTTATGTTGTAATATGAGGGGCAGTGTGAGCGTTAATCCTCGTTAGAAACTACCAAAATACCGGGAGTGAGTTATGGTGATTAATTTCTGTTTGTGTAACTTGCTAACGTGCTAACCAGCTGGGGCTAGCTTCGTTGTTTTCTGTGTGTGTTATGGTGTGTGTGTGTGTGTGTGTGTGTGTGTGTGTGTGTGTGTGTGTGTAGGGTGTGTTTGTGTGTTACGGTGTGTAAATTAACTTGATTAGTTTAGTAATATTGTGTAACTCTGATGCTCGCTAGGTTGTTTTGTGGAGTTAAACCAACTAATAAAAGTTTTCTGATCCATTTATTTAGCGTTACTGCAGTACTGCTATTACTGAAGATATAAGTGTAGGTCCAGTGTAACATCTACTCATATCATCTCCTATTGTATTATAAACACTGAGGCTCACTGCTAAATGTCTGTTAACCAGGAACTTGTTTCAACATCAGCTACAGTCAGTAAATGTCCTGTGTGTGTATCTGCTGCCATTAGATAGACATTGTGTTGGTAGCCTCAGATTGTTTCAACAACACATCACTACAGTTAGCTGCAACAAAGAATTATTTTATTTTATAACTGAGGACAACTTTGAGCCACAATGAGCTGTTGCACTTGTACTGTATTATATTATACTGTATGTTATATCTCCAGTGAGTGGTGGGCCCGCGGGAGAAACCATTGGGGTCGGGTGCGATGCCAAATGGGTGGCAGTAAAGGCAGGGGGCCTAGACAGACCAGACCCGGGCAGCAAAAGCTGGCTTTTGGGGATGTGGAATGTCACTTCGCTGGGGGGGAAGGAACTGGTGCGGGAGGTGGAGCGCTATCGATTAGATCTGGTGGGGCTTACTTCTACGCACAGTCGAGACTCTGGATCCTTACTCCTGGATAGGGGCTGAGCGCCTCTACGTTGGAGTTCACCCCGGTGGACGAGAGGGTCGCCTCCCTACGCCTACGATCTGTGGGGGGTGGAACTATGACTGTTGTTTGTGCCTATGCACCGAACAGCAGTGCAGAATATTCGGCCTTCTTGGAGACCCTGAATGAAGTCCTGTATAGGGCTCCAGTAGGGGACTCCATTGTTCTCCCAGGAGACTTCAATGCACATGTGGGCAATGATGGAGATACTTGGAGGGGCATGATTGGGAGGAACGGCCTCCCCGATTTGAACCAGAGTGGTGTTTTGTTGCTGGACTTCTGTGCTAGTCATAGATTGTCCACAATGAACACCATGTTCGTACATAGGGATGCTCATACGTGGTACCAGAGCACCCTAGGCCAAAGGTCTATGATCGATTTTGTGATCGTATCATCAGACCTGAGGCCGCATGTATTGGACATAAAGAGAGGGGCAGAGCTGTCAACTGATCACCATCTGGTGGTGGGTTGGATTAGGTGGCGGGGGAAGCCACTGGACAGACCTGGTAAAGCCAAATGTGTAGTACGGGTGAACTGGGAACGTCTGGAAGTCAGGGAAAGCGCCGAAGGAGTGGCGGACTGGGGTGGTGGTTCCCCTATTTAAAAAGGGGGACCAGAGGGTGTGTGCAAATTACAGAGGCATCACTCTACTCAGCCTCCCTGGGAAAGTTTACTCTAAGGTGCTGGAAAGGAGGGTCCGGACAATTGTCGAACCTCTGATTGAAGAAGAACAGTGCAGGTTCCGTCCTGGTCCTGGAACAACAGACCAACTCTTTACTCTCTAAGGTGTCCAGGAAGGGGCCTGGGAATATGCCCATCCGGTCTACATGTGCTTTGTGGATTTGGAGAAGGCATATGACCGGGTTCCCCAGGATATCCTGTGGGAAGTTCTGTGGGAGTATGGGGTGAGGGGGTCACTTCTCAGGGCCATCCAAGCCCTGTATTTCCAAAGCGAGAGTTGTGTCCGGATTCTTGGTCGTAACTCGGACTTGTTTCAGTGGGTGTTGGCCTCCGCCAGGGCTGCGCTTTGTCACCAATCCTGTTTGTGACTTTCATGGACAGGATATCGAGGCGTAGTCGTGGAGTGGAGGGGTTGCAGTTTGGTGGGCTGAGGATTGCATCGTTGCTTTTTGCGGATGATGTGGTCCTGATGGCATCATCAGCCTGTGACCTTCAGCACTCACTGGATCGGTTCGCAGCTGAGTCTCAAGCAGCTGGGATGAGGATCAGCACCTCTAAATTGGAGGCCATGGTTCTCAGCAGGAAACCGGTGGATTGTCTACTCCGGGTAGGGAATGAGTCCTTACCCCAAGTGAAGGAGTTCAAGTACCTCGAGGGAGGTGTTCCTGGCACGTCCAGCTGGGAGGAGGCCACGGGGCAGACAGAGGACCAGGTGGAGAGATTATATCTCAACACTGGCCTGGGAACGCCTCGGGATCCCTCAGTCAGAGTTGGCCGATGTGGCCAGGGAAAGGGAAGTTTGGGGTCCTCTGCTGAACTTGCTACCCCCGCAACCCGACCCCGGATAAGCGGATGAAGATGAATGAATGAATCAATGTATATTATATTATACTGTATATAATATTATACTGTATTATATTATACTGTATATTATATGCTGCCTTACAAGTAACACTGAATCTTCCATGTCTTACAGGTGACCTGATGAAGCGTGCCGGCGTCGGAGACAGGCACTCAAACCCGACCGTTCTGAACAGGGCTGTTTTGGCAGGGTGATTGAACTGCTATGGTGCTTCATCCTTATAGTATTTTGACCAAAGCATGTCACAGACATTACATTAGGACACCAGGGAACTAGGTTAACTTGTAGAAATATGGTATAATATGACTCCTTTAACAATGAATTATTGTTGACTGTTGTAGATATAGCTACAATTTCTTAGTGTGTTGTTTTAGCTTTTTCTTTTCCTTTTAACTCGTTAAGTGTCTTTGAGTTTCTTGAAAAGAACTCTATAAATTAAATGTATTATTATTTTATTATTATTATTATTATTAAGCTATTGATTTAGAAATTGGATTAAAAATTAAATTAATAACTACAACCAAAATCACTATCAATAGTTAAAGTGGGAGCTTTGGAGTTCTGCATAGAAGAGGTTGGTATCATTCACTCTTATATGAAATTAAATAGGCCAGCATATATAAACACAAACATTTATTAAAGGAATAATAAAAGCAAACAGAGGAAAATACACAATATACAATCTAACTTAAAGGACCTAAGTTAGAGGAAAAGGTGTGTGTCTTTTGTCCTCTGACCAGATGTTTCAGCTGCATTTTTATCTTAAATAGTGGAACCTTCATCACTTTCTGTGGCTTGGCTGCACAACATGAGTTTGTATAGATGGAGCCACTGGTGGAGCTGCAGAGGTTCAGAGCTGAAGTCACTACGTCTTTATTGAAGCAGCAGCACGTTGTCATTAATATTAATGAGAGCTCTTTTTCACTCTTTGTATTTTACAGTTTGCAACCTGCATCCTGTTGGGTTCAGGTGTTTGGAGTTTCCATTTTCTAAACTTGTACATTGTAAACCTTCTTCAGCTCTGAACAGATTATTAAACACTGAATGATTTCAAGCAGGAACATTGTCTTCTAAACTCACATCTTTTATTCTTTATTCAGATTGAGGAACTGCAGTTTGTCAGAGATCAGCTGTTCTTCTCTGGTCTCAGCTCTGAAGTCCAACCCCTCCCATCTGAGAGAGCTGGACCTGAGTTACATCAACAACCTGCAGGATTCAGGAGTGAAGCTGCTGTCTGATCTTGTGGAGAGTCCACACTGTAGACTGCAGACTCTGAGGTCAGACACCATGTTTTATTTCTGTGCTGAGATGAATGTGATGTGAAAGTTGTGCTGACAGTAAAGTGCAGACAGGTTGATATTTATGAGCTAAAATCTCCTTCAGATTTGATGACATTAAAACTAATAAAATATTAAAATAAAACTATAAACCAGGCATCTCAAACTTCTGTCCCTTTTCTAGACCACCAATCATCATCATCATCATCATTATTATAATTATTATTATTATTATTATTATTATTATAAATATTGTTATTATCATTATTATTAATGTTATTATTATTATTTAATTATTATTATCATTATTATTACCTTTGTTATTATTGTTATCGTTATTATTAATATTACTATTATTCTATTTATTATTATTATTATTATCAGTATTAATATTATTGTGATTATTATTATTATTATTTTTATTTTTATTTTTTATTATTATTATTAATATTATTATTCAGTGGCGCCACAGAAGAACTTGTGCGGGCTGCCGGTATATTAACGCTCAGGGATGGTTTCAGCATTTAGCAGAGAACCAGAGAGAGAGACGTTATCTGGATGGTTAACGAGGACGGAGCCACCTCATTTTCATTCATTACAATAAATCAATAAATAAACAACAACAACAACAACAACCCAGCAAACTCCAGCAGATTCTTGTTCAACGTGTTCCCAAGCACCATCGTGGTGATTTTCATGTTGTTTTACTCTGTCATTCTTTAATAATGGCATGCTAAAATAATGGCCAATACGCATACTGTCAAATAAATTCCAATATCATCATAAAACATTTGTACATCTTCTGTATGTGTATTGTTCCTGACTTCAGCATGAAAGGATTCCACAATGATGCAGTAAACCAACATAAAATCACCACAGAGGTGTTTGGGGGCAATTTGATTGGACTTTTAGGAATCTTTAAAATATGTGTATATAGCAGAATAGTAAGATTTGTCATGAGTTTAACATGGAATTATTAAAACAATGAAACTGTAAAACAACATGATCAGCACAGAGGTACCTGGGGGGATACTGGACAACAATCTGGTGGAGTTTGATGGTTTTTATTTGAATGAATTTTCCAGATCTGCCTGTGTACAACTGAATGGGATATTGTTCTGAGTTTAGCATCTATTAAAAATGCTGCAGAGAAAGAACAAGAACGTAACGAAAGACCTATTTCAACTAAACCTGAGTACAGATTGCAGAGTTTACGAGGTGCACCTGAATGCATCGTGAAGTCCCTGACCTCAGTACAGTAACAGACAGACACACAGAGCCTGTACATGGAGAGAGGAGCAGAGAGAGGCAGCCGGTGTGTGTGAGAGAGAGCAAAAAGCAAGAGCACAAAGACTAAAGCAGCAGAATAAGGTGGAGAATGAAGGAGAATTAAAATGGTGAAATAAGAAATGAGTTCTAGAAATAGAAATCTAGCCTCCACAGTTCATTCTGTGGGAAACAATGGCTCAAACTGCTCCCAATAACCAGCGTAGGCTGCTCTGGTTTAACTTGTGTCTCTAAGAGAGAGAGGGGAATATGTTGCACATGTTGTCTGCCACTAAATAAACTATTGTCAATTCATAATTCCTGAACTCTTTCATTTTAATACTGAATATACAAAGTTACAGTTGTCTTCTAAACTCACATCTTTTATTCTTTATCCAGATTGAGTCACTGCAGTTTGTCAGAGATCAGCTGTTCTTCTCTGGTCTCAGCTCTGAAGTCCAACCCCTCCCATCTGAGAGAGCTGGACCTGACTAACAACAACAACCTGAAGGATTCAGATGTGAAGCTGCTGTCTGATCTTGTGGAGAGTCCACACTGTAGACTGCAGACTCTGAGGTCAGTAGAGGGTCTGAGTCAGTCCATGCTGGTTCCAGCAGTCTTAGACTGAACACAGATCCAGTATTTGCTGCTTTCCTCAATGAAGCTGTGAGAGGAGAATGGGGACAGGCTTCAGGATTGGACAGACAGACAGACAGAGAGAGAACAGTCAGCCAATCAGAGAGCCAGAAGCTTGTTGTGATCATGTGTTTGAGTTGATGTGAAGACGACTGTTGTTGTTGTGTTCATGTGTTCAGGAAATAAAGCTGGATTCCAGCTGACAGCATTACAAGATGTATAGAGACAGTGGTCCTCATTCATCCAGTCTGATCTCACACTGTTTGTTCTCTCATTTCTACACTAAACAACTGATCAGTTGGTCTTTGTCACAGCTCTGAGATCAGTCTGACTGAAGCCTGCAAACAAGCATCATTACATTTAGTGACCATGTGGTCTTTGTACAGACCAGGACCTCTGCTGGAGTCCAGTACCCACAGCTGATGTGTTGCTGTTCAGTCTTTGTATGAACATGTAGGACCTTTAACATCAGATATATATCTGTCCATTTGTCTTTTGTTTGTCCAAATAGTTTGAATATTTACACATTTGTCCTGTAAGATTTCAGATGAAACATTCAAATGTGACTGAGACTGTGGTTTTTATCAGCTTTGAACCCTAACAGCAGTAAATGCATCATTCCAGTGGGCAGTGAATGTCTCTCTGTTTCTGCAGTAATGATGCGTTCAGGGACTCTCAGCACTTTATTTCCACTGTGTACTTCAGTGAAATCTGCAGAGTCAGCAGACTTGATGTCCAAAGTGTGTGCAGGTCTGTGAGCTTCAGCTCAGTGTGTTCACTCCAATACGTTAACATGAGAGCTGAAAGGAAGCAGGCTACGCTACACAGCCGCTCCACTGCTGGTCTGAACTGGACTGAAGTCCCTGCTGCTCTTTATACTGGATGTGCTGATGGAGGGAGTCTCTGTAAACACTGATTTATCTCTGCTGTCCTCTGTCTCCTTCTCTCCTCAGATGGAAGTGATCTCAGTCAGACAGTGAGCGGTGAGGAAGGAGGTTGTGTTGGAGGATCCGCTGTGTCCTGATGATCCAGAGAGGTTGAAGCAGCAGCATCAGCTCTGACTGGGCCATGTTACTGGGAGGTAGAGTGGAGAGGAGAGCTTCATCCAGCAGTGACTGACAGAGGAATCACAACCAGTGGAGACGACTCTCAGTGCTGCAGTCTGAACTGCTCTGAGATCAGCTCCCTGTGTGTTCCTCTGGATCATGTGACAGAGTATCATCAGTGTATCTGGAGCTGCTGCTGCTGCTGCTCTGTCCGTCTACAGTCTCTGCAGACACACTGAGACTGCTCCACTCCTAAAACCACTAAATACACTGAATAAAGCAGTTCCACCTTAAACACACTGAATAAAGCAGTTCCACCTTAAACACTCTGAATAAAGCAGTTCCACCTTAACAATCACTGCTTCTCCCACGCTGTTGGACAGACAAAGGACGTCCCGGAGGGGCTGCGAGCCGAGCTGCTGCTAACGTTAGCTCAGCTTGTTTCTCTGATAACTTAAGATCCAGACGTCCGATGACTAAAATCCTTCATCAGGTTCAAATCTAGAGTTAAAAAGCACCAAGATCTAAACAGTGGATGGTAACAATGTGGCTTTAAGGACCAGTGTGTAGAATTTAGTGGCACCTAGCAGTGAATTTGCAGATTGCAGCTAACTGAACACCTCTCGCGTTAAAGCTGTGTGATATGACAAAAGGAAAACATCTATTGTTTCTTATTTTTCTCTATACCATTATTTTGTGTGTCATAAATTACACTCTTCTGGAGTTCATATGAAAACAATTATAATATGAATATGAATACTTTTTATTTGTTGAGTATATAATTTAAAATGTAATAATAAATACATTGGGTTTTTCCATGTTCTCATTTTATATAAACTATATATGAATTTACATGTCCTACATCTGTCCATACATCTGTATATATATATATATATATATATATATATATATATATATATATACATGTATATATATAGGTTCCTGGGATATGAAATTATGTATATAAGGATATGAGATTTTGGTCATATACAGTGGGTACGGAAAGTATTCAGACCCCTTTAAAATTTTCACTCTTTGTTTCATTGCAGCCATTTGCTAAAATCAAAAAAGTTCATTTTATTTCTCATTAATGTACACTCAGCACCCCATCTTGACAGAAAAAAAGAAATGTAGAAATTTTTGCAAATTTATTAAAAAAAAAAAACTGAAATATCACATGGTCATAAGTATTCAGACCCTTTGCTGTGACACTCATATTTAACTCACATGCTGTCCATTTCTTCTGATCCTCCTTGAGATGGTCCTGCTCCTTCATTGGAGTCTAGCTGTGTTTAATTAAACTGATTGGACTTGATTAGGAAAGGCACACACCTGTCTATATAAGACCTTACAGCTCACAGTGCATGTCAGAGCAAATGAGAATCATGAGGTCGAAGGAACTGCCCAAGGAGCTCAGAGACAGAATTGTGGCAAGGCACAGATCTGGCCAAGGTTACAAAAGAATTTCTGCAGCACTCAAGGTTCCTAAGAGCACAGTGGCCTCCATAATCCTTAAATGGAAGAAGTTTGGGACGACCAGAACTCTTCCGAGACCTGGCCGTCCAGCCAAACTGAGCAACGTTGGGAGAAGAGCCTTGGTGAGAGAGGTAAAGAAGAACCCAAAGATCACTGTGGCTGAGCTCCAGAGATGCAGTAGGGAGATGGGAGAAAGTTCCACAAAGTCAACTATCACTGCAGCCCTGCACCAGTCGGGGCTTTATGGCAGAGTGGCCCGACGGAAGCCTCTCCTCAGTGCAAGACATATAAAAGCCTGCATAGAGTTTGCCAAAAAACACATGAAGGACTCCCAGACTATGAGAAATAAGATTCTCTGGTCTGATGAGACCAAGATTTAACTTCTTGGTGTTAATTCTAAGCGGTATGTGTGGAGAGAACCAGGCACTGCTCATCACCTGCCCAATACAATCCCAACAGTGAAACATGGTGGTGGCAGCATCAGGCTATGGGGATGTTTTTCAGCTGCAGGGACAGGACGACTGGTTGCAATTGAAGGAAAGATGAATGCGGCCAAGTACAGAGATATCCTGGAAGAAAACCTCTTCCAGAGTGCTCAGGACCTCAGACTGGGCCGAAGGTTCACCTTCCAACAAGACAATAACCCTAAGCACACAGCTAAAATAACAAAGGAGTGGCTTCGGAACAACTCTGTGACCATTGTTGACTGGCCCAGCCAGAGCCCTGACCTAAACCCAAGTGAGCATCTCTGGAGAGACCTGAAAATGGCTGTCCACCAACGTTCACCATCCAACCTGACAGAACTGGTGAGGATCTGCAAGGAAGAATGGCAGAGGATCCCCAAATCCAGGTGTGAAAAACTTGTTGCATCATTCCCAAGAAGACTCATGGCTGTAGTAGCTCAAAGTGTGCTTCTACTCAATACTGAGCAAAGGGTCTGAATACTTATGACCATGTGATATTTCAGTTTTTCTTTTTTAATAAATTTGCAAAAATTTCTGTTTTTTTTCTGTCAAGATGGGGTGCTGAGTGTACATTAATGAGAAATAAAATGAACTTTTTTGATTTTAGCAAATGGCTGCAATGAAACAAAGAGTGAAAAATTTAAAGGGGTCTGAATACTTTCCGTACCCACTGTATAATGTGTTGTATGCAGATATTAATGTTTATTATTGTATTGGTTAACAGCTATTAATCGTAAGTGGAGGCTGCCGAATAAACAGTTATTGAATCATAATATAGTAAAACATTGTTGTATAATACATTCTTCATAGGAAAGGTTGCAGTTGTTGTATATTAATTAACACTTAAAATGTCCTTAAATCACTTAACAACCACCCGATGAAGATCCAATAAAGTCCTGATAAAAACTCTGACATTTCATTTTTAAAGATATTTATTGAGAACAAATATTGTTTTCTGGAGAGACAAATGTAATGTGGAATAAATAAATGTAATTAGAAATTATTTTATAGGATATATGATATTAGATTATTCGGACGTGTATTAATGTAAAAGCAGGATTTTACTGTTGGAGTTGGTTGAGCACATTTTCAACTATTTTGTATCAGACTGCAACTAATGATTATTTTCATTATGGATCCATCTGCTGATCACTTTCTCCATTAATGCATTGATTGATTTCTTTGTACAAAGTGTGTCACAATGACCCAGAGTCATTGACAGTCATTTAATGTTTAATTCAATTACATTTTATTTGCATAGCACCAAATCATACAAATCATAACAGAAGTTAACTCAGGACTTCTTTAAATGTGTGTTGAACTTGTGGGAAATAAAACAGCAGTGTAGTTTCACACATAATAGATTTAATGGTACAGTCAGTTACACCATACATTAAATGGAGTTTATTTTTTCAACACATGATTTCTTTTTGCAGAGTTCAAGACACAAAGAAATATATGTCCTTTGACCAATCAGATCACAGGCTGAATCACTTCCTAATTAATATCTACTACATTAACCGAAACTTCCCAACAAAACTAAAAGTACATATTCAGTCAAAATTAAGACCAGACATTTATTTTACCATATAAAGTATTATACCACATAAATATAATAGTATTGCTACAAAACACACGTAGCTGAAGGTACTTGTTCCTATTCCTCCTAATGTTAGATATTTACTGTAACTAAGAACTCAATTAATCCAATATTTTAATAATTGAATGTAGTTATAAATGAGTCGATCCAACCAAGACAAAAAACGACATCAGCAACTTATTTACCGGCCACCCTGCTAAAAGATTACTAGCCTAGCTTCAGTGTTGCCAACTTGGTAACTTTCTCTATGAATTTAGAAACTTTTCAAACCCTCTTACTGACTAGCAACGAATTTAGCATCTAACTCAGACCATCAGGGAAAAGGCAAGAAATATATTCAAATATATTACAAGCTTATTGTAATTCGTTCTGAACGGCTCTTTGAGCTTCTCTCTCTCTCTCTCTCTCTCTCTCTCTCTCTCTCTCTCTCTCTCTCTCTGTCACTCTCTCTCTCTCTCTCTCTCTCTCTCTCACTCTCTCTCTCTCTCTCACTCTGTCTCTCTCTCTCTCTCTCTCTCTACTCTCTCTCTCTGTCTCTCTCTCTCTCACTCTCACTCTCTCACTCTGTCTCTCTCTCTCTCTCTGTCTGTCTCTCTCTCACTGTCTCTCACTCTCTCTCTCACTCTCTCTCACTCTCTCTCTCTCTCTAGACCTCTCTGGATTACAGCGTTCTCTAAAGCTTGCAAATCTCTAAATCTGTTAATCTGTTTTAATAGATCTGTCTCTCGTTTTGCTCTCTCATATTTTTTTTACTTAAAATCCCTGTAATGACTATGAATTAGTTGGCTAAAGATGTATCTGTCGGCTTTTCTCTCTCCCTCGCTACAAAAGATGTGTGTATGGCGTCATCTGCCAACTTGTAGTGACAATTGAAGGGTCTGAAGCTATTGAAGCTGCCTAGCTTTAGCTGAGTGGCTGTAACCAAAGATCAATAATCAATCAGATGCTGAACTCCTCAAGGTTTGAAGGTGTTTCCCAACTTTCTCTCTGCTCTCTGTCTTTGTAGAAAAGGCAGACTTTTATAAAGATCTTACAACAGCAGTTTAGATTGATTAGTTTGATTGATTCTTAGATAAATAGTGAATCTAAAAGCTCATAAAATCTATTTAACTTAAAGCAGGAAAAAGATTTCAACTTGCAGCGACAGGAAACAGCTCAGAAAACAAACCATTAAATATATTGTTTACCTGTTGCCAGGTGATTAAATTCAAAATTTCCGCTGATTAATTGATGCACGTCGGTCTCAAATCATTGTTCAAACATAAATACATTGATTTTTGTTTTGACTGTACTGCCAGATTGGGGGACATTTTTCAGGGAAATCAGCAGGTAAAGGTTTTAGTAGAGCAACTTGTACTAAATTCAATAATTCTGTTTAGTTTTTAGTGGGAAAGTTAGCTAGCATGCTTCAGAGCATTCAAGCAATCTAATTTTAAGCAGATAAAAGTCATTAAACCACATGGCTAACTAAACTTCCTGAAGGCGAGTTGTGAGTTTCCGAATATTACATCGTTACAATGTATTACAATGTTTGAAAACATTTCTTCAGATATAACTCTCAGTTAACTCAGTATATTCAGTTACTTGTAAAATAACTTTTACAATTTTATTTTTATAATGTTAATATACTAGGGCAACTACCTATGAATAAGATTTGAGAAATAAAACTCCTTAGAGAAAGAAATATTAGCATGAGGACATTGGGAACTTCAGCCTGTCTTTCAATGAGCTTTGTCCATGTTTTCATCCCGTCACTCTGCTGGAAAGAAGACAGGACTGCTGTAGCAGACGGGATAGGCGTCCTTACAGCAGTCCTCGTCACTCCAGCCAAAGTCCTTTTTGTGTTCCAGACTCATGATAGCACATTGGCCATCTTGCACTGTGCCGGGCTCGCCCTCCGCCCAGTTGGTGTCATTGACAGGCTTCCCACTGAGCCAGTACCACTCCCCAGTCAGGGAGCTCCGACGCATGCCGATCCACACATTCTGCACTCCGTCATTATTGGCCTGCATAATTTTACTGTAGATCTGTGTCTGGAGTTGGGCCTCGGGGAAGCTGCCCAAGTCCATGCCGTTGTCTCTGCAGTACTTCAGGGATTCTCGCCAGCCGTCTGCCACTTCCCCGATTTTTACGACTTCTGGAGACAAAGTGCAACCTCGGAAATCTGATTGAAACAGAACAGAGACAAACTGCATCATTGATAAAAAAACAGTTCACTTTGTGCTGGTGGGCTATCATGCATCACAATCTGTGGGGGTCTGACTACAGCAATTGGTCAACACTAGCTTAGCAACCATAATGGCAAGCTTTGGTTTTCTCCACTTGGGGAAATGGAGAGTACAAGCCTCTAGTGTGAGTGAGTGTTTGGAGCACGGTGTCTTTTTTATTAGCCTTTCCAAAAATGTTAGTGTGTGAATGAGTTAGACATGTTTATCTGCTCTAACTTAAGCAGGAATTGTTTGCATTTCCCAACTAACTAGTTTACTTTCTCAAAGTGTAAGCAAGAGTTACTTCCAATCACACAATTATCTAACTACATGGCTTCAAACACATGACTCAAATGTCACAACTTAGTTTACTTGCTTGATTACTCAACTTGACAAATCAACTGGACTAGGACATTAACATCAATGACTCATGACTTCACTTGGACCTTCGACGTAAATAATTAAATAATCAAATTACTATCACAAACGTACGCCCATATTAAGACAGCCGGAACATGTTGCAGTCGTTCCCAGTGGATTTCGGCCATACAGTATATCTTCTTTCTCATATCTGTTAGCGTGATATTGCGTACATAGCCATTAGGTTCATGTTTAACAAGAACTTTTTTCAAGGTCCTCATTTTAAATGTCACCTGGAAACATTAAACAGACAGAGACACACTCATAGAGCTAATGTGGGCCTGCTCAGCTAGCTAGATCAGTCAAATCATTGGTTAGAAAACAGAAGCTGCTTTTATCTTCCTCCAACTGAAATTCAGAAATTGAATTTTAAAACGGGTAGATGTAGCAACAGTAACAATGTGGAGCTGGTTTTAGTGCATAACAGCTTAATTAAATACTCTTAAAACAAAAACAGTTTAAAAGTTAGGACTGACACGCCTTAATTTTAAGCTTCCCCTCACTTGTTAATCTTCAGTTTGAAGGTGGAGGTCATACCTGGGGTTTTACTGATGATGGCTGCTGGGTTCCCAAACAGAGCACCTTCCTTATTTCCCATTAAGTAAACAGCCATTTGGGAGGAAGAGTGCCAGATGACAGTCTTCTTTGTCATCACATTAACAGATGTTGAGACATAATCTGTCCCTTTCAGCTGCTGCCACTCTGGACTCACCAAAGGAAGACTTCCAACATGAACCCCGTCAGTTTGATCCTTGTGGACCACAATCACGGCAGAGTTCTGCGCATCAGGGATTATGTTGACTACCAAACAGGCGGCAAAGTCCGTCTTTGGGATCAGATTGAGGAGCAAGCCGGGCCGGTAGAGGATGGCTGTGCCAGTTGTCTTTACCAGAGGCTTGTCTGATTGGAAGGGTTTTACCTCGCCTTTCTTTGAAAGAAGAATAACTGTTTCACTTTCAGCACCACTGACAAGAGCAGGAGGAACGTAGAACTCCTGCTCTTCCTCTTTGTCTGGCAGCAGCATGGTGTACAGCTGCCCACAGGTGCAGTTGTACCGGATGGCGCAAGTGTGACCAAAGAGGACCGCCACCGGATGGTTTGCTACCACGGTTGTCAATGCCTCCTCCTTTTTTAGCCAAATCTGAGCGACCTGGTGGGACTGAATATCCTTGAACTCTTGACCTGTAACAGTTACCACGTTGTTTTCGTCCCCATTGATGATGACGAGTTTGAATGGGCCTCTTTCAGCTACAGCAGTTGTGACTCCGTCTTCGGGGTGAGTGGTTCCTGTGATCTCGGGTACCGGCGGGATGAGGTACTTTTTGCCCAGATTGTCAATGGGTATAACCAGAGTTGTCTGCACACTGTTGTTTTTGCGGTTGATGGCATGGACAGTGATTTTATTGTTGCTGGTAATTTGGAGAATTTTGTTGGAGATGTTTTCCCTCCGGAGCTCCAGATCTTTATTAATTACAATTTCATGAGTCTGTCCTCTGCTCAGTGTTCTTTGATCTGTGCCTATTTTGACCTCAGTGTCATCATACAAGGCAGTGACTTTGACCTTATTTTGGGGCTCATCAGGATGATAATAGGCGATGTTCTCCGGAAAAGCAACAATGAAATTCTGACCAGCGTTGTTTTCTGGTGACATGGTGGTGGATTCTGAAAAAAAAACTTCAAACCTTTAGTATTTTTCAAAAGGGAGACAAGAGGAGGGGGTAGTGTAATACGGGGTAATATTTTATAGTTCAGTTTACAATTACAGTCTAATTTCATACTGAAAATATTAATAGTGGATAGTTTATGTCAACAAACAATCTTTTACATACAAAATGTTATAATAGAAAACACTTTATAGAGCTGCAATTTAAAAAATATATACAACTGAACAGAAAGTATTTGAGAGCTTGTGTAGCCTCCATATTGTACATACAGCAGTAATGTAGCCAGAAAGAAAACTGTGTATCACATTTGTCTTGAGTTATACCTCGCCTATACTCCAGAGTCTGAGTCTAAGTTAGGTATTTTCAGGTATTCTTAATGGTATTTCTTCCTGAAAAACAATATAAGTAGTTGATGACTCATCCTGCACTCGGGGGCGTATACTAATGCTGCGTCCAATGAAATGCTTTCTCTCTTCTGACACCGCCGGAGCAGAGTGTACTGTACAAACACCTTTTAGAACATTTTATGGAGAAAATATTTTCCTATTAATACATAGTAACCTACAAGAAGCATTGTACCTGATAGAGAACACTCAACCACAGCTCAGCACTCCCCAAAAACATACACACCAACTTCTAGTCAGAGGAGGAAGTATTCTGATCTTGTACTGGAGGAGAAATACTAACCCCATACTGTACGAATACTCTGTCACAAGTGGAAGTATGTGCGTATAATAAGTAAAATGTAATATTAAAGTGTTGTGCTACTATATCTGATATCATTAGATTATTCTGACTCATACATTAATGTAAAAGCAGGATTTTGCTGTTGGACTTGGTTGAGCTCATTTTCAACTATTTTGTATCAGACTGCAACTAATGATTATTTTCATTATGGATCCATCTGCTGATCAAAGTCCAAAGTGCCACCTTCACAATGCTTTAGTCCGACCAACAGTCCAAAGCCCCAAATGATCTCAAATACATTCAGACTATTACAATCAGAGGAAAATCAGCAAATCTTCACGTTTGAGAAGCCCGAACCATGAAAGGTTTTTACAGGTAAAATTACTTGAAAATGTATTTTCTGTCAGTGTACTAATTGATTGGACTGATGATTTCAGCTGTATAAACTGTTGGATAGATTATTTTATAATAAACATCATATTTTATAAACTCTTCTTTATTTGTAAAAAAAAAAAAACTATAGGTAAATGTAGTGAAGTAAAAAGTACAATATTCCCCTCTGAGATGTAGTGGAGTAAAAAAAAAAGTAGAATGAAAGACAAAAAGTACAAATCACTCAACTTTCTGCTTAAGGTACATTATTTGAGTAAATGTACTTAGTTACTTTGCACCACTGTGTTTTACCTGACTTCAGCGCTCCCAGCAGCAGGAACAAGAGCAGCACCGGACACATGGCGGCTCCTGGATCACCAGTGATGAGTCTCTTGAAACTTAAGGCGGCACCTGGAATAGTTAGACAGATGTTTTAGTATGTGAACTTTATTCCCTTTTCAACACTGGCCTCTTTCAGGAAGCTGGTTATACTTGTCTGTGGGCTATGACATCATTTCTCACTCTAAATGGAAATTGTATTTCTTGGCTCTCTCCAAGTAATGCAGGTGTGTTCAGTGGTAGAAGAAATATTCGAGGCCTTCTGCATTTCTAGCCCTTAAAGATAACATCTTCAGTTACATTGTACCTTTATTTAACAAATTATACCAAAACATTTACAAAAAATCTATTTCTTTGTATTTTTACATCAAAGTCCAGTCATTTTTTTCTTCCTGTAAAACTAAATGTGACGCGTGCTTACGTCAGCATGAACTAACTGATTTCAACCAATAATATTCTGACATTCACCCGTCAATCAATCTTCAACTTTCAGCGACTCAACTCCACTAACTGCCAATGTAGCTGCCGACAACCTGAGAGACAGACAGAGGACAGTTTGACGACAGCGGTACCGAGGTGATTCACGGAGTTTCCAGATGCTAAAAGTTGCTGCTAATGGCAAAGTCAGCAAATGGAACGGCTGTACATGCTTGACTGGGTTGACGTAACACACATTCAGGGCTGTTGGTTATGTCCCTCACCAACCAATCAGCCACATGGCCCCACCCCCTAAATGATTCAAATTAGTTGGCAGTGAGGGAGCTTTTTTAAGCCCCGCCCATTCCGAGCACGGATGCAAATATTTAGTTGGTTGAACAGGTGAAGATACAGGTAATGGTGTACTCCCTGCTGCATTAATGTGTATTAAGATGTTTAAGAACTACTTTATACACTGTTGGGTCGTCAGTACTGCATCATATTCTATAAGATCATCATATATATGTTTGTCCCGTGAGAACCACGTATCTCTAAACAGTCGGAAAAAACAGCCTGTTTTCAGCTGTGTGACAAAGCATCTCTTCAGAAAATCCAAAAGGGGTTTTTAAATAGTGTATTTAGCTTAAGAAGCAGAAGAATATTCATTTATTACAAACATTCAGCATCAACACATCTGGAGATACGTGGTTTCCGTACAGTAAAAAGTACAGTAGTTGCCTCTGAGATGTAGAATCAAATGGAAACAATCAAGTAAAGTGCCTCAAACTTTTTACTTTAACAAAATTTAAGTAAAAATGTACTGAATTATTTTTTGGTCTTCGAGGTTAAATTCGTGTCTTACCTGCTCGCCAGTCGTCAGCCGAGTGTTTTCTTCTTCTCTCCTTCCGACACGGAAACAAACATTTGACAGTCAAACACGAAGATATTTGGAAGAAGTTTGCATGTGACTCACATCAGCATCAGGGAGGAGGCCGAAGGTTTCAACATGCAGGGGTTTGTCTTCTTCCCCTTTTTTAAGTTTATTATTTATTCTAGTGGTTGTTTATTGTTTACTATCTTGTTTATCTGTTGTCTGAGTTGTTTGTAAAATAGGAGGAATATAAATACTTACTGCTACAAATAAAGTAACCCGGAGAGGAGGAGAGGGGGGAGGAGGAGGTAGAGGTGTAGAGGAGGAGGACTTGAAGGAGGAAGAGGAATAGAGGGCGAGGTGGAGGAGAAAGGAGGGGGATAAAGAAGTGTAAAGGAGGAGAGGAGAGAGAGGAGGAGGGGGAGGAGGAGATAGAGGTGTAGAGGAGGAGAAGAGAATTAGGAAGGAGAGGAGGAAGAGGTGTTGAGGAGGAGTGCAGGAGGAGGACTTGAAGGAGGAGAAGGAATAGGGAGGGAGGAGGGGGGAGGAGGTAGAGGTGTAGAGGAGGAGAAGAGAATTAGGAAGGAGAGGAGGAGAGGAGGAGGAGGCAGGAAAAGGACTGAGGAGGAGAGGAATATTAGCATTAAAAGGAAGAGGAAGAGGAATAGAAGGCGATCAGAAGAGGAGGAGGTGGAGTTGAGGAGGAGGAAGAGAGAGGAGGAGATAGAGGTGTAGAGGAGGAGAAGAGAATTAGGAAGGAGAGGAGGAAGAGGTGTTGAGGAGGAGTGCAGGAGGAGGACTTGAAGGAGGAGAAGGAATAGGGAGGAGGAGGGGGAGGAGGTAGAGGTGTAGAGGAGAAGAGAATTAGGAAGGAGAGGAGGAGAGAGGAGGAGGCAGGAAAAGAGGAGGAGTAAGAATATTAGCATTAAAAGGAAGAAGAGGAATAGAGGGCGAACAGAAGAGGAGGAGGTGGAGTTGAGGAGAGGAAGAGAGAGGAAGAGGTAGAGGTGTAGAGGAGGAGGAGTAAGAGTATTAGCAGTAAAAGAAGGAAGAGGTGTTGAGGCGGAGGACAGGAGGAGGACTTGAAGGAGGAGCAGGAATAGGCAGGGGGAGAGAGGAGGGGGATAAAGAAGTGTAAAGGAGGAGAGGAGAAGATGGAGGAGAAGAGAACTAGAAAGGAGAGGAGGAGGCAGGAAAAGAGGAGGAGTAACAGTATTAGCAGTAGAAGGAGGAAGAGGAGGAGGAGGAGGAGTTGAGGAGAGGAAGAGAGAGGAGGTATAGAGGAGGAGAAGGCAAGAAAAGAGGAGGAGGAGTAAGTGTATTAGCAGTAAAAGGAGGAAGAGGTGTTGAGACGGAGGACAGGAGGAGATTTGAAGGAGAAGGAGTTGGGAGGAGGAGAGAGGAGGAAGATAGAAGTGTAAAGAAGGGGAGGAGAAGAGAGGAGGAGGTAGAGGTGTAGAGGAGGAGAAAGGAGGAGCAACAGTACCAGCAGCAGGAGCAGTAAATACAGTGACATTGTTAAAGGTTGTTTTGTTGTCTACTGATCTGGTGTCAGTTTGACAGTCAAATCAGTTCAAGCTTCACAGACTCTGAACTCATGAACTGATCACGAGCTGCTCCATGTTGGAGAGGAGTCACTCCTCCTTCGGCCGCAGAGGTGCTCTGTATGTTATATAGGACTCACTGAGAATGAGCTGTCAATCACAAGGTAGCCCCGCCCTAAAGCATACCCTGCTTATGGTCTGTTTTACTCTCTACTGATCTCAGACCAGCAGTTACTAAATGAACATCATGCTGTATGGAAGAAGACTGAAACTAGAGACTGGCTGTGTTTGAAATCACACACTAACATACTGTGTACTACACACTCAGTCAGTACTTTATACTGGGTACTAAACGCAGTATAAGTATGTCGACTGTTCACACTGGAATATATTCAGATTTGAATACTGAGCTACCGCTGAATGAAAACAATGTACACTCAATGGAATATTCTCCAGGATTATATTCAGGCAAATCAACGTAAAAGAAGGGAGGAGAGGGGCACTGAGGCTACTGTTTGTGGTTCACGTTTGATTAAAAGAAGAATAAATGAAGGTAAATATTAATGTCACAGATGGAGTAATGCTCTTAACTTCAAAAAGGTTTGAGCACTTTCTCGATCAATCTTCGCAGTGGTAGGCAACCTCTTTCAGAAATGAATAAATATAATATTTGTTATCACTTAACTTGAACAATAAAATGATTCTTCCATTCTCCTGTGGTAAAAATGCAATCCATCACACACACAATGAAAAAAACATCAACATTAGCTTTTAGATGTAACTAGCTAGCTAAAAATGTATGAAGATTAGCTCTCTTGTTACCTATTATTTTGCTAATATCTCTTTTATCTTTTAAAATTCTTCAAATGTGGTTTCATTTTCAACATAGCACAGCTAGCACACTATAGTATAGCTGTTATTGGAGCACAGAGCACGAAGAGCTGTGTAATGCAAAGAAACATGTTTTATATTTGAGGAACATAAAAAAACGCATTACTATCATATGACAAGATTATATTATATGTTTTAGAGTAATTATGATTCAGATTATTATATTTGTAGGCTAAATACTATTACTCCATTAATCTCTATTAAAGAGTGTTTGCACACCTGCCCTCAGGGGGCGTTACCTCTGCTAATAACAAACAATCAGCCACATGCCTCAAATACTCAGGTGGGATTCATCATTCACCATTGACCATGATATTCTTTTACAGAGACTTGAGCATCAAATTGGCATTAAAGGAACTGCCCTAACCTGGTTTAAGTCAACTTATCAGATCGTTCTCAGTTTGTACATGTTAACGATGAATCCTCCATAAATACTAAAGTTAGTCATGGAGTTCCACAAGGTTCTGTACTTGGACCAATACTATTTACTTTATATATGCTCCCTTTAGGCAACATTATTAGGAATCACCCCATTAACTTTCACTGTTATGCAGATGATACGCAGTTATATCTATCAATCAAACCCAATGAAATTAATCAATTATCTAAATTACAAACATGTCTTAAGGACATAAAATCCTGGATGACCTGCAATTTTCTGATGTTAAACTCAGAAAAAACGAAATTCTTGTTCTTGGCCCCAAAAACCTTAGAGACTCATTGTCTAAAGATAAGTTACTCTAGATGGCATTAACTTGGCCTCTAGCACCACTGTCAGGAATCTTGGAGTTATCTTGATCAGGATTTGTCATTTAACTCCCACATAAAGCAGACCTCTAGGACTGCCTTCTTTCATTTACGTAATATTAGAAAAATTAGACACATACTATCACAGACAGATGCAGAAAAACTAATCCATGCATTTGTTACTTCAAGGCTGGATTACTGCAACTCTTTATTATCAGGTTGCCCCAATAAGTCCATTAAAAACGCTCCAATTAATTCAGAACGCTGCAGCACGAGTACTGACAGGAACTAGAAAAGAGATCACATCTCTCCTGTACTAGCTTCTCTGCATTGGCTCCCTGTAAAATGTAGAATTGAATTTAAAATCCTCCTCCTCACCTATAAAGCTCTTCATGGTCAGGCCCCTTCATATCTTAAAGAGCTCATAGTACCCTATTACCCCACTAGAACACTACGTTCTCTGAATGCTGGGCTACTTGTGGTTCCTATAGTCTCTAAAAGTAGAACAGGAGCCAGAGCCTTCAGTTACCAAGCTCCTCTCCTGTGGAACCAGCTTCCAGTTGTGGTTCGGAGGCAGACACCCTCACCACATTCAAGAGTAGGCTTAAGACATTCCTCTTTGATAAAGCTTATAGTTAGGGCTGGATCAGGTGAGTCCTGAACCATCCCTTAGTTATGCTGCTATAGGCCTAGACTATCGGGGGATTTCCCATGGTGCACTGAGCTACTCTCTTCCTCTCTCTTTCTGCACTCATTCATGTCCCTTTAATGCATGTTACTAACTCCACTTCTTCCCCGGAGTTCTTGGCTTTCTCGTCTCGCAGGTTCTCATGGATCCTGGTGGAGCCTCCTGCCATGGTCCTGCTTGACTGCCATTGCCAATACTGTTGTTGCTGTGCACCTGTCTGTCTGTCTGTCGCCTCTCTCTCTCTCTCTCTCTCTCTCTCTCTCTCTCTCTCTCTCTCTCTCACCCCAACTGGTCGAGACAGACACCACCCACCTAGAGCCGGAGGATCTGTCCTAGGTTTCTGCCTTTTAACAGGCAGTTTTCCTTGCCCTTGTCGCCAAGTGCTTGCTCATGGTGGTACTGTTGGGTCTCTGTAATTAATGTTAAAGAGTTCGGTCTAGACCTGCTCTATTTAAAAGTGTCCTGAGATAACTTCTGTTATGAATTGGCCTATACAAATAAAATTGAAAATTGAAAATTGAATTGAAATCATTCAGCTCACCTGGGTAAGAGCAGATTTGGTGGATTTCAGATTTCAGGATGGTTAAGAATGTATGGTACATCTGGAGTTGACTTATATTTAACAGAAAATGAGCAGTTTATTTATAAAGCATGTTTCATACTCAAAGGTAGATTCAAGGTGCTGTACAGCAGTGCTTCCCAACCTTTTTCCTTAAGGGACCCCTTTCATTGTATAAACCGATGACCCCTGACTACATGACTTATTAAATGGATATTTCATTTTATATTCAATGCATAACAATAACAGTATAGAACAACTGTTAAACAGTACAATGAACAGTGAACACAATAATTACAGGAGGTATGTATGAGGACCAGTTGTTCTCATATAATCCACAGGGAGGTGTTGTTTCCTCTCTTTAACCCTCTGTGATCAGTAACCTCTTTACTGTCTAACATAGACTTCTGGGAACTAAATTACACACACACAGTGACACCTCACTCATTCTGGTTTTTGTGGTTGTGTAACTGTCAGAGCTGTTATCTAACTGACCGTCAGAGCATCACTTTCCAAGAAAATAGGACAGTGTGTGTGTGTGTGTGTGTGTGTGTGTGTGTGTGTGTGTGTGTGTGTGTTGTTCCAGAGGACCTCCTACAG